TTCGTTAACTTATGAACACCAACAATGACTTATCTATTAATTTAATAAAATGGAAATTAGCCGACGCTAATAATTAATGCCATTGACAACGAAGATAGTGATTACAACAGTTTTAGAATGCTTCACGTGAAAGAGAAATTTATGAAACTCAATATTAATTTAATTAATTTATATAATTATTTTTAAAGATGATATTTTGCACGTTTAAATTTATTTTTTTTGCAATTTATTTCTTATCCATGATACCATCAAACATAAAAAATTATCAAAATGTCAAATATTTATACCATTTGATCTTAAGATTCATTTATAAGTTAGGTGATTTCTTGCATTGCATAAGTTTTACTTCTTTACATATAAAGTTTAAATTTTTAATTGATAAATTCGAGAGCATTTCACTTATAATTATTTAATTATAATAAAAAATATGTAAAATTTTACCATTTATAAATATTGATCCATCTAATTTTAAATTATAATTAATTAAGAATAATGCAATAATTGTACATAATATGCTATTGATAATTCCGCACCTCAATAGTGATTGTGTTCAAGTTTTGTTGGTAATAATCTTTTATATAGGTTAATCTAAAAAAATTTCAATATTTATCCAAAATTTTTAAATAAGCGTTTATCTTTTTGTTTTATCTAATTGAGTCTATAAAATATTATTTTTATTTAATTAATCTTTTTATTTTGCATGAAAATTACTAAATTTTGTTAAAAATATAATAAGGGTTTTATTTGAACCAAAATAGTTCTTTAAGGATTTAATTAGACAAAAATATTATTTTAAAAGCTTAATTAGACAAAAAAATATTTTAAGAATTTAATTTGGTATAATACAAAATAAGGACTTATCTAAGAAATTTTCAAAAATTAAAATAGTTTTTTTAGTTATTTTAAATATTAATATAGAATGCATGACTAAAGATATAAATGATACATTAGTACTTACAAACTATTCGGATTTTATTCAAATAAAACTCAAATTCGACTCGATGATCAAGTTGAGTTTGAGTTTGAATAGCTCAACTCATTGATCAAACCGAGTTCGAGTATTTTTATACTCGATTCGAGTGGTTCATGAGTCTAATTTAATTTTTATATTTAAATATATATTTTTTATTATTTTAATTAATAAAATATGTCAAACTTTAGTTCAAACTCGAACATAAATAATTGAGTTTTTATTGAATAAAAGAATCGAATTTATTTTTATATGTTAATCGAATCTAATCGAGTGAGTTCGAGTAGTTTGATTTTTACATCGAGTAGAGTTTAAGTTAAAAAATAAACTTAATCTAATTCGAGTCAAGTTTCGAATCTCAAATTTTAAATCAAATTCAAATTTAATACAATATCAATTCAAACTCAATTGATTACGTCTCTATACATGAGTTAAATTGAGAATTTTGAAATATATATATATATATATATATATCTTCAATTGTATGATTGAAATCAATTATCACTCGAATTTATTTATAAGAGTTAATTCAATTAGTTAAAAAAGTAACTGTCCTTTTTCATCAATAGAGTTTTGATTTTTAAATTATTAAAAAATAAAAAATTTATATAAAATAATTATATAACGTAAGCATATATCTATTTTATTTAAATTATATTATTTAATTCTATTATTAAAAAATAATTAATTATTATAAAATAATTAATAAATATATTAAAATAAATATTCATCATTTAATTATCATGTACAATGTGTAATAAATAATTAATTTTTTTAATAATTATGATGTGATATTTTTTATAATCATTTTTCATATCAAAATAAAATAAAATTTAAGGATACTTTTGATTGTAAATGTATTTATTCGAAAAGATTTGATGGATTATTTCCTAAAATAATGTTTAAAAAGAAAATCAACATCACGGTGTAAAAAATCAAAACAAGAATCCAAAATATCATTCAATTCCACGTGATATAAGATTATTACAACAGTAAATAAATCATTAAAATTATAAAAAAATATATTTAATAGGAGAGTTGCTCGGTGTGGCACTAATCATTCCACATATGCATAAAGAATAAAAAAATCAAAGAAATATTATAAAAGATGGGAAAAGTTGAGAAAAAAAGTTGCTTGGACATTTTTCCAACTCCCACGAAACGCCACGTGGCAACCCTATAATTTGTTTACAAATTACAAGAAAAAAAATTCTATTATTAAAGAGAAGATCTTAAATCTGTTGGGGTTTGGGAAGATAATGATAAAATTGCCCCTGAAATTGTGACAGTTTGGAGTTTTGTGGGGTTGTTTTATTGGGCTTTGGATGGGCTAAAACCGAAGTCCCTTTTTGACAGTGAAAGACTTTGAGAATTCATCGTAAGAAAGAAAAGGCATTTAAGACACAGGGAATATACCGTTTGCAGCAGCATGCTTTTGCATTTTTTTTTTTTTTTTTGGTCACAGCTTTTCTTGCACCCAAAAAGCGAAGCTCTCTTATTCATACTATTCCCTCCATTTTCATGTTTATTTCTCCAATAAAAAAAATTTTGAAATTTGATTTTTGTTGAGTCAATTGCAAAATGAGTTTTTTTTTTATTTAAAGTTATTAAAAATTAAATTTTAATTATCAAAATTAAAATTTTAATGTTGTATTAAAAAAATATATTTGATGTATTATCATATACAAATTTTATATACTTTTAATGAATAATAAAATATTATTAAAGTGAATTTAATAAATATTTAATTTTATATAATCTTATATTCAAATTGGATATCAAAATTAAAAATTTTTGTATGAAAGATTAAATATTATATGTTCTAACTGTTATCATGTATTCGTCTGACGATTCGACTGATAAATGTAAAAAATAAGCATAAGATTAAATAAAATTAATTTAAAATATATATATATATTTCAAAATATGATTAGAAGAGCAAATGTATGTTGCGCGAAATTGTGATCAAATAATTAATTCAATGATTGGTGCATATATTTTTTACTTAAAAAGTGAATTTTAAAAAATATTTAAATTTTTATTAAAAAAATTGATGCATGAATTCGATATTTTTTACCATTTTAAATTCAAAATACAAAATTTTTAAGGAAAATCAAGTGGTTAACATTTAATATTTTTACTTGAGAGATTTTATCTTTAAATTTTAAAAATGAAATACAAGTTTTATACAATAAAATAAAATACTTTCATTTAATTATATATATGGTTAAATTTTAAAAATCAAATGTAAATCCACACTTATACATATTTGAATAAAATTTTTTCCTATATTTAATAAATTACACTATCACTTTTGAAATCATACCTTTTTAATGAAACTATCAAGGTGAAAATCAGAGGCGTCAAAGTTAAGTTTTTATAGAAGGTGGTTAAATTTAATAAATAAAAAAATCTTAAAATTAAGTAATTTAGATGAAAGAGTAAAAGATAAAAGAAAAAAAAATTTACTTGTGAATCATACCAAAAAGAACTTGAAAAAAGTAAATTAGTTAATATTAGATGAATGGAATTTTGAAAAGTAAGAGCTCATAATAAAAACAATATTATTATTGACAAATGATTAAAAATTAAAACACTTTCCTGATTCCATTTCTGCTTCATTTGACCCTTTTATGGACAATATGTAAAGACTAGTTTGTTGGGTTGATAAATTTTCTTTTTTTTTTAAACAAATAAAATAAAAATTTGAAGTAAAAACAAGTTTTTTGAGTATTTATATGAGTAAATTAACGATGACCACTCTTGAATAGGAATATTAAATTTAATTTATATTTAATGAAAATTTAAATTTTTTATTTAAATAAAATGGAGATAAATATTATATTGTAGATGTAAGAATATAAATGTATATGATTTTAGATTTTTACTCGATATAGAAATAAAGACAAATAATGCAGTACTTGTATCGTAGCTATACTTTATATATATTTAATAAATAAATTTTTTATTAAATAATATAAATTGTTATTTTAGATTAATTAAAATTAATATATTTTATTAAAAAATATATGTTGATAAAAAATTACTTAAATATACAAGATAAAGATAAAAAAATTTAAAAATAAAATTTAGTTTTTTTTTAAGTATAAATATAAAGATTATTCATATATATTAAATACCCATAAAAATAAAAATAATAATAAATTTAAAATATCTATTAAATATAATACAAAAATAAAAATAATATAAATATTTAAAAATAAAAACAAAAAATATTATACCTTATTCATACCCTATCAATTGATATCCTACTCCTAAAACATGCAAGTATATATCAAAACCTTACACAATTACCTGTGGGTTGAGGTTGCCTTGGCATGCTAAAATTTTTAATTATTTCAAGTTCTAAAATTTTTCTTCACCAATTCATTAATTTTATTATTCATTTCAAATGCCAAATCAATATGTTTTATTTTTTTAATTTAAAATCAATATATTTCATTACCAAATCAGTTTTATTAATATTATTATATTTAATTATTATATTTTTTTGTCTTCCAATTATGTGTTGTATATATAGTTAAAAGTTTCACTAATTTAATAAGTAAAAATTTTAATTTTAAACTGTTCCCAAAAATAAAGATTTATGTACAGCTGTGAGTTGTAGTTTAAATTTTAAATTTGTAAGATGATTATTTTTTAAAATAATTATACGAATTAGCCTTAAATTTTGGGAATTTAAAAAACGGCATGTTTGGTTGAAAAAATTACAAAATTAAATTGATTTTACTAAGAATTTAAAACTTTAAAAAATAGTTTAGATGAGAATTGACTCGGCAACAAGATAATGAAGTTTGGAGGGCAGTTTTTTTTTAATTTCCGTTAAACCGATAAAGTAAAAAAAAAAGTGAACAGTAAAATATGAGAAATTTTTTTTTTTTTTTTAACGTTGGACTTGTGTTTGGAGTTACTAGTTAGTTAACTTCATGTGTGAGCTGGATCCACTCTTCTAGGACTGACCCACTTTTAAATATAAAAACAGAAGAAATTCCATATTTATTATTAAATAAAAAATAATGCTAAAAACTAGTTCAGAAAACAGAGAAATTGAGCTTGAAGCTGAAAGCTGAGACAAGCAAGTGTTTCCAATCTCAATCTCACAAAAAGGTTATATAAGTTTTCTCTTCTAATAATCCAAAATCTCTTTATTTTTCTCTCAAATTCTAGCTTATAATAGCTTTGGGTTCTTTGAATTATCAACTGGGGTATCAAGTATCAATTTTTTTTTTTTTATGGTTAGGGAGTTGGTTCAAGTTTAAACATGTGAAAGCCAGCATCTTTATGCAAAATTTTCTATATTTTTCTCCTTTTTCTTTACCTGGATTTGAATTTTTTTTAAGAAATGAATTCGAATATTGGAAAAGGATCCATGTCAACTGCTAGCTCAAGTGCTGCTTGGAAAGCAGGAGATGTAGTTCCTGATCGGTTTCCTGCTGGTTTGCGTGTGCTTGTTGTTGATGATGACCCAACATGTCTCATGATCTTGGAAAAGATGCTAAGAACCTGCCTTTATGAAGGTACTAATCACAATTTTCTTGCTTTTTAGTCATATTTCTTTCTTGGGTTTTCTTTAATTCTTCGTTTTGGTTACTATTTTCGATTTTCAAGACACTGATTTTTGTTTCTCTTTTGGGTTTACTATGACATCTATTGCATGAATTGTCAATGATTTTAGCTTGTGTTGATTTTGTTTGGGGGTACATATAGTGGAATAACAAAAAGAAATGATATTGGTTTCTTAGATTTGGGAACAATATGGCATCTTGTAATGCTCTGAGCCATAATTTTGTTCAGCATGGGTAAGGTTTTGTAAGTTAGTTTTGATGTATCGTATTTTGTACAAATTGCTTGAAGAATTTCTTTAGCTTTAAGGTCTGTTTTGTTTTGATTTGTGCATATGTAAAATAGGGGTTCCTTTTTTTTTTCTTTGGATGTACTTTGCTTGGAGCTAAGAGGTTGATATTCTTGTAATTTGATGGTTGATTTCTGATTTTCTTTTTCCAGTTACCAAATGCAATCGAGCAGAGACTGCATTGTCTATGCTACGAGAGAACAAAAATGGGTTTGATATCGTTATCAGTGATGTCCACATGCCGGACATGGATGGATTCAAACTTCTTGAGCATATTGGTTTGGAGATGGACCTCCCTGTTATCAGTAAGCACTTTATCATCCATGTTTGATATGGGTTTAATCTCCATGAATTGACAATTTCATGGGGTTTGGAGTGCTTTTTGGCCTCATATTCGACTTGTATTTCTGCAGTGATGTCAGCAGATGATGGAAAACATGTTGTTATGAAGGGTGTTACACATGGTGCCTGTGATTACCTAATCAAACCAGTTCGTATCGAGGCACTGAAGAACATATGGCAGCATGTGGTTCGGAAGTGGAAGAACGAGTGGAAGGACTTTGAGCAATCAGGAAGTGTCGAAGAAGGAGATAGGCAGCAAAAACAATCTGAAGATGCAGATTACTCATCCTCAGCTAATGAAGGGAATTGGAAAAGCTCAAAAAAGAGGAAGGATGATGAAGATGAAACTGATGAGAGGGATGATTCATCCACGCTAAAGAAGCCGAGGGTTGTCTGGTCTGTTGAGCTCCATCAACAGTTTGTTGCAGCAGTTAATCAACTAGGCATTGACAGTATGAGTCTTTGACCCATTTCTTTCAATTTTCTGATGTTTACTTGCTGAATATTATATCCTTTTATTATAGTAGCATATAATTACCAGCAATTACTAAAAATGTTAAAACCTTGTAGCGATAGTGTGTTTATTTTCTGAAAAACTGGTGAAGCTCCCTTCTACTTTTGGAGAAGGGACATAAACATAGGCAGAAGTGTTGTTACTTTAATTTTCTTGTTTGAAAAGCAAATAACTCAAGAATCTGAGTTGAAGTGTGTTTCCATGGTTAGCATGGATTAAAACTATGTGGCATCTTCAATTATTGGTGTTTTCTGTTTTTATTTGGTTTGTTGTTTGTAGAAGGTCATGCTTTCAGGTATAATTATGTTACAATTGCGATTTGCGAAAAGAATTAAATATTAAGTGTTTAATATTCTTTCTTCCTTTTCATTTACTGTTGAAATATGTTTTAGATTAACTTCAACCACAACCATTTGCCTGTTGATATTTGGTGTTTCTCTTCATTCGCATTTGGTACCTGCTGCTGTCATTCCTCTCTTATGATTATTCCGTTTGATCTACTTGTACAGAGGCTGTCCCAAAGAAAATTTTGGAGTTGATGAATGTTCCTGGCCTTACCAGAGAAAATGTTGCCAGCCACCTTCAGGTGTTGTACATGTTCGCTAAATACCCAAACCTTTTACTTACTGGTTTTTGCATCTAATAAATAATTCACTGAATTATCTTTGGTTCTTTGATGTTAATCACTTTGTTATCATGTAATCAGAAATATCGCTTGTATCTGAGAAGGCTGAGTGGGGTATCACAGCACCAGAATTCTTTTATGAGCCACCAAGAAGAAACTTTTGGGCCACTGTCTTCACTCAACGGTCTTGATCTTCAAACCCTTGCTGCCACTGGTCAACTTCCTGCAGAAAGTCTTGCCACACTCCAAGCAGCAGGACTTGGTCGGTCAACTGCTAAATCTGGCGTGCCTATGGCCCTTGTTGATCAAAGAAACATTTTTAGCTTTGAAAATCCGAAGTTAAGATTTGGAGAAGGGCAGCAACAACATATTAATGGTAATAATAAGCAAATAAATTTACTTCATGGAATTCCAATGACCATGGAGCCGAAGCAGCTTGTTGGCTTGCACCACACTGCACAATCAATAGGAAACGTAAATATGCAAGTAACTTCCCATGGTGCACAAAGTGGCCAAAACAATTCTTTACTGATGCAGATGGGTCAGCCACAGTCAAGAGGGCATATACTCAATGATGCCACTGTTGGTCATGCTCCCAGGCTTCTCTCATCCATGGGGCAGCCTATATTATCAAATGGAATTGCTGCCAATGTCTCTACAAGGAATAGAATTCCGGAGAATATCAGAGCCCCTGGTTATAATCCAGTTTCACAGGCCTCTTCAATGTTGAATTTCCCCATGAATCATGCTTCAGAACTACCTGGTAATATTTTGCCTCTTGGAAGTACACCAGGGATGTCTAGTCTCACATCCAAAGGGACTTTTCAGGAAGATGTTAACTCGGAAATTAAAGGATCAGGGGGATTCATGCCAAGTTATGACATATTTAACGACTTAAATCAACATAAACCCCAAAGTTGGGAGCTACAAAATGTAAGCATGACATCTGATGCCTCTCAGCGTTCAAACTCTCTTCAAGGCAACCTTGATCTTACTCAATCAGTTTTAGTTCAACAAGGAATTTCTTCTGGCCAAATGAATGGACAGAACAGGAGTGCAGCTGTTGTAAGCAAGGCAATGTGCTCAGCAGGAGATTTTTCGGAGCAAAGGAATGCACAAAATGTTAATCAGCATTTCAACACCCTTCTTGTTGACAATACAATAAGGGTGAAGTCTGAGATAGTTGCTGATGTGAGCCCTGCCAATCTATTCCCTGATCACTTTGGACAAGAGGATCTCATGAGTGCTCTTCTGAAACAGGTTGGTTTTTTTCTCTTTATTTTATAATGTCTGTTCAAGACAGTACCATTTCCATGAATTAATGAGGATATTCACTTACATTTAAAGTTCCGTTCTCTGGCAGCAAGAAGGCATTGCCCCAGCTGAAAATGAGTTTGACTTTGATGGGTATTCCATGGATAACATTCCAGAGTAGAGGATCTTCCATGCTCCAGTTCTCTTCATGATTGCATTTTCTGATGTACATACACACTGTAACGGAAATATCACCTCTGCAGTCAGTCAGTGAGACCTCAAGTTTGTGTTTCTTCCTGAAACCGCGTTTGCTTAGTTTCCGGAACTGCATCTTCCCTTGTGAATATCGTGTTGTTTGGGTTTCTTTTGAACGTAACAGCAACAGATAATCAGGATGGGAAACGTTTAAGATACGTCTGCGTGATATGCAAAGGCGGTCATGCAAAATTTTGATTGTTTTTGGTAGCAAATCTGGCAGAATGAACTAATTTTAGGCTGCTTTTGAAGTTGTCCGGTAAGATTCATGTCAAGTTGTCAAAGATTGTTTCTAGACACCAATAGGCCTAGGAGACTATTTAACTCTAATAACAGACAAACTTTGCTTTTTTTTTTATTCTCCAATCTCCCTTCTGTCCTGCCATGGGCAGGGGAGGGTGCTGCTATCCCATCTCCTTTTTGTTTTCTTCAATTGCCTTTTCACAAAGACTCGACTGTCATGTACGTACATCACATAAGTCTGGGTATTCATTTCTGGCTATTTTCTAGCCCTTAATTTTCATGGGATCCTGGATTCTATCTTACATAGACCATTTCTCTAGGCATAAGTGTTATGCCAATCTTGCAACCTACACTATCCTAGACCGTCTAGTATAATGTCAGAATTATGGAGTCTTGATATCACTGTGTTCCAAAAGCAGGAGAGCTTTGAAAATTCATCATGAGACCACAAATAGAAAATACTTTTTACACTGCAGATTTCAAGCCATAACTTAAAATTTTGAAATTTATCTTCGAATAAGATTTCAGTCTAGTATGGCATCGGATAAGATTTCAGTCTAATATGGCAGTAAGCCTTGTAAAATGGGCTTCTAAATTGACATTTCCTCTTATCTTGTCATTTGATATTAAATCATGACAAATCCAAAAAGAAAAAAAAGATAACTATTGGTTAAAGCAGATCATAAAGGAATAATCAATGTCTTAGGATTTATAAGAACTAAACCAGCAATCATCACGAAAGAATTATGTAGGTTGCAGACAACACTGATTTTTCTTTTTTTTAAAAAATAATTTTATCTTCTTATTTCGGATTTTGTGAAGATTTCTAGTTTAATTCCTATAAATTCTAAAACATTGATTATTCTTTTATGATCTACTTTAATCAATAGTTTTTTTTTTTTTTTTTGAATTTGGTAAGATTTAATATCAAATGACAAATCAGGAGAAAGGGCCAATTTAGAATCCCATTTTACAAGCTAACTGAGTCCAACAGATTGAAATATTCGGAAGGGAGAATTTCAAAATTTTAAATTATATCTTGAAATCTTCAACACGAGAAGAATTTCCTATTTGTGATCATGAAATCATCTGAATTTCAAAACTATCCTGAACAGTGATATGAAGATAGAGTAGGGTTGAATCTTGAATATGCACCAACCGAAAGAATAGTAACGAATTGTGCAAATCTATGTCGCTATCCAAGTCTAGATTACAACATTGTCATAATGCTTTTGCCTAGAACAATCAATGATCTATGGAAGATAAAATCAAATGATACGAGAATTCCATGAAAACTAAAGGTACTCAGAAATGAAGGAGCAATCAAATCATCTATATAAGATAAAATCAAATGATACGAGGATCCATGAAAATTAAGAGTAGTCAGAAATGAATATCCTGATTTATGTCAAAAGCAATCAAGGTGTATATAAATGACAGCAAAGTCATGAAAAAACAATCGAAGAAAACAAAAAGAAGACGGAATAGCATCACATGGCAGGACAGAAGGGAGGTTTAAGAAGAAAAATGAAAAAAAAGGTAAACTTCATTTGTCGTTTGAACTAAACAGTCTTGACGTGCTGATGTCTAGAAACAATCTGAATAACTAGACATGTATCCTGCTGGACAACTTCAAATCACTATAAGAAAATGAAAGATTAATGGTAATTTTGTAACGAAGTTTTACTTATAAATATTGTTAGTTTTTTTTGTGTTTTTATAAACCTTAAAACATATATTATCAAAATGCTAATAAATATTCAAATAATGACGTTATTACTTATAAACATCACTAAAAATAAAAATTAACGGTGTTTATTAACTGAAATCTCTTAAATAATTTTTTGTAAAAAATTAGAGCGATTATTGAATGCATTTTTTTGTAAAAAATATATTGAATAATCTTCTCATAAAAAATAAATAAAAGATTTTTAAAGACGTGTTTGGTAGACAACACTTTGAATAATCCTCTCATAAAAAATAAAAGCGAAGCTATTATTGAAGGTGTTTTTTACAAAAAAACACCTTCAATAATTTTACTAAAATATTATAAAAGATTATTGAAGTTATTTTTAATCAAAAAAACCTTCAATAATCTCCTTCATTTTTTACGAAGGAATTATTAAAAATATTTTGTGCAAAAAATATATTTAATAATTTTTTTTAATTTTTTATAAGAGATTATTAAAAGCGTTTCAATCAATAAATATCGTTAATTTTTATCTTTAATAACATTTATAAATAATAATATCACTATTTAAATATTTAATGACGTTTTGATAATAAATACATTAAATTTTATAAAAATACAAAAACTAATAATATTTATAAATAAAACGCCGATACAAAACTACCATTTAATCTTTTATTTTTTTATAGGGTTTTGAAGTTGTCCAGCTGGGTGATTACTCCTTTCCTATCGAGAAAAAATGGCTCTGACTAATAATCATTTGATGGAATCATCGTTCTTCTGCCATTGTGATTGTGAAATTTTTTTTAGATAGAGACTCTTGGGCAGAGGAAATCCACTATAAAAATAAAACCCATTTAGAAAAGGAAAGTAATGTTTTATTTTATGACATGATCTCAACTTAATCATCAGGATCCATAGCCACATAATTGTCAAAACCTATGACCTTTTGGCAAGTCATAATCAACTAACACAACCCATAAGTGGATTTGGAAAAACCAAACCAAATTTAAGATAACTTAAATCTACTGTTTAGCTTCAGATCTTATGAGAAAATTATGAAAAATATTTTTTTTATAAATTTATTAAGTTCAATATAAATAATCCTATTAAAAGTTAAAAAAATATATAGAATAAAATCCAAAAACCTATTACTACTAAAAAAGTAATTTAAAATTTTTAATCCCCAATTTGATGTAATTCACATCTTATCTCAAGTTTTCAACTCATCTCCTTGCTGCCAATTCTTTCATTTCTTTTTTTTTTTTTAACCCTGAAGTAATTATTTAATTGGAGAGTGATTTTGGAAGGATGTGGGAACGACATTAGACTTTCGGGGATTTTTTTTATTTATTTAGAGTGAAATTCAAACTTAAAAATTAAAATTAAATTTCAAGTCAATCTCTTATTTTTTCATATATCAAATCAACTACTTAATTACACCTTAAAGCATATAAGGCTTGGAACATGGCAGATGGAAAGTGAGTTAAACCCCCCCCCCCCCCAAAAAAAAAGATCTGATTTCAAGCCCACAATCACAGCCTACAAAAGGTCCATATCACTGGTTTGATGGGGTCACAAAATGTTGAATCCATAACTAAGAAACCAAACCCCGAAGAACATAGACTCTTACAAAAGCCCTGCAAGCAGGTTTTGAGCATAACCAATTATCCGCTATTATTGTAACACCAAGAAATTTTTTGGGCATTTCATAAATTGGCTAGAAATGGAACTCATTAATCATTACTTGTTCTTAAGACCAGTTACATCAAGGACTTCTTTATCTACAGCATTTCTTTTAAGAAGATCAAGTTGACCATGGCAATTGTATTTATTAAAAAAAATAAAAGAACTATTGTGACTTGTGAGCCTCTATTGTGATAAAGATATTCAATTATAAGCAAATTCAACTAATAATTCTCCCATATTATTGGTCCTTGGTTGCTTTGTCTTCAAAACTATCCGTTATTGAGTGAAAAAGACTGCTTTGTCTAGCAGAATTTGATTTTTTTTAATAAAAAAAATCACAGTATAATATATATAAAAAAATTACAGATATTAAAATTAAAATTTTAAATTTGTTGAATATTATCTTTAAAAATAATTATTTAAATTAATTGAATTAAATTTTGGGATCATATAAAATATTTTTTCTTTATTATTACTTCTATAAACATGTCAAAGGTCTCTTCAATACTTGTGTGATTGATGCAAACGTAAGTGATAAGTTTGGAAAATATATTCAGCTCTGATATTATAACTTTATAACTAATAAAAAAGTTTTGTCATACCAGAAACCTCACCACCAGATTCCATTAGTCCCACAAACAACAACCATCAACCACCAAATTTTCAATGAAAAAGCATTATAAACTTGCCAGATTTGATGATAATGTAAAGCTGGTGTAGCCATACATGGCATGTGGCTTCACAGACTCATAAGAAATCAGAATCATCAAAGGGTCCGGGAATAATACAGGCCAACACAGACTGCCTACCAAACAAAGACTTTTGTCTGGTTTGATAGGGTAGGAATTCAGGATCACTGTTAATTGTCTGTAAGTGCTACAATGCATTAAACTCTATTGAAAAATGTCACCTGAAGTAATTGATAAAAGAAGAAAATAATGAAAATTTTTATTGTAACAACTTTAATTTTATTAGAAATTTTTTTATTTAAGTTGAATTTATTTATTTACAGTTAATTAATTTTAAATTAGATACTTAATATGATATTAAAAATTTTTTTGTTATTTTTTTTAAATCTATTACATGATAGGTATATTTCATTTTCATTTACACATGATTAAAATTTGTTAAGTGGTACTTTCTACATCTAATAAATTTTAAATTTTTTATAGTTTTATATATAAATTGAGCATGAAGACTCATATCTCTATGAGGTATTGTTTGTTTCGATTAAAAAATTTCATGATTTTATCTTAAAAAAAAAAGTTTCATAAGTTTAGATTTAAGAGTTTACATATATATCATAGTAGATTCTTGAAATATCTCGATATGAGATTGAGGCGTTATAAACTTCCTTCGTTAAAGCTTGATGTTCCCATTAAATCTAATACAAAACACACAGATCCATTAAATCACACCAAATATTAAACAAACCAAATACAAAATACACATAGATCACAGAATCACATTAAACGTTAGGATTATAGAAGTAATTTTTACGGTGTAATACTTAACTTATATCCCATTGGTGATAATTCTGATATTATTTATAGAGATTCATAACTAACTTATGATATATTTTTCACTTTGATCTTAAAGTCTAACGATTTTATTTCATTAAAAATATTTTATAAGTATAAATTTAATTAAATTTAAATATTTACATATACATGTTATAGAGATCCTCAAAACATTATGATATGATATTAATGTTGAATCTCTTTACTTACAACTAATTACTTTTAAATTTGATGCGTCCAAAATAATTTTCTTTTGTGTCACTTTTAGTGGAGCAAATTGGTTTACGGAGATTTGACAAGTCACCGACCTTTCCACCTCAACTACACATTATAAAGACACATTTAAACTCCATTTTTGATAGTTTCTCAGCACTTTTCCATTCCACAGAAAAATTACTATTATCATTTGGTGCAAATTGTCCCTTACATCAACAAAATTTTGGTATTCTTCCTTTAATTTACTCAAGAACATTGTTTCAACCACTTATAGATTATTGTATTGGAAAAGAAGGAAGGAATCAATCAAATTCAAAGTTAATTGAATGAGTAGTTACCATAAAGTTCCATTCAAGGCAAGAAAACAATAACCATTTGGTTTGTTTATAAATGGTTGTTTGAAACTGTAATGTAACCCCATTTTATATTTGTTATGGAGATTTCAATCCTTTTAAGCTGAGGTTGTTCCAACTAAGCAATGATGCTTGAAAAGAAGAAAAGGTTTTGCCATGTGAAGTGTGGAAGCTCCCTTAGACATCCAAAAAGTTAAAGGAAACAAAAGAAATGAGTAAAGTCTAAGAGATTCTAATTTTTGTGGGTTAAATTTTTTTTTAAAGTTGTTAGTTTTAATATACTTGCTTTCTACGTAGATGATTTAATTAAATTATGAGAAATGAAATGAATTCAAATAACTTGAATATTAAAGATAAATGATTCAAACTCAAAATTGTTCAAAATTTTTTTATTATAAAATAATTAAATTTGACATAATCAATTATAAGAGTGTTTATTCGATCGAATCAATTAATTTCGAAATAAATGATTTAAAATCAAATTATATTATATTATTTTTATTAATAGAACCGAATTTATTAATTTTGAAAATTAACTAATCGAATTTAATTCGATTAGTTCGGTTATTTTTTTGATTAATCGAGTAATAAATATATTTAAATTAAATTATATTTTAAAGTTATAATTTTTCATATTTTAAACAAACAAAATAAAATTATCTAATAAAATATTTAAATACTAAAATATTATATTAAAAATTCTAACAACTTATGAAATAAAATGATCAATTTCATAATTTTTTATTTTATATTTAAAGTTGGTTATATTTTGATTAAAATTTGATTAATTTGATTTTTGAATTGAATTAATCAAAAATTAAAATTTTTTAAAAATCATTTTTATTAACCTATCAAAATTAATTTAATGATCAATTGATTATTCAAATTAAATCAATTAAATCAATCAATTCAATTAAAACTAAATTATAAACACTCCTAGTCACTTATCACCCTTATTCAGCTATAATACCACAGTTTCGTATAACCATTCCCAACCCTACATTATTGATAAATGTGTCAATGATTTATAAGCCTTAGTTACAAATATTACGAAAATTTAAGCTGATTTGACTTTCATTTGATACATCACGAGAAATATTTGACAAAAAAAAAAAAAAAAGAGAATTGAAATTGAATTATTATGTTATGTAAAGTATTATATTTATATTATATTTATATAAAATTATATATCATAATTTATATCGATATAAAAATATAAAATATAATTTTTTAATTTTATTAAATTTATATATAATTTTTAAAAAATTTTAAATTATTTTATTTTTATATCTATTACTATTTTATATTTCAAATTGTCACGGAACATACTGCCAAGATTGAGCAAAAGGTTACACCACCGAACCAGCCTGGAAAGGTCCACCAAGGCCGACGAGGGCGCCCATTTGGGCTTACTTTTGGTGATAAAAGTTTTGTTGAAATAAACTTTACCGTTTGCTGGTTCTGTAGTAAAGTTAAATTTGAGAAAGTTCACGGATCGTAGCTGCTTAACCTTTTTAAAGGCTCATTTACTTCACAAGGATAACATTCACCTCCTCACCGTACCAAATATTTTTGTTTGGTGAGAACAGTTCCTTGAAGGTGTAATTAATCACTATTAGCATGAAATTAAGGATAGTGAAGACTTTTAAAAAGGAACCTAAGAATAATTTTATAAAGAAACTTATTAATTATTCGTATAAATATTTTTAACAAATAACATTCAATAAATTTAATATTTAAATTTATTTATTTATTGCGTACTCTTCACGTCTACACTCCTTCCGGCCAGTTACCACTCAACACGTCACTAGAGTTTTGCCACCCAAACACCGAAAATACCCCTAATTTTTTCCTCAAGGACATAAACCCCCTCAAACTCCGCGCAAAATTCGGTTCCCTGTTCAAACTTGCTATCTTGAGTTAAAAGTAAAACGTGTCGGTGTCATCGATCTATTAGAATTTCTTTTGAACACTCTCACTTCCCTTCTCCTCTCACTCAATCTCTCGCCCTTTCTTTCCTTCAACAATTCTGTAGCCTCTGATTTTTGTTCTTTGGGTGGTGCATTCATCAAATTCAGTTGATCAATCAGGCAATCGAAATCTGTTGTTTGTTGTCAATCTTTCCATAGATGGAAAATTTTCAGACCACTATTGTTTTTTTAACATTTCTGATGATGCGACTGACTTCGGTTGTTTGTTCGGAAGAAAGTAGTAGGGGTCCGAATGAGACATCAAAGTATCAGATCGAATGCACAATGTGTTCCTCATGTGAAAACGCATGTAAGCAAATTCCATCACCGCCACCACTATCTCCACCACCGCCCTCACCACTAGCTAAGACCAACTACTGCCCACCACCTCCATCTCCACCCAGCTCTGGTAGTGGTGGTGGTGGTGGTAACTACTACTACTCTCCACCACCACCTCAATCTGGCGTCAACAACTACTATGCTCCACCGCCACCAAGTGGTGTCATTGGTGGCATGTACTACCCCCCACCAACGTACAAAAACTACCCTACGCCACCACCTCCAAACCCTATTGTTCCCTACTTTCCTTTCTACTACCATACTCCTCCACCTTCTTCATGGTCTGAAAGGTTGATAGCCTGTTGGGTTTATACTTTTGTTGCTATGTTTGGTCTTTTCCTTTGTGTCTTTTGACATTGAAAGCTAAAGCAGAAGAAAACAAAAAATAATGTGGCAGATTGGCAGATCTGGTGAAACTTCTACAGCTGAGAGAAAGAAAAAGAGAGGTGATGCGAGTTGCTTCAATGCTTGCAAAATTGCTCTTCTTTTGGGCAAAGAAAGCAACAAAGATGAAACTAAACTGAGTATCTAAAGACATAGAGTGAATCTTTCTTTTTCTCTGGCTCTTCATTGTCTTCTTATGCTGTAGAGTGATATGTAATTTGTTTCTGATCATTTTTGTTCCATTTAATACTAATGTTAATTGGAAACTAGTAAGAAAATTAGTTAATTTTCAATAATTGAGCTTAAATTTAAATGCTAAGCACTTTTTTTTTTTGTCTATAGTTTACTGATTATTTAGGTTAATGGCTCCTGCTGCAGCAATGGGGTTCAATCTAGATTGGTAACTAAAATTGTCAGCCGATAAAGACGAGTCAGAGGTGTAGTTATGCTGGTTTATAAATATTTTACTTGTTTGAAATTTGATTAGGTAAAATATGAATTGATTTGTATAGTTATGTTTTAGTTTTGATTCATATGATCAAATTTGAAATTTAAATTTCAGTTTCTACGTAGTTTTTTTTTTTTTTTTAGGTTTGGGTTGCTTGAAACTTAGGGATTTAACATATTTACTTCACTTTAAAAATTGCTTTTTTTTTCGTTAATAATGAAATAAAGCTCAACACCAGTCACCTGTCAATTGGTGAAAGCTTCCTCATTAAGATAAATGGGTCAAATTTTATCTAATTAACTTATATTCAAAACAAATGGTTCTTTCAAGCCGGTGGCTACAATCTGCTGACCATGGCTACTTCCCCCTTGGAAGACTAGGTTGCTCCGACCAAACGGCTGCCATAGCAGGCGGCAGCTCTTTATCTGGATTGAGTTCTGACACACCTTTCTCAATGGTAGTGACTCATTTTTACACTGCAGTATTGACCACCTTAATGTATTCTTAGGACACTATGTCCCAAATTTCCTAGGGCACCCCACCCTATGCATCAAACCAATGTGAGGTCCGGTAAGGTATTTCAATATTGCATTATTTTTAATAGGACTTTTTATGGTTCTAACAGTTCAACTTTTTCTTTGCTTTCATGATTGGGATTCTATCGAAGGCCTATCCCTCCCTATCCATAATTCCAAGTGGAGAAAAAGTGGGTTGTCCTTTGTGTTCAAACGGACCCCTTTTTAATTTTTATTTTTGGTTAAAATTTATCATCAAAAGATGAAAAGATAAAAGAGCAGATTGTTCGGGAGTGACATGACTCAAATCTACTTTATCTAACAACAACTACCCAAATTGAAGGAAAAGGAAACACAAATGCCGAAGATAACTTAATTTGTGGATGGACTGTGGAGGAACACACTGGGTAAGGTGTGAGTCCAGTCAGCCAACATATTATTTTCTTTTTTGGGGAAATGATTAGGAATAACAGCCATCTTATCTCGATTTGATTTTTTAGGGATGATTCTTTTAATCGAATTTTAGATTGGAAAATTATAAAATAAAATAAAATTAAGATTAAATTTTAAATAAATTTATTTTCATTTGGTATATAAATTTTTTTTGTTAAATTATATATATTTAATTTTATATTTATATTTTAAAAAATATTTTATTAATTTTAGATCAAATTTGCACCAATCATACCCGCAGTCATCCTTAAAAATGATGCTGAGAATTCCTGGAACAATTAGCTGGATGGCTCATAATCTGATTAATGTTTGGCCCAGCCAAGGAGTGAAAGGTATCCTAGGGATGAAATGAAGAGTGAGAATGAGTTCAAATCATTTTTCCGACTTTCACGGTTTTATTGACAGGCTATTTGTAAATTTAAAAAATTCATAAATTCTATCGTTATAAATAGTGGAGTAAGTAATATTTGGATGTTTGGTGGTGCGGTACACTTAACCTTATAAATGGTTTACCAAATTTATTGATAGCAAAATTCGAATTTAAATTTTTTTAAAAAAAGTGTTCCATTCTTGCCAATTCAATAAATTGGTTCGAATTTGAACTTTATCTAGGCCATCAAAACTTAAAATCAGAAACTCTGTAACTCGGCTCGAGTTTGGAAACTTCATCTGGGCTGCTAAGGTCCTTAATAAGAAAGATGATTGGGCTACCAAGACTACTCTGAGCAACTATTTCACAGGGAATGAACTCTGAATCTGCTAAAGTAAGCTGGACCAGGATTTCCATTTCAAGTACATGTGGACTGTGGTCAAGACCAATTAAGGGTTAAGAATGGTCGCAAAAGAATTTTATGGGCTTCTGCTGTTAAGTTACTTGTAAAATACTTGGACCCAATGGCCAAAACTCAAAATATCCTTGCTTATTTTTAAAATCTTGAAATTACTTTACGTCAAAAAACGTGTTTTTTTTTTTGTGTTAAAATATTTAAGAACAAAAATTATTTTAACTCTAATATAAAATTTATAAATTTATTAAATTTTTATTTAAAATTTTTTTGAATTTACTAATCATCAACCATAAATAAATTATGCAATTGATGTTCATCATCTCATCTCCGTTCTCCTTGTGGCCACAGCTAGGAAGGGCCTAAAGCTAACAGCTTCCAGCAATTTCTGGCAACTAGGGTGGGTGTATACGAGCTCCTGGCAACCTTTTCACTAAATGATTACAGCCTTCAGATGGAGACAGGTGCTGGAATTTCAACTTTTCAAAGGAATTTCCTTTATTTTCCTTTATTTCAATAAATTCATGCACCACCCAGCTCTGCTTGATCATATCCGATCTGTGAAAATAATTTGGTCTTAACTAATGTTCAACTTTTTAATTTTTAATAGCAGTCAATTCAATTGATAATAAATAAACATATAGGTAAAAATAGAAAAAATCTATTCCGTTATAAATTAAAAAAAAATAAATAATATTGATTCTAATATTATAATACATATTTAATTTAAAATTAATTAATAATAAATAAAATACTTAATTTAAATATAAAATTATAAAAATTTAAGATAATATCGTACTAAACAAACTGAATCTGCCTGGCTGCAGCTTGAGAATCTGACCACCCAGAACAAGCTTTTGCATAGCAGTTCCTGTCCTCAAAAATTGTCCAAGTCGAGGATTTATTGTCGGCATATAATCACACACCTGTCCAAGCCGACGATGAATATACAAAATCTTTCCACTTTTTACAATCAAAACAACCAAAGGGAAAAATAAAATTTTGAAAAGAAAAAAAACAATACTATATACTTAAATTTGAAGTCGCCTTACTCATTTCAACATCAAAGTTGAACTTTGATTTAAGAAAATAGATTTTGGTTTGACTCCCCGGAGTCCACGCTCTCCACTTCAATTTCAATTTATTACTGATTTTCTCACCATAAAAGTTTACTTATACAGTCATGCATTAATATAGTATAAAAATTAAAATTTATATTATATTTTTTATTAAAATTACGTGTAATAATTTATTTTGAGATAAAAATTAAAATATTTTTTAATTTTATTAAATTTATATATAATAATTATTAAAATTTTAAATCATATTTTTTATAATATTTATATTATTTTATATTTTAAATTATCAAATTTATATACGAAATACAAAACAAGTATCCACATTATTATTTTTTTTTCAAAATTAAACATTAAACAATTTATTAAAATTTAGAAAGCAGGTTGGTGTAGCCAAAATAAAAAAATTGGAAAATGATTTGAATCCACCAAAAATAGGTTATACTCTATGCTGTTTGGCGCCTAAGAAAATTTTGGGGCTTACTTGAACTTCATTTTTCATTTTTTTTTTTCCTTTTCATCTTATCCTAGCTCTACACTATTTTTTTCCTTTGAAAATGGGAATTTTCTCTTTTTTTGCCCTTTTGGCCTATTTTATAATATAAACCACACATTCCACAACCAGATAAATTCGATTCAATAAAGAAAAATAGAAACAAGAAAAGGAGCGATCAAAGCCCACAAACATAAATTACTACTACAATTAGATTAAGAAAACTAGAATGAAAAGTCTCAATTTTCTTACACTTTCCATCCTCAAATTCTTCTCTTCCAACTACGACAACTGACAGTACAGTTAGTCAACACTAAAAACACTACAAATTAACAAGAACAAAAATAAGGAAAATTACCAAAGAATACACTTGAAAATGGTTAGATACCCATTAAAGATCCTATTATTTTTGTTCTAAATATATTAAAAAAAAAAAAACACTAAGCATAAACAGAACCATAGGAGAGAGCCATTAAAAGAACAGCAGCTTGTTCTTCTTCTCCTAACTTTCTCCTTTGTTTCTCAACCGTTGATCTTTGCATCAAAACTTCTCTTCCTAAAGATAACAATCTCTGCTTCAGATTATCTCCTAAATTTTTAGTGTTACTTGAACCACTGTTGTCACCATTTCTATTTCCTCTCTTTGATTTTTTGTCTTCTCCTTTGTTTAATCCCAAAATTGCCCTTCTCTTTTTCCTGCTTCTGATCCCACATGCATTGCACAGAGACTGCAAAAAATAAAACAACAAAACAGAATCAGATCAAATCCAAACAAAAATTAAAGATTAAAAAAAAAGTTAAAAATGGAAAAAGAAATAATACCTTGGGTCCAGCTGGGCCACCTCTCCAAAGAGGGGTTTTGGAGGTACCACAATCAGCACAAATTTTCTTGGTTTCATTGCTAATGCTTTGATTTTGAGTTTCTTTTGGTGAAATCCCTTCTGGGTATTTCTTACTCTGATCTTCAGAATCTGATCCCTGGAAGAAAAGATAAACCAAAATGAGAATCAGCTAAAAGAAACAGGAAGCTAAGCTCAGGATCAAATCAAGAACATTTTACGAGCTATGATCACTCACTTTTTCACTTGGATCCAGCATTTTTACTTGATATTTTGAAGATCTGAAACCAACCCAAGTTGCAAAACAAAGAAAGCTCAAATGGTTAGTGAAAATAAAAGCTGGCTTGGATAAGAAAAAAGAAACAAAGGAAACAGGCCTAGTGAAGTTTTGAGTGAAGAAGATATCAAAATGAGCGAAACCCAGATGGAAAATGATGCAAAAACAACAAAAGCAAAGCAGAGAGGAAAGAGAAGATATCAAAGCAATGACGAAGAAATGAAATGAAAGCTTTGGGGAGCTTTGTTTTGGTTTTGGTTAACCGAAAAAGGAACCCGACATGCAAAAGCGAAAAGGCAAAGTGAGAGAGTATCTCTCTCTCTGGAGAGATTCAGAGAGAAAAGAAAACAGAGGAATCAAACCACACAGAACACCGCACGCAGGCGGATCTAAAAACTCTTTATAGATGGGACGCGAAACCCTAGCTCGTGGCTATGAAATGACTGAAATAACCATCGATGGGTATATTTTTTATCCCATGTTGCCACCCGCCAAAATCCCGAAAGGCCAAAAAAGAAAAAAAGAGCGGCGCCATTGAATTGGGTTTTTTCTTTGTTTGGTTTGACTCCAAAATTTTAATTGTTTACTGTTTTGTTTTCCCCGGAAAATCTTTGGATTTGATGTAGGCATTTGATAAGACGTACCACCTACATTTTCCCATCATGATTATCACTTTTATGGTGCTCTTTTATGTCCACATTGCTTCAAATATTCACTAATTGATTATCAGTGTTCAATTCAGGTTAGTTTCATCTTTTAAAAATCAAGAAAGAGATAAAAAGGAATTAATTATCAAAATTCGAATAATTTTATTATATCAATAAATAATATCAGTTTCGATTAAAATTATTTTTTTAATGAAAAGTTTTTAGTTTTAATTTTACAGTTGATTATTTATTAAAATTATCTTAAATACATGATTTGTAATCAATTATTTTAAATTATCAAATACGATATATTTTGATTTAGAAGAATAAATAATTTATCTATTTTTAAATTTTTTTATAAAAAAAAAATCAATCTCATTATTTTTAACTCGAGATGATTAAAATAAAAGTAATATTAATTTAATTGGATCAAATTTGATTTATTTTTTAATAATTATATAATATTATAAATTATTAAATTTTAAATTTTAATTTATTTTTTATATGATTTGGTTTGAAATGAATTAAATTTTATTAATTTGATTTGATTTAATTTTTAAATTTTTTATTAATTTAAAATTTTAATATATATTTTTAATATTTAAATTAAACTTAAAATGTATAAAATAAAATATTATGATTTAAAATTGATTTTTAATTTTTAATTTTATATTAAAATATTTTAATGGAGTATTTATTTGGTTGAGATTAATATCACAAGTACATAACTTTGGTACGGACGTTGAAAGCTATTTTGTGAAAGTCAAAAGAGTAATGGGACCATGCATGATGTCATTCACCTCATCATATTGCAGCAGAACTTCTCTGTATCATTCGTTCTTTGGCTTTGCCATCCTTTCCACAGGAAAGGTTAAAAATAATGGTGCCAATGTCACAAAATTTTCCTTTTCCTTGGAGTAATGCTAGGATTATGAGTGTTTGTTCTTATTTTAATTAATATGATTTAATTTGATTAATTAATCTATTGTTAAAAATGACTTTAAAAAATTTTTAACTTTCAATTAATTCGATTTAAAAAGTTAATTTATTAAATTATTTGAAATTTTAATCTATACATAATAAATTTATATATAATATAATTTATATAATTTTAATTTTTTTATATAAAATTTATTTAATTTATTTTAGGTATAAGAAATAAAGAATTTCAAATATAATATAATTTAATATTTTTTATTTAATTAATAAAAAAATTAAAAGAACTAATCAAATTAATATTAGTTAATTAAATTTTAAATTAAAAAATTTAATTTAATTAATAAAAATAATTTAATTTAATTTTAAATAATTCGATTTTAAATTAACCACACCAAACTAAAATTGAAGTTAAGTTTATCATTACATTTAAGAGTCAATATTGAATTTTATTATCTTTATGTTAATTTTGTTAAATTTTATCGTTACACTGTTAATTTATTTTTTTAACATAAAGTAATGAAATTGATCGCACAATGAAGACGACTTCAATTAATGTGAAAGAACTACAAAACGAATCATATTAATGAACCATTGAAGTTCATGCATGTCTGAACTAAAAAGTTTAACTTGTTATCATTGACTATGAATTAATGAAGCAATTAAAGAGTGAGTCGGTTGTTTTCTGGACTCATCAACCGACTCATGTCTTTTCCTAGCTACAAGTTGTAAGACGAGAATTTCAACCATCAACCGACTCGTGTCTTTCCTTCCATATTCTGGTATTAAGAAATTCTTTCACTAATGGACTCAATTGCTTCATTTCATATCAATAACAATAGTTGCCAGTTAAACTTATGACAAGATTATCAGAATAAAAAGGTGAGGTTACAGTCAGATCGGTGCTTTCCTTCGTCAGTTTAATTAGCAAACTACAAGACTTAAGACAAGATTATCAAACAAACCCAGAATTCATTTCTATATTAAATATGGGAAATGAAGACAAATCAGAAACGACATGGCAAGGAGACGAAGGAACATCAGCTTGTTTTGTGGTGCACACGTTCAGTTCAAAGCTATGGCAATGAACACTATCAAGGTAAGACGAGAATTTCAACCATCAACCGACTCGTGTCTTTCCTTCCATATTCTGGTATTAAGAAATTCTTTCACTAATGGACTCAATTGCTTCATTTCATATCAATAACAATAGTTGCCAGTTAAACTTATGACAAGATTATCAGAATAAAAAGGTGAGGTTACAGTCAGATCGGTGCTTTCCTTCGTCAGTTTAATTAGCAAACTACAAGACTTAAGACAAGATTATCAAACAAACCCAGAATTCATTTCTATATTAAATATGGGAAATGAAGACAAATCAGAAACGACATGGCAAGGAGACGAAGGAACATCAGCTTGTTTTGTGGTGCACACGTTCAGTTCAAAGCTATGGCAATGAACACTATCAAGGGGATAGGATTAGATAAAAAGAAATACAATGAAGGGACAAAATTCTGCCAGATATTATGTTTGACGGTGAAGGAACATGAAAAAAGGACCACACCAACACCATGGCCCATGATACCACAAAGTTTTCCTTCCCAAATTATGTTATAGTGTTGTTTTGCTCTGGGCTGGTTATAGAGAGATATAGAAAGGTAGAAGGATAGTAAATTGAAGGGGAAAGGAAGATTTGCTCTTTCTTCAATGATGGCAGAATAATCAATGGGGGATATTGGCTAGCTTTTCTCTGACTCTGTCATGATTATCTTTCATTTTCCTTCTCGTAGCTTCATCCTGGGTACAGGCCTGCTGTTCACCATCGTTGAAGCAAAAAAGGCATTAGACAAGTTTGAAAACTGAGCAATCCATTGTAAAAAGTTTAGTGGACATTGTTCAGTCCAAATTAGTACTTCAAAAATCTCCTTTTTTGAGAAAATAAAGGGTTTTCATTAAAGTACACCCTGTTAATAAAATTCATGGTTGTGCGAAATGTGATTTTTTTGGAAATTAGAGAAAAAGGAAATATATAAAGTAAATGATCCTTTTTTTTTTCTTTATGATCATGGGATTTTCAGCTGGCTACCATAAAAGTGAAAATGATTGCATAAGACTACACATACTATCACTATCGTTGTTTCTCCGCCTAATAAAATATAGAAAATAAATGCATAATAAGAATCAAACTCATGAGTCAGAATAACAAAATAAATTCAGAGTTTATTTCAATTGTTTTAGTGATATTTTATAAATTTAAGATTTAAATTTCAACATTTTATAATTTTTTTTTTATTTTAAACAAAGTCTTTGGAGTTGACAGTGATTGAGGTTCGATTTTTTTTTTTTTTTGTTATCTTCCAAACTGGGACGTGGGCATGACCAAGTTTATTTTCCGTTTTAAAAGGGAATTACATTAAAACAAAGTTACCAGTCTACAGAGCTACGGGCTTGGTTGAAAAAAAAGAACTTTGAAACGGCAAAATTCATCGGTACCACCCTTTGGGGCATCCGAAAGGCCAACTTCTTTTAAGACTTTATTCTTCGATAATCTCGCATTAGAGATGACCCCTTCTTCTCCAGCTAAGGTCGGCTAAGCGGATCCGCTGGCCATATGAAAAGTAAGCTCAGACAATCTTCGTTATTTTATAGGATGTGCTGTTACAAGTAAAATTGTATATTTATAAAATGTAAAATAAAAAAATTCATATTATATTTTATATAAAAAATTACATCTTATAACTTATATCAATTCAAAAACATAAAAAAAATATATATTTTTTATGTTATTAAATTCATATATAATTATTATTGAACACTTTATTTTTTTCTCACGTTTTAGATTCAAATTAACGGAAAAAAAATGCTATCCTTTCGAGTAACTTTCTCGTTTTTTGGGGGTATAAGGAGACCAGAGGTAAGCAAATAGTAAAGATCATAAATTCTATGAAAAATAACCACAATAATCCACAAATTCACGCACTCAAATACAAGGATGATAAGAATTTCTTCCTTTCTTTCTTTCTTTCTTCTAGCAATAGACCATAAAATGACGTTTATCAATACTCAATATTCAATACCATTCACGACATGAGACCGCAAATATCAACCATTAAAAAACTGAAAGAACTCTCGACTCAAAACAACCAGGAGGCAACTACTGCAACCGGGTAACCCTTACCAGCACACCCATTTAAGTGAAAGAGTCCCGCTTATACAATACAAGAGGAACCTCCAATGGCATTGCATTGTACCATTTACATGTAATTTCTTGGTATTGCAGACAACTTGTCTGGTCATAACCATCCATATTCCGAAAATCATGGAATTGATAGACCTACCTGGGCACCTCCTTCACCACAGTGGACACTGGACATACTATATAAACAGACACACCAAGGTGCACTGACCAAACACGACCAAACTTTGACCCCGTCTATCAGTCGTAACCCCCATTACTAACTGTTAGGTCTATAAAGCCCTGCATTTTCAGTAAACTAAGTCAGTAGAGTTGATGGTTAACTTCATCAAATAAATAAATAAACAACCACTCCCAGGTTTGGGATTCAAATCCAGCAAAATAAAAAATATTTGAAGTATATACTATACAAACCTTCAGTTGAAGTTGAATCCACCAGATGGAACCTGAAATCCATTCCCTCCAAACTGGAAACCTTGCTGAGTACCATCACCAGGAGGTAGTGTCTCTTCATCCTCCTCCAACCAATAAGTCTCGAGAATCTTGACGGCCTTCTCATATATCTCGGTATTATCATGACTCTGTAAATTTTCAATCTTTTCTAATCCCTCAGCATCTTCTATCAGTTGGGCACAATGGTTAAACTCCCCAGCACCCCCAGCCTTCTCAGCTTCACCAACCTTCAAAATGTTCTCCAACCCTTCTAGACACACCGTTATAATTCTTAAATCAGGGCATGCAAGAAGATCGCACAAAGGTTTTATGCACCCTTGACTAACCAGGTACCTACATGTTCACATAAGGAGAATGATTTAGTGATCAGTTCTAAGGCAATGGAACTAAGGAAACAACATCAAAAAAGAATCAACAACTAACATACTTGATTTGCTGATGAGTACCACCCGAAGTAGCATTTGAAATTGCCCATGCTGCTTCTTTCTTTATATCAAATTCAGCATTTTGAAGTAGATTGACTAGGGGCCCAATTAATCCAGCATCGATCACAGCCTACATAATTTTAACATATAATAAACATAGCTTAATAAAAAAATTCCAGAAGCAAAAGGGCCAGTAGATCAGTAAATTTGGACAATTTTGAAAATGCTTGAAGCAAAATTTTCCATGATTTACTCACCAGGATCTGTTCCTTGTTTCCAGCAGTAATGTTTGAGATAGTCCAGCAAGCTTCCTTCTTTATGCTCTTTTTATGATTATGTGTCAGCATGCTTAGAAGGCATGGTAATGCACCATGGTCAATAATAAACTGAAAATGGAAGGCCAAAAAATTATAACAAATCAAAATAAAACAAAAACCAACAGATGTAGAAGAACTAAAAATTAAGGATGAGGCAAAATCCTAAACCATACCTGAGTCTGTAAATCATCTCCTGTCACAATATTTCCAACTGTACGGAGAGCAGGAATGAGCACTGAAGGAGATGGATTACTGCTAAAACACATGTATAAACTATCAGGTTAAGAGAAAAGTGTAAAAGTTCAAAGATTTTTTTAGGTGTTCTACTCACAGCAGGAGCTCAACAAGTCGTGGACAAACTCCTGCCTCAATCACAGCTTGAATTTTGTCATTTGTACCATCAGACAGATATGAGAGAGCCCAACAGGCATCAGTCAGAACTTCTTCGTCATTTGAATGAACAAGATGTTTGAGCGAAGGTAGAGCTGGTCTCACCTAGGCAACAAATTCCCAACATTTAAAAGCTCAATCAAAGTCATAAAAGAAAGGAAGGGGATATAAAAGAACAATGCAAAGAAAAAGATTAAAACCTGATCAAATGGAGGCTGTGGCTTGCCCCTGCAGAAATTCGATAACGTCCACGTGGCATTTCTCAGCATTGATAGCTTAGCATGTTCATTCAACTGTGTTAACAGCGGCATCAAAGCTCCATGACTGAGAACAAGATCACGACACCTAGGGGAATCACCAGCAACATTCCCCAATGCCCACACAGCCTAAGAATTAACAAACAAATCAATCAATACAAAGTTCTATATTCTCTTTACTAGTTAAAAACAAGTATTCCAGAATTACAAGTCTCAAACGTAATTTAAAGGATAGAATAGTCTGAGATATACCTGCTCGCGGACATCATCACTTGGTGAACCAAGAAGCTTTACAAAAATCGGAACAGCCCCGTGATCAATAACTACCTTCGTATTCTCCGAGGTTCCAGAAGCAATATTTGTAAGCGCCCAAGCAGCCTCAAACTACAGATTACCAAAATTAGCATACAAATTAAACTCCTGAAATTAGCTATTAGCAATTAAGAACTTATACCTGAAGCTGTGGAAAATCTTCCCTCATAAGAAACTCAACAAAACGTGGAACGACACCGGATTGTATAACTTCCTCAATTGGAGGACTCCGCTCTGTTAAAAAAAAAAAAAGCAAATTTCTTTAAAAAATATTCAGATAACAATTAAAAGAAAAACAAAGCGAAAAGAATGAAAAATACCAATTGAAAGCAATTTTCTGAACTGAGTAGTCGCCTCTAGCTGCGCTGCGCCGTCATCGGACCAAACGCCGGCAACCATTGAGGGAAGACTCTCTAACTGCAATAACAAACTTTGAACCACTTAAATTTCGAGAAACAAAGAGGATAAATTCGAGATTTTGATTACGCGGTTGTGATTTTACCTTCTTTTCGACGTTAGAGGAGTGAGGAGCAGCAGCGAATTGTTGAGCTTGGAGGCCTTCGCGGCGCTTCTTCTGTAAACTCTCTTCGCGCTTGCTTTTCCGGATCTCCACCATGTTGTCTTCTCTTCTACGGCGGCCTTCCTCCGCGTCAACCGCCACCTTGTAGCGGTTACGGCGGACTTCGGTTCTCGTGCTCGGTCTCAACGACATGGCGGCTGCTTTTCTTTGAAAACCCTAGGAAAAGGACAGTGCTCAAAAAATTCGAGATTTATAAAGGATCGAAAGAAGGGAAAAAACCCTAGCGAGTTATGGAGTTGAGATTTTCGTCGTAGTGAAGTTTAACAGCATATTTGTCTTAAGGAAAGGAGAAAAGAAAGTAATGGAAAGGAAACAAAAGGCAAAGGAACCTTATTTGTATATAACATAAATAAAAGTAAAGGAAATGAATGTATAATTAGCTTTTTTTGGTTTTTTTTTTTTTTTTTATTATCCTAAAATGGGAGAAAAGGAAGGGAAAAGAAAAAATAATTTAAAATATGAAATAATTATTACATTTTTATTAATTTTTTAAATTAAAAATGTATGATTTTAATTTTTAAAATTAAATTGAAAATATAAAATATCATTTATCAATAAATTTATTATCTCTAAATTTTTTTTATGTTTATTAATTTTAAAAATTTCATTTATGATTATTTTTATGAAAAATAAAAAAATTAAAAACATAAAATACGTTAGCATAAACATATACATATTATAGTAAAAACAAAAATAATCAAAAATTATAATAAAAAATAATATAATAATTTATTTTCTTTTCTTTCTATTATTTAACTAAATAATAATTATTAAAATTTTTATTTTTAATTAATTTTAATTATCTAAATAAATGGCACATATATCTTTTTCTTTTCTTTAAAAAGTCTTTCATTCTTTTCCTTAACTTTTCTTTCTTTTTTTTTTTCTTTTATTAATAATAATCCAAATATAATTTAAAGCAAAATGGAAAAGGCCGTTTAAGAGGGACGAATGGGTGATATTTCTATTTAATATTTATTAATTTGTTTTTCATTTTCTTCACAAAAAAGCTCATTTTAAATTTTAAAAAAATCATTTTTGTAATGTTTTTAATTTTAAAATTTAAAATTTAACAAATTTAAATATAAAAAAATATTTTTTAATTTAAATACTTATAAAACCCCAAACATAATTAAAAAGTGATTGAATGATCAACGAGTTCTTGATTATATAATTGATAAAAGTATCCAATAAATAAGCTTAATTAGTTGAATTCAAATAACTTTCACAATTAGTTTTAGCAATTTTTTTGGTATATTTGTTTTTTTTTATATTTAAATTATTAAAAATTAAAATTTGATCATTAAAATTAAAATTTTAATATTATATTTATAAATTTTGCAACTGTCGGTAACATTTTGTACTATTGTAAGAGTAAAATCAACTATATTAATTCTTAGTATTAATATAATATTCTTATTTTATTATATATAAAAAGTAAAAAGGTTTTTTTGAGGTGGATTTTAATTTAAATACTTCATTTTATTGTTAAAACAAATATAATTATTTATTTTTATTTAGTAAAGTAAAAAAATTAATATTCTATACATGAAAATTTTAAAATTTACCATCCATGTTGGAATATGACAATATGCTTTTTTACTTACCATATAAATTTGTCCATTTTTTTCAAATATACTCTAATGGAGTATGTGAAAATCTCATTGGTAAAGTTTTAAACTGTTGAAAGATGGCAATTAGTTTCAACACAAGCAAAGAGATTAGGTTAGGCAGCTACCTCAAAAAGTCAAAATCAAATCATGATATAATTTAAAAAAAAAAATTAATATCAATGATTCTTAAATTATAATAAATATTCAATGTAATATTTAAATTTAAAAACTTTTAATATAATAATTAAATTATAAATTTATAATTTATTGATACTCATTTTTATTATGATTAACTTTAAATAATAATATATTATAATAAAATAATTTATTAAATATTATATTAATTAATATATTCGAGCATCATATTAAAATTCAGATATACGTTAAATGTTTCAATATAGTATGAGAAACATTTGTAACATTAATCTTTTTTCTTTTGGGGTGAAATCATGAAAAATTGCAAGAATCAATGGTCCCATATCAAGAAGATTTACTAAGCATATACTCTTTAGCCTCTCCAACACCAACTTCTGTCACAGCCCAATTGAAGTTTGGGTCATGAGCAAGAGCTAGATTTGTTTTCTTACTTGTCCCATTAACCCCCGACTTGTTCATACTAACTGGAGGGTTAGGATTTAGGACATTAAACTTACAAAAACAATGCCCTCAATTTCTGCAACAAAAGTCGTTTCAATGTATAGGAACAAAGAATTATATGCAAAAATCAAATGGATACAATTTGTTCTTTTTCGGTACACCTACAGAAACTGTAGCTCTAGCTTGTGCCTTCAGCTTTGCCAGAGGCACCAATGGCATTTATTTGCTTTGCTCTAAACACCATTTGATTGCTTTCTGAAATTCCATGAATGTGAAAATGGTGGTGGTTGGCTTGGAAATTATGTGATCACTGGATCCTTTCTGGCCATGGTTGTCATCCGATGGGGTGATGAAACAGGAGGCGAAGCGTATAGGACGGAGGCCTCAAGGACCTGTTGCCGCACATTTTGCTGTTCTTGGAACATTTTTTGTGCATGTAATGCTCTTAAGTACAGGCCATCAGCCAGGAAAACTGTCATTAATGAAAACACACCAGCAGCACAGAACACGCCTTCTCTGATGATGTGGCAGCTCGCTTTTGGTTTTGACCAGCTTTTTAAATGTCCCGATTCCACAACAAGCCCAACCAGCAACAAAATCTCTGCCACAGCAAAGCAAAGCCTACAACAGAACCAATGACAGCGTTAGAGATAGATTTTTGTAACACTAATCAGACTTGTTTCTACGAAGGCAGCTGTTTTGCCTGTATCTGTTGTTTAAAGAAATGAAGGAATAAAGAAGATTCTGCAAGATGTTTGTAAGTAAAATAGTATTATAATCAAAAGGGTCATCATAATTCACAAGGCATTGCAGAAAATCGTCTGGTAAAGAATGGAAAATAACTTGTGATGCAATGTAGATGTTTGAGATGCAGAAGCAAGAAAAGTTTTGGTAATTGAGAAGGAAATTCTAATCAGATCAGCGAATAGTTGCATCAGATGTCGTACCAGGTTGTGACAACGAAAAATCCTGCTTGCCACGTGAGAGTCTTGGCACAAATAGAATCAGGGTCCCAAGAAACTAGAGCAGGCGATGGTGATTTACCGACTGCAATCAATATGTACATATGTTCCACTACCATGGCAACAGCTAGTCCCACAAATGCCACAACAGAACACAACAATGGTGTCTTGCCGCTACCGCTATAGACACATTCATATTTCACTTCCTTCCCATTATCTTCAGATTCCACCCACATTTCCTGGAAGATAATATACGTGTATCAGATATATGATTAAGTTATTAATCTGAATTGAGGTTTTTCATTGAAGGAAAAAAAAAAACCCTGGGAAGTACCAGAGAACGAGTGGCTTCTGCCTTGAGGCAAAGGATGAAGCAAAACAGGCCACAAATAATGGTTAAAACCATGAGAACAACACCAGTTCTGCTGCCCAATTCAGTGCTTTGACGACCTGGTGCAAGATCAGCATGTGTGACAGCCACTGTTTTAGGCATTTTTGGAGTCTAAAACAAAGAGAATTCATGCAGGGTGTCTGAAGAAAGACTACATGGTATTAAATGGTTTGCACGACAAAAGTGAAAGAATTATTGAATTGCTTGGAGTAAAGGTTGCTTAAAGGCAAAGATTCCAAGGTTCTGGACCTTACTGTTAAGTATTCACACAAGGAAGATTGTCGGTTCTAAAATTTGGGTTTAAAAAGCTTATTCTGCATATAATAAAGATAAAAGTCACAGCCTCACAGGCCACAAATTGCTTGCTCATCATAGACACGTGTATAATGTTTGAGTTCTCGTTCTGCATGTAAAGTTGCCCATCCTCCCTTTGGCTCAAAGTGAATTTCTGGTCCTCTCTTTTCTTCACCTTTGGCTCAAAGTGTATTTCCTTAGCTCTCTTTAATTTAGTCATATGCAAGTAAAATCCCTTCTAGTAACTCCTTGGCCAACCCAATCTTTCCCACGATTTCCATGGCGTCTAATTGAGAAACCACATTGTTTGACAAAACTGCGATAAATTCACAAGCAGCATCCTGTGATACAAATCTTTGGCCAATAAATGGAACAAGATTCACAGAAGTTTGCTCTGACAATATCGTGTCCTCGGGCATTTCCACAATAGTTCCAGTATCATCTTGACTTAAATCAGTGCCATTCTCAGAAGATTCCATAACCATACTTGTTCCTTCTGACAATCTTTCAACAATAGATAAACGAAATTGCAGTCCCAAACAACCGTAAACAATAATTTATACTAGTTAAACAACATGTGCAGATACAAGGCAAACCAATGAAATATCTCCAAGAGAAGAACTAATACTAGTAATGCAAAAAAGCTACTGAGCACAGTTGTAACGAAATAACAGGACCAAAGAACCACATTCTATCAAGTAAAGAAACTACTATTCTTCTACTTCAATACTCTTCAAAATGCTTCGTATCTTCATATATCCATTAACAAAGTTACTTCTTCCGTTAACCCAATGTGTAGAGTAACATTTTAGACTAAAGGGTACTTAGCATTTCACTATGAAATCCACCAATTCAAGCATTTTTTATTATTTTAGGGATTTTTTGAAGTATATTTTTAAGCTTTGTCTCTGTATCTGACTTTCCATTATTTTAGGAAATGAGCATCTAATCATCAGGCGGGCCAGGAGCATTAATTTTGACTTCAAGAAACATGGTAAATTTTTAAGAAGTTTTCTTTTCTATATGTAGCATATATTCTGTTTGATGAGAAAAAAGTTGAAGAATAAATAACAAGGTTAGTGATATAGCTAGCGTTTCAGGTATTGGGAAAGATTTTTCTCGGACACTTTCGATGGTTGTTGTAGTTCGCAAGGGAGATGGTAGTTGTGAAGTCAAATGAGAGGAAACCTAATGTTTCTGCCACCAACCAAAATCCCTCAACAATTTAATAAACTAATAGCTGAAAACAGGGAGAAATTTAATGTTATCCATCCAACCAAGCCTAACATTCTCCAAAAATTCAAAGTTTAATATTATTAAATGTGGAATGTTTCTTCCACCAAACAAAATCCCAAAGCAAAAAGACCTCAGAAAAAGTGAAAAACCATCATTTATGGTAGTATCCAATTCAATGACCTCAGAAAACATAAACCAGGCATCATTTTTTTAGACAAAACAATTATATACATATCTTGAAGCACTATAGCTTGAAAATCTTTTCTGTTTCTGATCTCTCTCTCAGAAGATCTCTGCCAATTTAGAAATGGCAGATACTGGGAGAGAGATGGAAGATTTCAAAGCAGAAAACCAGCCATTTGATGGTTCATCAAATCAACCATCATCATGTTGTAACAGTACTGCTCTGGATTCTCCTCCTCAGCCTATCCCTTCATCGACATATCAGTCAACATGCAAGGATGATATCGACAAATACAAGAATTATAGTTATAATAATTCCAAAGTGACATGGGGCGCTGGCGATCCTGATTTGAAGAGGCAACGCCGTATGGTGAAGTATAAGTCTTATGCTGTTGAAAGCAAATTAAAATCATCCTTAATGAACAGCTTTCGTCGGATGAAGAACAAGTAATGCTAACAATTATATTATAATTAATCGATTAAAATTTAAATTACCTTAAATTCACTAAAATTTTAAGTGAAATTTGTATTTATAAATGAATGATTCTTACATAAATATTTTCTTATTTTCAATACTGTAAATTGATTTGAATATGATAAATTTTAATATATTTCAACAAGAAAATGTTTTCAGTAGGCTTAAGACTCTAATTTGAAGATTTTAAATTTGATTATTGAGATGGACGGAATGTAATTGATAATGAGGGAAGAGATGGCTACGTTTTATTGTATTATCTAATATCATATATACAAAAAAAAAAAAGTAGATAAAAATATTTTCTTAAATAATAAATTTAATTAGTGCTTGTTTTTAATAAATGTTTTTAAATAATTCTTTAATGTAGATTTTATTTTCACAAACATATGTATTTGATTTATGATTTTTAAAAAAATAATATATTTTTAATCGATAAAATTATTTTTTTATAACCGCATTTGATGTTTGATTGAACCAAAGGATTTTGAACACGTGTACTCCATTCCACCAAGTAGTACACAAACTAATTAACACTCGCTTGTAACTTTATCAAAAACCCCAGGAGCACTCGAGTCTCCATTTGGAATTTGAAATCTCGTTCCTCTCCAAAGAGACGTTATACGCTTTTTAATTTTACCTCCTTCTGATGATAACTTGTATAAATGATTTTTTATTGAAAAAACATTTTTATTAAATTTTTTTTTTTAAAAGAGAATCCCATGTTGTAACCTTGTCTCCATTTATTGCTTTGAACTACAATGCTGTCTCTCTATTGCTCTGTCTCTTTCTCACACACAAAGGAGGAGCCTTTCACTTTTGTTTCTCCTAAAAATCTCAACTTTAAGCTTAACCCATACCAAAGCTTAGTCTTTTCTCTACATTTAAGCTGAACCCAGAGGCCATTTAGCTGTATTGAAGCTGATCCCATTCATTGGTTTCAATGTAAGTTTTTTTTTTTCTTTGATTTAAAGTTTTGGGTTTTTATTTTTGGTTGTGGCAATTGATTTTCTTATGAAGCTGCTGTTTATTGATGTTTGTATTGTTGCTGTTGCTTGGTTTAAGGTTGTTTGTTTGTTAGTTGGCATAGAATTGATTTATGTGTTTTTGTTTTCCTTTTTGAATTATTCACTTGGGATTTGTTTGGTGCCAAGAAAGTCTGGGAAAGGAATGTGACTAGAAATTTTGAACATAGTGTTCTTCATGCAGGTTCAATGAAATTGAATTGCTTGGAACATTATAGGAGCAATCTCTCCGTCTCTCTTTCTCAGACAACCTTTTATTTCTAGTATAATAGTTTTCTTGTTGTTAAATAGAGCTGAAAAGCATTTGATTAACAGATTGGGTTAGAATTGGGATCTGAGATGTTTAGTTTAGTAAAATGAGTCAACGCAATTAGTTTATACGACTTTCCTCCTTAATACCATAGAAACTTCAGCTGTTGAAAATAGGGTTAAAGACAAATGCTAGATGGTATGATCTTTGCTTGTTCAATAGCAAGGCTATCATGGTAAAGTATAAACAAAGATATAGAGGCACACGTAGAGATATTGTTATAGCAAAGTTTTGACATTGTAAGTTGCTTCTTACCTGGAAATTGGGAGAACATTTGGTTAAAATACTTAAGATTGAGTGCATCGTGATATAGATCTAAGCTGGTGACTGTGGTTGCAGGAGAACAGGTGGTTTATCTGTTCATTTCATGTTCTTTTATTGTCTCGTTTGTTTGACAAATTTTAGCTATTTCAAGTTCTGCAATGTCTATTTAAGTGTAATGAGAAATGAAGATAGAAATACTACATTTGACCATGTTACTTGTTGCATTTTATGGAGATCTTAAATTAGGGCTAAGGAGGAGGTAGTTCACCTCCATTAACAGTCTTCCGACTTCCCTTCTAGGGAATCCAGATAGACATCAGGTCTTCCATTTCATCTAATAAAATATCAAGGGAAACATACATAGAAAGCTCTACGCTTGGAAAGTGTAATAATATACATATGCTCTTTGAGAAGTGATAGTGCTTAGTTTCTTTATCTGTTTTGAACAGTGGAGATCTTAGTAGGAGGAGTTATCTCACAAACTTAACATCTTATAATGGTTTAGAATCTCCTAGGAGTTTATAATATAGACTTCTAATGTAGAGTTTGATTGTGAGAAATTCAATTTACTTGGTAACTGAACTGTTTGTTGTGTTTAATAATAGCTACAGATGAGTTTGGTTCGTGGAATGGAGTTTCTATTTCTCTTGTATCATTTGCTTATATAAGTTGAGCAGTCCTGAATTCTTCTTTCATACAATGGGAGTTGACAAAGAAGGTTCAAAAAATGGAGGAGGTTATGTAGGTGGATTTTTTCAGCTATTTGACTGGACTGCAAAATCCCAGAAGAAGTTATTCTCAAGCAAGTCGGATTTCCCAGGTATAACTGTCTTCTCTGTGAGGATGTGCATGCAATATGTGTCTCACCAAGCACGGCATACATGTGCAAGTGCAACATATATTCTTATACCAGAATGGTTTATTTGTTTTTGTGCTTGCTAATGGGCTTTATTTCTTCAAATTTTAGAGCGTTCAAAGCAGGGAAAGAGAAGTGATGGAAACTTACCAATGACACGACTCTATCTGGTGGGAACATGGCAATTCCTGATGATTTCAGGGTTGATCTTATTACACTCTTGACAGTGGTGATTTAGTCTTAGCCTGCTTTACAATTTTTTTTGTGATTATTGCAGACAGATGAGGATGAAATTGGAGCAGGAACAAGCATCAAAGGAAGTAGTGATTATAGTTGTGCTTCCTCAGTTACAGATGATGATATGTATGGAGCTAGGGCCCCTAGTGTAGTGGCCAGGCTTATGGGATTGGATTCCTTACCCACGTCTTCTGAGCCCTACTCCACCCCTTTTTTTGACACTCAATCTCTTCGAGATGGTCATTTCCGAAATAGAAAACTTAATTATCATCATGACCAGAAAATAGTTTATCCTGGAGATCTATTCAATAAGATGGAGGGCCCTTCCAGGAACTTTGAGGAGTCAAAGCCTCAGAAGATAGTCAGCAAGCCTATAGAGAAATTCCAAACTGAAAGTTTGCCTTCTAAGGCAGCTAAATCAATTCCAGTTACCCACCATAAACTTTTGTCTCCTATAAAAAGTCCTGCTTTTATTCCTACTAAGAATGCTGCTCAGATAATGGAAGCAGCTGCACGAATTATTGAGCCTGGACCCCAAGCCATTACTAGAGCCAAAATGCCTCTGGTTGGATCATCCTCAGTGCCTGTGAAAGTTCGCGATTTCAAAGAAAAAATGGAGGCTGCACAGAAAATGCCTCTCATTGGATCTTCTTGTATGCCCTTGAAAGTTGGAGATTTAAAAGAGAAAGCAGAAGCTGCACATAAAACATCCAGGCTTGCCGAAATGACTAGAAGGCCAATCGAGTCAAATGCTGCCAATTATCTTAAAGGACGATCTTTGAACAAGAGCTGGAATGCGTCAATAGACACAACATCACCCAGGACTTCTGATACAGAAGAAATTTATTCTGTTTTAAAGAGTAAGGCGAAGTCTATTTCACTTGCAATCCAAGCAAAGGTCAATGTGCAGAAAAGAGAAGGATTGACTTCAAGCAGCAGCCGAAGTTTGTTAGGGCAGAAAGACCAGAGTGAAGTTAAGTCAAATCAACCCTCCAAGAGCCAACCAAGAACTCAAAAAGTTTGCATAAGAAATCTTCAATGCACAATGGTTCTGGTGTACTCAGGAGGAACAATCAGAAGCAAAATTGTATGGTGGACAAGGACAAATTACCTTCAAAGCCCATTGGTTCCACCTTGCACAGTAGTAAAGTGCTTTCTGGGGATTCTGCTTCTGGGCAACACAAAACGTTAGGTAAATCTGTTGGGAATTCCAAAACTGGCTCAAGGAAGTTGAGCTTGGGTACATTGGATAGCGAGAAAGGAGGTCCATATTCAGGTACAAATAACCCAAGGAAGAAAAGATCGATTGATAGGGATTTCCATCTTGAGAATAATAAGGTTGTTGATAGTGTGTTGATTGCAAAAAATGGTAAGGAAGATCATCCTGTTACTGAAAGGAACTTCAGCTGGGTTGAAGATAGCAAGAAGAAAGGCATGGATGTTGTTTCTTTCACATTCACAGCCCCACTTACTCGGTCACTGGAAACATCTGCTCAGATTACACAGAGAAATAACAGCATTTGCATGGATAATCGGGGTAAGAGATTGTTGCTTGACAGGGAGAGTATGAAGTTGTCTTCATTGGGATATAATGTGATAGGAGGAGATGCTTTAAGCATGCTTTTGGAACAAAAGCTTAGGGAATTAAGTAATGCCGTCGAATCTTCCTGTCACAAATCTCTCAATTCAAGATCAGCTTTTACTTCTGCATCAATCTCACAAGATCTGGGGCACACTCCTAATACTGTTAGTACCATGAGTTGTTACAGTTCCGACCTTTCCTCTACTGATCTTCAACTGCTCAGATTGAAACACAAGTTTCAGGTAAAAGACGTGGTTTTTCAATTTTCTAAGAAAAACCTGCTCAAGTCTTTCTTTATTGTGCTTCTAGCTATATACTAGTGCCTCTGCCACTTGAATGTATCACCTTTTGGGGTTTTAATGTTAACCATATCCAAAGCATGTGTGTGAGTGTCGCTATGAAATGCATCAAAACTATTTCAGAAAATGATAATTAATGCTAATATGAAACATTCAGGGAGATGATGAGATGGATGAATGCAGCAGTAGCCATCTTGATGCTCAGCAACCTAGTCCAGTTTCTATCCTTGAACCTTCCTTTTCAACCGAAAGCTGCAACTCTTCTGATAGCACAGATAGTTTCAGCATAGAAGGTTATTAAAGCTAGTGGCTTATACTTTATGTTTGTTATTAAATCTGTGCTATAATTTTTTCTTAGCTATACTAATCTATATCTCTGATACAATTTTAGGAAGCAAGCAATGTTCATCTGTTCAAGCTCAGGAAGTTCTTGGGCAGAGTTCTTTGAAGAAGTTACACTCACTAGAAGCTGATACAGAGTTATCAGATTCTGCTTCTTCTTTATCTTGTGGAACTATGGCTAAAAGGGAATCAAAAAATGGTTATGTCAGATCTCATGAATTCAGTAAACTGGGAACTAGAATATGTGAAGCTGATACTTTGCAATGTGGAATTAATGTTCAAGGACTTTGTCTTAGGCCATGCTCAGGAAATAATAAACCCTCATCTTTTCGATCAGTTGGAAAGCCGAAGAGGAGTATTTGGAAGTGATGGGGGGGAGTCTAGGCTGGAACGGAAGGTACTATTTAATTTAGTCAGTGAATGCGTAGACTTGAGATGCAGGCGGTATGTGGGTGGGGGATTTAGAACATGGGCAAAAGGGATGACAATTCTGAGAAGAAATGAGCGGTTAGCTGAAGAAGTGTACAAGGAGATTTCAGGGTGGAGAGGCATGGGAGACTGTATGGTGGATGAGCTTGTGGACAAGGACATGAGCAGTCAATATGGAAAATGGGTGGAGTTTGAAGCTGATGCATTTCTACTTGGAGAAGACATTGATGGTCAAATACTGAATGCTTTGGTTGATGAGGTTGTTACTGAAATCTTGCAGTTTTAAAGTTGATGCATATTGCTCTTCACTATGATCCCATGGGGATCTTGTATCATGAAGATTCTTAAAACTTCATTTTTCAAATTATTGCTTCATATATATTAAGGCATTGGGAATTAACATTTTTCTCTTAATGCATTAAAATATAGCACATTAATTATTAAAAATATTATTATAAATAATAATTAAATTATTAAACACATTCATTAACAAATCTTTTTAATTATTTATGAATTTGGTTCAGTTCATCATTATTGTCACAAGTTACAGTACTTTTTCTTTTTGGAATTCCATATGTGCTGCCTTGTCTGGTGTATTTTGATTTTGTAAGATAAAGTCAAATTCAAACTTCTAAAACAAATATTCTTATGTACTAAGTTTTAAAAGAAAAATGCTTCTTACTACTGCATTTTCATATTATATATATATATATATATATATATACACACACACACACACACACACACATACACATGCACCATCTAATGCATATAAAAGTAATTTATTGATAATTGCACACCTATAATAATAAGGATAGTGTTTATGCATTAAAGTATTGCATTTACATGATGCATTCATATATATATATATTATATATATATTATTTTAAGGACTTAAGTGAAAATATTAAAATTGTTATGGGTTATAATAGAATTTTTAAAAAATATATTTTATGTGAGTGTGTAAAATGTGTGTATGAAATGATTGTATATAACTTTGTCCTAACCATAAATATATTTGACTAGAGTTTTGTACTTTTCCCAAATTATTGTATTTTTAAATTATGGTAGGCTTTCCGTAGGCATAAATATCAATGTTCTTTAATTCCCTTGAATAGAATGTACCAGTAGTAAATGGGATGAGCTGATCAACAAAGATCATAATGATCCTCACCCTTCCCTTCCCCAGCCACTTCATCATCAACAAATTATATTTGAACCTTTTATCCAAGAATTTTAAAAATATGCATTAACTATAGAATCATAAATTTAGATATAAAAAAATATATATGATTTGAAATATATGAATAGTTATGCTAACTTCCTTATAATTTGCAGCAAACAATGCGTGTATGGCATTAGATTTAATAATTTAAAATATGATATGAATATGATATGAAAAATAAAATATGAAAGTAACAAAATTTAAAATTTTAACAATAATTATATATGAATTTAATACAATCAAAAAATATATTTTATATTTTTATATAAATATGAATTATGACATATAATTTTCGTATAAAATATGATATAAATATATGAATTTAAATAATTTACATTATGCGGATACTCGAATTATTAGGTCTATATGGCACAAATCTCAATGATGGTGAAATTTACAGATTTTCTTAATTTATATTCTATCTTTTGTTGTCATCTTCAACGAAACCCTGGCGTTGATATTTTATTCTCTTCACCTCTCCTTTTTAATGGCATTTATTCTGTAATTACCTGAATTAAAAACTGTGAAAAATGGTAACACTGCCCAGAGTCCATAATGTGATCCAGAGCACTTACTTAAGATCATCATGTTCATGCCCCAACTGTCCAGTGTCCAGTGTTTGGTTTACATTTGAAATCCCCAAGTAACAAATTCATAATCATACATCTTAATTTTGAAATTGGAAAAGCACAAAAATTTATGGAATAAAAGTTTAATATAAAAAGAAGAAAACTGATAAGATGCATTCATGTTAACAAATTAGTATTTGAATGTTGAAACGTGAAAGTGTCAACATTGTTACATAAGTATTTTCAGGCTGGAAAAAAAGTTTATTCATATATATATATATATATATATATTATATATATGTCAATTGAACTTTCTTATAATAGGGATAAAAAACAAAGAAGAAAGAGACCTTGAAATATATTGAGCAAAAGTAATCATTTTAAAATATTAATGCCAACAGCAGCTTCACTCTCTTAATTAATTTGGTGCGTCTCCAGCTTCATCAGCATTGTCACCATCCAATAACCAACAAAGAACCTTACCTGAATCATCCCATAATGGGAATTGATCATCATCATAGTACTGGAAACCACCACCAAAATTTTCCCAGTCAACCCATTCATGATCATCAAACACTGAATTCCCTGGTGATGAAGAATTACGAATCTGCCATTCCCCATCAGTCATCTCTGCATTTGATGAGCTCCAGATGCCATAGCTTTCTATTTCTTGATCATCATTTTTAGCACCTTTTTGGATCCCATTAACGTCCCTGTCCTGTTCAGTTATAATAACCCTGACCTCATTTTCTCCATTTGTGGTGATCGAGCCTGCATGGTTCCCACTGGGATGCACACCTTCACTTTGCAGGATACTGCGAAGGCGCTTTATTTCATTGTCTAGCCACTCGTATGGTCCCAGAACCTCCTCAGTTTCTCTCTCGCTGCAGCCGTACATTTCAACCGCAACGCTAGAGCTTTCTTTACCGGAACTTAATGCTATTCCTGTGCTTTGCCTTTCATCATAATTGCCTGCAGGCCTTGCACTGCTGTGCATGCAAGAGCCATGCATTCCAAGGTTTCTTCTACCTTCTAGTACTGCTGAATCAGGGTCATCATTGTCCTCAGGTTGCATATTTGTCATGTCCTTGCTGTCCCGGACTTGTCCCCCAGGGCTGTTTTCTTGTGCAGCGGGATCAAAAACCTCATTAGGGGTAACAGTCTTAGGAATACCTAGTGACATCAAAGCCAACTTGTGTCTTTTCATGGCTGAGCGGCTGGTTCGACCGCCTCTTCGCTTGCCTTCTCCTGCGGTTGTTACAGCACCAATGTTGCTTGGTTTGGTATCTTTTATTATCTTGGTGAAACTGTAAATTTTTCGGCTTAAATGAGAGTTCCAGTAATTCTTAATCTCGTTGTCTGTTCGTCCTGGTAATTGTGCAGCAATTAGAGACCACCTGAAACAGTCCAAACCATAGAAAACAACACTGGTTAAACATTTAAATCAATGTTAAAAGACAACTAGGGTATTAGCTTAGTTGAAAATTCTTCATTTAAAAGATGAAATTTACCAAATTATATCTGCTTACCGTAGTTTCTTTTGAGTAATAAGATAGCTATCCAAAGAAATTAAAAAGAAAAATCTCCCGTTTTTAAATGAGAAAAGAAGGAAGTAATGAAGTTTTAGTGAAGAGATTGCATTAACTGTGCATGCCTGAAGTTCGGACCTATATATATGTAATAGTTGGTCGGTTCATGCTTCAACTGGTTATAGTTATCTGTATAATAAGTATACCTTTGATAATGTTTGCAAATTGTACTGGCTTCTGAGGATAAGTTGTTGATCAGACTATATCATCTAAGCCCCAACGAAATAACCTAGGCTTCAGCCATTTGATGGAAATTCTTGGAACCATATGTCCACTAGAGCATCTTGAGGCCAAATTGAAGCTCAGAAGCACCTCTCCTGGCTAGTTGTCAGGTCTGACCCAACTAAAGTGGCCCTAATTGGGGAAACTACAGGCAGCTGGAAACCACAAATTTGGGGCATTGGCACATCCAAATATATAGTATCATAAAACTTTTTATTATGTTTTCAAGTCCAGCTAGCCATGTGTGCAATATAGTTAATGAAAGAACCACTCAAATCTAAAAATTTGATTGTTCAAAATCAACAATTCAAACCTTATAAACTATATAATCCCAAAAAAAAGAACATTTTGGGGAAAAGGAAAGGATTGTATCATATACAAGGTTGCTCTTCAAAATTAATGTACAACTAAATGTTTCTAATGAAATTCTAAACACATTTTCAAGATTTATACCTATCAGAAACTCAAGCAAAAACTTTGTCAATGTGATCTGCAAGAGTGAAAGGAAAATGTGTACCTATTTCCCAAAGCACTATGCAACTTAACAATGGTTTCTTCCTCTTGAGCAGTGATGTTCCCTCGCTTCAAGTCAGCCCTCAAGTAGTTTATCCATCTTAGCCTGCAGCTCTTCCCACACCTCAACAAACCTATTCAGAAGGAAAATGATCATTCTTCTTTTACTTGAAACCAAAAAAAAAAAAAAAAAAATTTCTAAAACACAAAATCTTCATTTGATCTTTGTATAAATGAAGTCCATATATATACCTGCATTCTTGGGCAATGATCTCCAGGACCCTTCCCCATTTGCATGAATGTAATTTGCTAATATTTCATCTTCCTCTGCTGTCCATCTCCCTCTCTTCAACCCCACCTTCTCACAACATGTAGATCTCCCCATCTCTATCTTTACCCTCCCACATTCACTCCCCAATGGCCTTGAACTGAAGATCAGAGAAAGAGAGAGAGAAGAGGGTGGTGCTTAATGTTATGCCTAGGCCTTGCTAGAATTTGAACGTAGAGAAACAGGTTAAATAAGACAGAGAGATGATGTAGACATAGTAGCAGTGCTGCCTGAGAAAATCCTTTGCTAATTTTGTTGCCTAACAGAGATTATTGCGTAGGATGATTATAAAATAAGTACTGACATGCAAATATTGTAGGTTGATAAAGAAAGAAAAAATATTCAATTAAACTTTGATTTTTATGAATAAATATTGTAATATGAATTTTTTTAATCAAAATAGAATAAAAATACGATTTTAATATCGTTTAAATTCCAATAAAATCCTAAGATATGTACCTAGTGAATCTATTATGAAAAAGTCTGATTGCAAAGCATTTTTGTAATTCATGGAATTAAAAAATTAAAGTTGTTTTTTTTTTTTTTCTTATAGAATTTGTTAATTATAAAGAAATTTTTCAGTAAATAAGAAATTTGGTAGAGCCAAAAAGTAACTAAGAAAATGGAGGAAATGAAGTTGATTCTTGAATGGTGCAGGAACTCCATGAGTCTATTAATTTTTCTTTTTTAAAGCTTTTCTTGTTAATCGGGAAATTTCCGACTGATTGAACACTAAAAAGGAAGGTAAAAATTTAAAACAATTAGATGCTAAGTGATGAGTAAAGTAGCAGCAATGTCGACCGGTAAAAGGAATGAAATATATATATATATATATATTATAATTTAAAATATGGTACGATTATATGATATAAAAATAATATAAATAAAAATATAAAAATAAAATATTATAAATAAAATAAAAAAAATTATATATTTTTATATTAATATGAATTATAACATTAATTTTTATGTAAAGTATTATATATATAAATTATTAATATTTTATATGATATAAATATATAATTGTTAATTTTACGTCTAACCCTCGTTTAAACATAGGGTTGCGGTCCTTGATTAAACAGTCAAAATGTTCGGTGGCATTGCGCCTGGGGGGGACCTGGGGCTGGGGCCGGGGCCGTTGACTTTTTACACCACCTATGCATGTAGCGGAGCATTTTATTTATTATTTATTATTATAATATTATAAAGTAATTAATTATAATAAAAAATTAAGTAAAGTTTTATTATTTAAAAGTGTGATTTTTTAATAATTTTTTATATATTATATTATATTATAATTAATTAATTATATTACGTGAATTTTTTTATCTACGACAAAAATACAAATGTGATAGGGAACAAAATTTTCTCCGAAACAAGAGGAATTTCTTTAAAATATATAGACGGAAAAGTTATTATTAATTGAATTTTAAGCTTTTTTATTGTTTGTTTAGAGTATTTTGTTCTATTTTATATGCTCATTTTTTTAAAATGAGTTTAATTTTGATCATTATATTTTAAAAATATTATATTAAATTAGAACTTTAAAAATCAAACTTTTTTAAAAAAATTTTAATTTTATTAAAAATAATGTAAATTCATTTAATTTAAATTTTTTAAAAAAAACAGGAACAAAGAAATAACTGGTAAAAAAGCAAAAATCTCAGCAACATGGGCCGACTTGACGGGAACAATGCAACCCAAATTAATTTTTGACGTTGCAATGCTTTTAATTAATTTATCTCTACCAATCGCAAAATATAATTAGAAGTTACTTAAACAAAAGAATGTTATAGTTCTGACATAGACAATTATGGAGAAATCAGAAAATTACAAAGTATTAGTACTTATTTCAATGAATACCTAACTTTTTTTCATTTCTTTCCATCAAGTGATTACTTTGTGATCATCGATTGTTGGCAACCCACGTTAATGGCTGCCAATCGAAGGAAACGAAAAGAACAGTGCTTTATGCCTTAACCCAAAGTTTTAACATAAATATTAATACATCATGAAAAAGATATATCGATCATTGTAGAATATCCTTTGAAATTTCAGAATCCAAACTTGAATTGGAAAACAATTTTTGAACCAATATCTACTCTACGTGACAAGGTTATTAACTCATTTTCAAGTAAACATTGAATCCGACCACACAGTTAGACAAGGCCATAGGCCGCCTAACCTATCAAATGGGACAATTAACATGATACTGAACAGCCATAGGTGCCTCTAAAACACTTGCAGAATGGGTGCAAGACAGGACTCGAAAGCTAATGAGTTGTCAATGTCGGACAGATCATCGGGGTGATCATAAAATGTTCTTTTTGTCATCTTAAGAACCCTGCCTGGAGTCGAGAGATAGGTGGTCCCTTAAAAGTGATCAAGGAAAATTTATAGCCTATGTTCTTTTTCCTTAAAAGCCTCTCTTTATTTGCTCAACAACCGGCAATCCCATTGAAAGGCATGGTTTCTATTTACCTTTCAGCTCACCCGTTCAAAGTTTGTACAACCATGAATGCTAAGCTAAGTTCATGCCATTTCAACATAACAGACCATAACTTCGCAATGATTCTGATACAGGGTTAACATTTAATTTTATCTCCAACTTTGGAAGCTGAATAACTGCTTCCTTTCATAAACTTTCAGGCCTTTTCAAGGGCCGGAGATGCAATTGCTCTCATTTCTCAACCCAGAGCCTCATCTCCTCTCCTCTCCAGGCGATCTTAAAGTCGAACTGCCCCACATCGACTCAGTGCAATTAAAATTTTATTCCCAGAATGCTTATCCCAACAGTCAAACCTGGTTAACGAAAAAAGAGGGCTAGCAATTCCACTATTTGTATAATTACTTAAATTTAATCTACAAAACAGGTATTAATATACAGCACAAAGCAACAAAGGGATGAGGAAAGGTAATTCTTACAATATGATTGAAGAAAAATGAGTATGCTCTATATGCACGACAATTCTCTTCAGTTGAATTTACAAGATCGACATAAGCTAAACAGTAATTTAGCAGGGACACTTACATGATTCCTTCTCCATGGAAAATTTTTTCCCATAAATCATCAGGGTGGGTTGACACAACGCATCTCACCGGAGATCAACAACATCAAACTTTATTTTGGGGTTCATAAAGACATGAGAGCAATGCTCATAGATTGGGGTTCCATCTGAAGGCTCCTCATGGGGATGGAATCCTCGTTGCTGACAATTACGAATAATGGACACACCGCCAGGATCAGACAGATGAAAGATACCATGTGGGCTGTAACAGAATGCAAAAGTTGTTTAACATGTGAAAGTAAGTACAAGTAGATATAACAGGGAATATCTTTTCAATCTTAGAGATGCCTAATATTCATCGTACTCAACTGCTAAGATTTAACCTTCTTATTTTTATCATTTTCAACATTGTTAGCTTAGCAGGTAAATTAACCAATTAAGACACAGGAATAATCACATCCTTTACCCATTTTCATCAACTAGACAAAATGAAAATTTAAAGACAGAATATGCTTCTACAGACAGAGCAAGGAAAAACATCTCTTTCTCCCTTTGGTGAAAAAATAAGTTTCTCCTTATTCTCATCCAAAAATATATACATATACATATATATATATATATATATGCATCTCATTTTCAAGTCAAAGATGTATCATCAGTTTCCTGTATCTGTTGCTTAAAAGATGACCATTAAAAAATATGAAGGTTTGAAATGCTAGTACATAGTTACTAACTAGAAATTATCAGATAGTGAAAATAATAGGAAACGCTTGTCTAACCATGATAGATTTGCTTTTACCAGTATAATATTAGGGATGTTTCATTGGATTCAATGCCATGGTCATTGGGAGGAAATGAGAATCTACCTGGACGAATCAGTTGGGGCCATAACAATTGCAATTGCTTCTGGTAACATAATCTAAAAAAATCCACCAGAAAAATATTGTCAGAGAAATGCATCATGCGAAATTCATATGCTGGAAGCAGAGGAAAAGAATGATATATGCAGTAAGACGGAATCACACTATAAGACAGTATATATAGCAAGTACTTGTTCTTTTACCTGATATGAATAATGAGTGTGAAGATCAACAGACGACATGAAACAAGTCTGAGTTGGGTGTGTCTGAAAATCAAAGAATTGTAAAAAAGGGATATTACAGCAATGAAAACAGCATTTTGAAACAGACATGATAAAAAACTGTGAGCTTTTGCCCACCTCATACTCGAATGTATTCACAAGCAAAAGAGCACAGAGATGAAAAACAAACATAATCACATGAATATCCATCGGAAACTCAAGGATTGTGAACTTACATGAATCCACCCCAGAGGGAAAAGAGATAATTTATCTTGAACCTCAAAAATTTCTTCTTCGTTTAATGTTGAACACTGAATATTTAAAATAAATGTATCATTGCGATGGTACTAAATCCCAAGGATACAAGCAAATTTCCAGAATGAACGTCAAAGCAGTAAGCTCTTTGTACAATTGCTGTTAGCTCACAGGATTACGAAAAATTCGATTAGAAAGAATAATATATCATACCGAATCTGAAGTTGACTCCTGCTTTGGAATTATAAGTGTGGTGATGTGGAAAACCCTGTTTTTCTATAGCCACAAAAATTAAAACTATAAACAACCTCCTGTAGCAACTTTGAATTCTCTACTTCCTAATTCTCTTAAACAAAAAACTTATCAACTTCAAAAATATAGTTTTCTCACCAATGATCCAGCTAGAACACCGCATGTTTCCAAATTCTTTTCTGTATTTGCCCGAGCCAATCGTAAGAAATCCTCCATCATACGTACTGACTGCAGGATAAGTCAACAATTCAAATATAAATCAATGTAGAAGGCCAAATCTGGTAAGGTTTAAATTCCACCAAGCAAACAGGGAAGAGCAAGAATTGATACAGGAGACATACAACATGTAAATGTTGATACGAATTAGAGTTTGGCATTCCATCTTGAGAAGGCTTTGCTGGACCAGGTCTTGGATCAGCAACTTTTGATGGAGAAATTGGAGTAAAATCCTGCTGGACTTGAACAAGAACAGGAGGAGGACAAGGTTGTTTCACACCGACAAACTGGAAAGGATCCTCCCTTGCTTCAGTAATCAAAGGGGGACATAACACTTCACTAGGATGTAACCAGCGACCATCATCTAAGGAGAGTACTGACTCCATAGCAGAACCAACCCCTCCTGGATCACCATCTTTTACAGCCAAAGGACCATATTGTCCAGCCTGATTCAGGCTATAACAAATTGTGACACCAAATAGACAAATGTTAAAGCAGCCACATTGTAGCAACACAAACTAGAAGTCTCATCATATTTCAATCTTTTAATATTTTCAGAATATCTAAGGGAAAAGAACATAATAATGGTTAGGGAAAAATATGCATGTCAGCATAAAGAAGAATGATTAGACCTTATTGAAGTCGTACCCTGAATTTTCAACAGGTACCAAGTCCACATTGCTCGGATACTGAACCTGTATTACACAGCAGAATCAATTATTTGATGCAGGTTTTGTGGTTCAGCATGCAAAAAGAGATTATATAATGAATAGGGAAAGAAGATGGGGAGGAAGATTCAAAAGACAGAGATGTACCTTTATCTCTGCACTTGGTCCATGCCACTGGCCTCGAAGACCATTAGGGCCCAGAAAAGAGTGTCTAGACAGAGTTTCTTTATTTGGAAGAGGTATATTAAGAGACCTGAACATATCCAGGAAGATTAATACATGCCAGCCTCAGTGAAAAAGTTTTGAACTAGTTCTTATTTTTAATACAACTTTCAATCTTCAATAAGGGGATAGATGGACAAACACAAACAAATCAAGATGATGCTGTAAAACAGAAGTAACACATATGGAATTTTATGTACGGCCATGCTTTTGACATCAATTAATTCCCTTTCCATCAGATACCACCTAAAAGTAGAGAATTGAATTTTAATGGATCCCACCAATACAACTGCTGAGTTTCAGATTGCAAAGATGCGACTTAGAGGTTTTATGATTCAAATCATAATTGTATCATCAACAAGGAAAAAAACCCTCACAACTTCTGGAACTGCTTGTCAATTTGATTACGATCATTGCTATACTTCCATGAAGATAGAACTGCCATGTTGGCAGGCTGCAGCCAGATAAAAAAGGATAAACAGAGTTACAATATTGGACATTCTATTAAAAAAAAATGCAAGCAAAAACAAGAAAACAAATGGGACAACCATACATACAGAAACAGGGGAAAGGAGAAATCAATAATTACATAATCAAATCACATTGCCTCGACCAATTATAAACGGCTTAGTACCTGCTTAATATCCAAGTTCATATTAGATCCTTTATTTACAGGAAGCCAATCCAAAGGTGACATCTTGACTAAGCCATAGGAAGTGGTTTCATGGCCATCAAGTTCAACCAATTGAGCCCCTGCTTGATCTTTATTTAGTTCTTCAACTCTCCGTTGAACCTCCGGTTTCAAAGATTCAAGCTCATCCAGTACACCTAAAAGTCTCTGCAAATTAGGAACATTACAACCAAAACATCATCAAATACCATACAGACAGACTCGCATCATAAAGCGGGCCAGAACAACAATTAAACCTCACCTTCCTATACGCTGTCTTTTCTTTCAGAAGCAAAACCGGGTAGTCTCGATGGAATGGTATTGTTTCTGACACCAAACTGATCCAAAAACAAATTCACAAATAAGCTTAGGCAAATTAACTTAGCACTAAAACAAATTCATCAGCACTAAGCTTCCCTCACCTTGAATATCTAAGTAGTATTATGTACAAATCTACTACATTCTTTTCATCTCGGTAAATGCTCGCCTGAAAATTCAAAAATTAAATCAAAACCTGAACTAGAATTCGCAGGCAATGTCGCAAACGAAGTTAATAAGCACTAAAATTACTAGCATTTTACAAATACTTAAGATAATTAACTATGAATTCAGTTACAAATAAAACTAAAAAAAAAAAGCATCATTAAAGCTAAGATTAAGCTAAAATTAAACATGAACCGATCATAGATTCATAATTATTGAGAAAAGAGAACGATTATGGAGAGAATTGGATGGTGAACCTGTTTGAGGAGATTATCGGCGATTCGATAATAATAACGGAGTGGAATTCGATTATCGACTTCGACTCTACGAGCCATCGCATTCACGTCGATCTGCATCTTGTTCCCCTATTTCTATTTCAATTTCTAATTTTTTTCTCGTTCGCCGATGAAATGCCGATTACTCCGATTCCGATCGAAGATCAATAGTTTGAACGTGCGAACTAAGGAATTGAGAAAAGACAAACACTCTGTCGTTTTGAGAATGATGGAAGCTCTTTCTCGATTTATATGTCGACATTGTGAGGTGCGGCCGGGCCGGGGAGGTTTGATTTTATACGGTCGTTAAGACTAGAAACTTCTATGTAATGCCAATCATTTTATGACAAGTCATTTTTTAATATTTTTCTATTTAATTCTGTACTCAGGAGAATAATTATCTAGAAAATTTTCATAAATTTTATTTTAAGGAAAGTTTATGGTTTTTTATTAGTGAAATAATTAATTTTGAGTTATTTAATATTTAACATGTAATATAGTATAATTTAATTTGAATTTTCAAATATTAACCTTGTATTTGAATAATATTCCTTCATTTTTATTCAAAAACATACTCCCTCCATCCCAAAATATTTGTTATATATTAATTTTCACAAAGTTAAAAAAAAATTTGACTTTAATGTATTTAATATTTAAATTTAAATTTTTTTTATAAGATTAAATTTCATGATTTTTAATGTAAAAAATTTAAAAATAAAAAAAATAATTTTTAAATATAAAAAATTTTAAATGTTCAAATAAGTTTAGAATATAAAAAAAAAAGATAAAAAAATAGGACAAAGGGAGTAAATAATTTAAAACGTAAGCTTTTAATAAAAATATATACATTAATCACTAAATCAAATTTTCGAATATCAAATTAATGCAAAATTAAAATAAAATTTTAACAAGTAAATAGCTTTCAATGCACTTCTATAACATATCCAATGACAAGGAGTGGCCTTTGTTTTGGTCATTATTGAAACACAAAGATGAGGAGAAATGGGGTATAAAATTAAGGAAATAAGCTAATTAACAAAGCTATGAAGTTTTTGTTTTTGAACATTGAAGGCTCCTTTTTATTAAAAGATACTAATTAAATCAAGGGCCCATTGCAATGTATCAAATTTCATCACCATAAAAATGTTACAAACATATTCTTCCCTTCTTCTCAAGCCACCCCTGATGAATTCTACTGCCCCTGCAACAAACATCAACAGCAATTAATCATGAGTACGACATCCAGGACAATTCATTTAAGGGAAATTTTTTTTTTAAATTACAATTTGATAAAAAAAAAATCTTTTGTTTCGCCGAAGTCCGGGAAAAGATTTATTGTACGTAATTTTTTTATATTTTTATAAGAGAATATTTTAAGATTCGAACTTGCAATCACATGATAATAATTTTATGGTTTTACTAATAGTAAGAGTATAAATGATATATTAATATTTATAAATTATTTAAATTTAATTTAATTATTATCGAATCAAGTTTAAATTTAAATAATTTAATTTATCAAATTAAGTAAAATTTAAGTATTTTTATATTTGATTTAATAATTCGTAAACTTAATCAAATATATATATTTTAATATATTTTAATTAATAAAATATTTAAAATTTGAACTCAAATTTAAATACAAATAATTTAATTTTTATCAAATATAAAGCTTAAATTTATTTTTATATATTAATAAAATTTAATTGAACGAATTCGAGTAATTCAATTTTTATATTAAATTGAGTTAAAAAAAATCAAATCACATTTAAATCGAATTTTAAATTAAACTCAAATTTAAATTTAAATTCAAATTTAATACTATATCAATTTTAATTTGATCAATCACACCCCTAATTCGTCATTTCCTTTAAGCTAATAAAAATAAGTGATAAAAATAAAAACATCAATCAAATAAATAAGGGACTTGCCGTATTATCTCGATGAGATGTACAAGTGGGTCTTCTCGGAGGTAATTGTTGGTGAGGTGTTCTCTGCATATATTATTTATCGGAAATCATTTACGTGCATGCACATATAAATACAAAATCTTCGAAAGGTAATAATTCGAGGAAATGATCGATAATCGATACAATATATATAAATATATTTATATACCTGAAGCTTTGGTCTCAAAGTCTCTATTGCCTGTGCTGATTCTTGATTAACTCCTCCTGCAGCTTGCTGTTTCACAATTAAACATCAAGAAGAAAAAATCAGAGCAAAAATAAACACTTGGATGGGATTCGATTTACCAGAACAAATAAAAATTCCTGTTGGGCCTATGGTTTCCAGTTCAGCTTGGGACCCTCTGACTGACAAAATAAAAGAAAAATGGACTCCAACTGTAAATTTTTGGGTCATAAAGTGTAGGACATATACCTTACACAATTCCCAGTCTGCTGAATCGAAGAAGGCACGTTCATGGTCCTACATTCATTTTTGTTCGTTCATCACATCAAATAAAAAATTCAATTGAATTTTGTCGTAATCATAACCTTCAAAATTTTTTATTTACCTTTGAGATTAAGGGCTTCTTCTTTGGCACCAGCCCTCCATATTTCTTGGCTGTGTCTATTCTCTACAACAATTAAGCAAATAAAATAAAATAAAAAAATAAAATATGTATTTACAAAAATAATAATTTATCTCTCATTTTTAAATAAAAAATACTCATAACATATTTTTACTTTGTTGGACTTAAAGATATAAATGTTACATCAATGCTAAAAAATAATTTGAGTTCGACTCAATCATTCATCATTATTTAATCGAATTTGAATAATTCGATTTATCGAATAAAATGAATTTAAATATCTTAATGCTCAATTCAAATAATTCTAAAATCTAAACAAATTTTTAAATTTTAGTATATTTTTATTATTTTAATTAAAAATTATTATTTTATTCTTATACATATCAATTTAAATTCAAACTAGAATTTAATTACATAACAAAATTTAAAATTAAATATAAAAATTAATTTTATTTTTTATTAAATTAATATAATTAAATAAATTCAAATAATTTAATTTTTATTTTAAATTAAATTATAACTTAAAATTAAAACTGAATTAAATTTGAATCAAATTTCACGTAACAAATTTTAAATCAAAGTAATACTTAAATTTCTTATTATATTAATTCGGTTTGATTTAATTATATCTTTAAGCCGACCAACAATATAGATATCAAACAAAATAAATAAAGACAAAATAGAAAAAAAAAAGTACTGAAAAAATAGAATTCCACGTGATTTTTGTTGACAGATTAACAAGCAAAATTGGGTCGAGAATACTGTATAAGGTACTGTTGTACGTACAATCCAACGCTACCAACATTTCAAAAGAATGTGTCAGAAATACACATTACGTTCACCCTCTCTCCCATCACAACCTATACATTCTGTCGTGTCATAATAATAGCTGTTGATTTCATTACCCTAGCTATCTATGGGCACATGGAATCACTTTAACACCATAAATCACGCACAGAAGAACAACAATCTTTTTTATGATTGGAAAGGTTACAATACGGTCTGTCGTTTAGGGCCGAAAGCCGGAAAGGGATGACATTGCATAAAAAAAAGTTACATTTTTTTTATAATTTTTTTAAAATTATTAATTTTAATAGATTCATTAAATTTTTTAATTTTTAAATTTATTAAAATTAATGATTAAAAATATAAAATATAAAATTTTTATATTGATATAAATTAATCGCTCCTATACGTATATAATTGAATATTTCAAAACTCATCTTTAAAAATTAATTTAAATAATTTAAATATGATAACCAATAATCAGAAATTCTTACAATAAAATCAAAAAAAAAGTTAGGCATTCTAATAATGATTACTAATATAAGAGATTATGTTAGGAGACACCCACTGCATGTGGTGGGGCCACACGTGGACTTTGAATCATGATAGTAAACATCAGAACCGTTGATCCTTTTATAACTCATTCAGGGTGAGCTTTAAGAAAATTAACGATGGAGATTGATGGGTTTAAATTTTCAAGTAAAAAAAAAAGTAGTAGTAATTTGTAGAGCACCTACCTCCACATTGTCTTGGGTGGCAGAGAAGTCTTCACCATCACCACGTTTGAAGTCTGCCATTTTTAACTTCTGTTAAATCATTCAAACATCATTAATCATGGTTATTAACATAATCAAAAACCAAATACAACATTAAAAAAAATCAAATTCATGTTTATATAAACGTGTTCGTGTAATGTAAATGTGTTTGAGTGTACGTACGTGTGCAATAACAGGATAAAAAGAAAGAAGATGGGAAGAGAAGAAGAGTGAGGAAAAAAAGAGAAAAGAGAGAGGGAAGAGATCTTTGGCATTACCTTGTGGAAAAGGAAGAGATGCAAAGAGAAAAAGGGAAAGGATGGAAAGGAAGAAAGGAGAGAAAGAGAGAGGGACCGGTTGAGTGAGAAGGTGAGATAAGAATAAAATGAATATTACTTTGTTGTAAGAAGTAAGTACGGGTTAGTATTTATTTTAGGTTGGACAAGACCAACGATGGAAAGTAAAACAAGTTAAAAACAGGAAAAGAAACAAAAATTGATTTTTATAATTACTTTTAAAAAATAATATTTAATAAATTTTAATAATTATAATTTTTTATTCATGCATTATGACATAAAAAAAACATAGGTGAAAGATAAAGATATAAATAATATATTAATACTCATAAGTTATTTGAATTTAATTTAAATAAAATTTAAATTTAATTCGATTATTATTAAGTTGAGTTTGAGTTCGAGTAATTTGACTTATCAATTGAATCGAATTCGAGTATTGTTATATCAAATTTGAGTAATTTGTGAGTATAATTAAATTTTATTTTTAATTTATTTTTATTATTTTAAATAATAAAATATCTCAAATTTGAGTTCGAGCTTGAACATAAATATCATTTAATTTTTATCGAATATAAAAATTAAACTCATTTTATATATTAATTGAACCTAATTAAGTGAGTTTGAATAATTCGAATTTTATCTCGAATCGAGTTTAAATTAAAAAAAAAATTCGATTAAATTTAAATTAAATTTCGAATCTTAAATTTTAAATTAAATTCGAATTCAAATTTAATATTTTATTAATTTAAACTTAATCGATTATATCTCTAGATGAAAGGTATGATTGAATTGTATGTTAATTGAAAAAATATTATATATATTTAATTTTATTTACTTTTTTTTTATTTCATAATTTTGATAATTAAAGGTGAAATTTTGCAAGAGTTATTTATGGCTTATGCCGTTAACATGTCAATGTCCAACTGGTCCATGCATGGGAAACTCACATGTGGAATGATATATTTCTTTTATTTGTTTTATTATTTATATAATAATTTTTTATTACCAAAATGGCAAATTGGGTTTCTTTCAATTTTTTTTTTTAATTATGTCTTTTGGATATTTTACAAAAAAATAATAATAAAGTAAACGCATGTTTGTCCATGTAAGGATGTGTTTGACCATGTAAGGATGTGTTTGATATTTTACATTGGCCAAAGAAAAAAGTTACTATTTAAAGATTTGCCTAAAATTTAAAAAATTGATAATAAAAAAGAATAAAGAAGAAACATTTATTATTGATTCAAATTTTACTAATTTGCAATAGCAGTTCCCAATTTTGACAATTTGTAAATAATAAATATTTTTTAATTTTTCTACTCAATTTTATTGAGATTTGAGTCTGCATCTCCAAGGAGTATTATAAATTTAAAAACCATAAATCATTTCTTTCAATAGAGTATATAGTTTGGATTATATTCAAATAAATTAGTTTGGGTCAGGCTTTGCTTGAGAAAATAAAACAAAAAGAATATAAAGTATTCAAACTTTTGGCAATAGCTTGGCATATGGCTCATTCAATCACATACTAATATTAATTACAATTTGAAAGTAAAAATATATTGAGTCTAAAAAATTACACTGCATCAAATTGATGTAATAAACTCCATAACTGTCCAGGGTTTCAATAAAAAAAAAAAAAATTTATCTACTTTTATTGGCCAATTAAGAAAAAACTAATACTAAGTGTAGGTGTTGAGCTGTTCGTGAAAAATAAAAATATGGAAGCAAAAGAGAAAAATATTGATCAATACTAAAGATCAAAAGACAACAATCGACTACAGTTATGACATTAACCAAACCAAAATGGAAATTAGCTATAAATGAAAATTAGGTATATACTACAAGCTAGCTTATTAACTTTTCTGTACTTGCATCACAAGCTAGGCTATCCGATTCTTAACGTTTTTTTTTTTATTGTCGATCACAAGACAATGAGAACAATGGTAAAAATAATTTTTTAATTAATTTTTATATATATATATTTATATAATGATATTTTTAAATATTTATATTTAAAAAATAATATTTTATTAATTTTGGGTCGGGTCGAATCGGGTACGATTTATATAGTGTCGGATCGAATTCGAGTATGAAAAAATAAAAAAATTTTTGGATAAGATCGGATTCGAATTTTTTAAACATTAAGTCGAATCGGATTCGGGGCGAGCAAAACCCGCCCCGAACCCGACCCGATGCCATCCCTACGTATGATCAGGACAATGGTAAGGAAAGGACCTAATGCACAAAGACTGAAATAGGCAGACAGACAGACAGACAGGAGATATATTGGACTCACAGTAAGCCCATAACACAATTTAAAACGAAACATCCACGGTCCAAACCAGTATTTCTAGGGTTCACTTGTCTCTGTTCTATTTAGACCACTAAGGCCCATTACAAACAACTGCTAATTTTAATAGCTTTTCAGGATTTTGGGCCAAACACTTGTACTAAAACGCAACAGGTTTTTTTAAGGCTAAAAATAGTTTTATATTTAAAATTATTACTGAAATTAAAATTTTAATATTTTATCAATAAATTATACAGTTTTTGATATATTTTTTATTAATCTTATCACTTAATGATTAAAAAAACAAAGTTACTAATTATCAAAATATAAAAAAATTGGTAGAAATTATTTTAGAAGAAAAGGGAGAGTGAGAGAGAAATTGAATTTGGATAATTGTTCAAAAAAAAAAATCCCAAATATTATTAAATAAAAGTTAAACATGTAGTTGCAATTATCATGCAATATGACAGACAAAAAGTGAGTTTTTTTTTTTCTTAAATAAGTTGACATATTATTAAAATTATAAATTAAAAAAAATCTTAGGCACATAATATTTTGTTCCGTCAAATATATAATAAAATAAAAAGATTTAAAAATAGATTAAGAATTTTAAATTTTTTTGTTGATATATATTAACAAAGTCAAACATATTGTTGAAGAAATTGACTTAACTTCTTCACTTTTAACCGCCTTTTTAAACCGTGTTAAGACTACCTAATAAACTTTATCCAACTGCGAAAATAAAAGGGTCAACTCAAATTTCTGCACTTTTTTAAATATTACATTATTTAATATTCAAATTATTTTTTTAACTTAAATTGTATTTTTTATATTTAAAATTTTTAATAATTAAATTTTAATCATTAAAATTAAGAATTCAACGTTTTATTAATAAATTATAAAATTATTGATTAACTTAAAAAATATTAGCATTTTACATAATTTTAAAAATAAAATCATTACTCGATTCTATAAATTTGCATTAGAATATTTGAAGAATTAACTCTCTAATAATATATATATATATTTTAATTTATACACCATTCATCTATCTGATTTTTAAATTTTACAAATTAAATTAAAATATTTACATGTATTTTTAATTATTATCATATTAATTTGTTAATTATTTTAAAATATTTTAATTAAGATATATGACAACCATTTATTTTCATTATTGAAAAATTTAATCTATACTAATGAAATATAAATTTTTTTTTTTAAAGTAGGGGTATTTTGAAGACTAATCTAATTCTAAAACAATTAAAAGTAGAAAACAAATGCAATTAAGACAAAAACCAAAGCGAGTTAGGGCCCACCCGTGGTACAAACAAACGGACCATAACGAACCAGAAAACCGAACCCAGAGCCGTACACCCAGGCAGTGACGACCAACGGCGCCGTATTACCCTACATTTCATCAAGCACGCGACGTTTCATGCGCGTGGCAGCCCCTCCTTATCGATAATCCCAAATTTTCCTCTGTTTAAGCGATACAGTGAGCATATAACGCTATAAAACGCTGCATTGAATCCTCCGTTTCTCTTATTCTTTCTCTCTCGTTTAAGAATCTCTTCGTTCTCTCTCTAAACCCCAACAGGAACACGCACGGAGCTCCCTCCAAGTATCTAAAGTTCCTCATCTCGCGCGTGCGGCTTGCACGCTCTTCCCCTTCCAATTCTCCCTTCTATTTTTAAAATAAAATAAAAATTTCAGCCATTACTTTCTCCAGTAGATCCCCATTCCTACTCTAAATCCTCTTAAGTTGAAGAAGATAACACTGAAACATCCAAAAAGCATCGTTTTACTCCAAAAAGAGCTTTCTCCATTGAAGGTATATACCTAGATAACACTTTCTTTTTTTTTTTTTGAAATTCATTTAATTTTAGTTCTTTTCGCTGCCAAGTTCTCTGTGTATGTATCGGATTAAATGTCGAATTAAGCAATTTTTGTTTGCTTTTTTGAGTTAAGAATTGATGGTTATTGATTGTTAGCAGTGAAAACCATTTGAATTTAGGGTTTTTAATTTGTTATTGTTCTTGCAGGCGTTTGCATTGTGGATTTTTCAAATGTGTGGAAGAGACTTTTGAATTTCCGGTGACTGTCCTTCCGGTTAATCCACGTGGTACATTGTGAAGATAGTTTTTTTTTTTTTTTTTTCGATGTTTATGCTTTGATATTGAATTTCTTGAATTTGTAGTTGAATTTAAAGGAAATTCCTTATTGAGGTTTTGATTACGAGAATCCAGTCGTTGAATTTTGATTTTAATGCGTGCTGAAGTCACTTTTGTGCTTGTATTTAGTATGTGTTCGATTTAAGGTTAGGGATTTTGTATATGTGCTGACAACTTAGGTTCTTTCTCTTGTTGGTTTTTTGTGGTAGTTTGTGTTGGACTGAAAGGATATTTTGGTTATACATGTCATTGAGCTCTTGTTTTTATGTATTGTCTCCTTATCCAAATCAGTGAGAACTTGTCATGTGAAATTCTGTTGATTGTATTGTTCTAATTTGCAGGGTATATCGCTTTCCAGAAATATGTTCCCTCCAGTGATTCTCCTTCTGTTAAAATGAAGCCTTTGATTTTTTCCACTAAGGTGCAAAAGAATGCTCAACTTGCAAATGCAGAGACATGTCATTCTGACAAGCGTGATGTAGATGTTGACCTCGGGGAAATTTACTTTTTGATTATGCATTTTCTTTCAACCAGCCCCTGTAAAAGAACATGTGGACAGTTTTGGAATGAAGTGCTCGAAAATCAACTTCTACCCAGAAGGTATCATGCCTGGTATTCAAGGAAAGGGACACATAGTGGACATGAAAACGATGATGGCATGACATTCCCATTAAGTTATGCTCAGTTGGTGGAAAGGTATGTGATAAGATTTTAGAATTATTTAAGGTGATGATTTGACATCTGTTGAATAGCAGTAAATGTGTTAGTGGTTTATGGTTTTTCACATACAATTTCTCTTATAATTAAGTAGGTAAGGTATTTTGTGAGTTTAATGCAGCATTTCTTGAGGAAGTGTAACTTTTTTTTTATGCCATATATACTTGTGTAGGAATCCTCACATTGAAGCAGATCACTTGATAAAGCTTTTAAAGCAGTTGTTGTTAAGTGCATCCTCCCCATCAGAAGGCATAAGTGCGAGACACACTCCAAATGCAGCTGATGTCCCCACCCTTTTGGGAACAGGGCGCTTTTCTCTTTTGAGTTGTAGGTGGCTTTATTTCAGCGATAGAACATGATTCCTTTGCATTTTAAACTTGGAAACCATATTAGAGAAAATTATCAGATGAAGTCCTTTTATTTTTGGTTTTTGAGAACATTATTTCTTCATTGGATTATCAGATGAAGTCCTGTTGCTCATTCTTCCTCTTTTTATTCAGGAGATTCCTTCTGCCACAAATTTCCCTGTATGGGACTGCCATTGTTCTGAGAAAGTTAAAATTTTAACTTATTCTTAATTTTGGTTGTCTTGTCCTTTCAGATAATAGCAATAAAGGAAAAAGTGAAGTCAAATGTCCTCCTGTTCATATGCGTTGGCCTCATATGCATGGAGATCAGGTTCGTGGACTGAGTTTAAGGGAAATTGGGGGTGGTTTCACAAGACATCATCGTGCACCTTCTATTCGTGCAGCATGTTATGCCATTGCAAAACCATCAACTATGGTGCAGAAGATGCAAAATATCAAGAGGTTACGGGGGCACCGTAATGCTGTCTATTGTGGTATGGTTTTTGTGTCTTCATATTTGCAGTTTGAGCTGTTATTTGCATTTATAATAATCATATCGCTGAGTAAATTTGATACAATGTGCTTCAGATTGGGGGGTTAGTTAGGCCCATTTGTGTGTCCTAAATTAAGCCTGCATGCTTGTTAACCCATCCCTTCCCTCTCAAAAAAAGAAGTTCCAAATAAAGCAGGAGAGAGAGGTAGGTCAACTGACAGTGAGGCTTACAGTGAAGAGATTTTATTTATAGACTTGTGAGCTCATTAAAGATGTGTTGCCTATACTTTTGAGAGATTCTAGCTTTTCTGTGGCCTCGACTATAACAACTTACCTATTGTTATCTTTCTGTATTTGAACATGTTTTTGAGCATTAGCCTGCTTGTGCTTAAAAGCTCCAACTTGACAAGATTTTTCTTGTCATCATGAATTTGAGTTTGATTTCTTTTGTATTTATACAATACTGCAGCAATATTTGATCGATCTGGGAGGTATGTTATTACTGGTTCTGATGATCGTCTTGTAAAAATTTGGTCTATGGAGACCGCATATTGCTTGGCCAGCTGCCGTGGACATGAAGTGAGTTTGATGAGCTGTAATGCACATATCTTGCAATTATTTGTTTTATTTTTTATCTTTGGTTTTTTGCTACATGTTACATTATTTTCTACTTGGATGAAAGGGTGACATAACTGACCTGGCTGTCAGTTCCAATAATTTTATGGTGGCATCCTCCTCGAATGACTGTATTATTCGTGTTGTAAGCATCCTCTACGTTTTATTAATTCTTTCTTCTCTTCCTGCTTAAGAAAATTGTATTTATCTTACTTGATAGTGATTTTCTTTCCTGCTCACTGACAGTGGCGCTTGCCAGATGGACTGCCAATTTCAGTTCTGCGTGGACATACTGGAGCTGTAACTGCCATTGCATTTAGTCCTAGGCCAGGCTCTGTATATCAGCTTCTATCGTAAGACTGATTCCTGCTGCCCTTTGCTTTTGTCTGAATTAGTCATCAGAACTGTCAAATTCTGTCATCTTGCCCCTCCAAACCCCCCCCCCCCCCAAAAAAAAAAAAAAAAAAGATCAACAAATAAAAGCTGGCCCTCCAATGTTATATAATACAAGGTTAAAATGCCTAACTATGAGGCATACAGAAGCTTTACTTTCTAATATTACCAGCAATTTGGTTTGTTTTTCCTTGGTGATTTTGGTGGTTATATGATTGTTTTCAGTACTTTGATTTGCTCAATTTCCTTATCGATTTTCTTGTAAATCTTTTAATTGAGTCCTCTTTGAGGTTGATATTTCGATTTATGTTAGCTTTTGTTACATACTTGCTGTTTGCATTGAAATTAAATGTATTGTTTCCTTACCCTATGCAGGTCATCTGATGATGGGACATGTAGGATATGGGATGCTAGGAATGCTGAAATCCGTCCACGGATATATGTTCCCAGGCCTTCAGATTCTGTAGCTGGTTTGTTACCTTTTTATGCATTATTTTGCTTCTTCTTGGTGAATGGATTTTACATAGCAATCTTAAAATGGTTGCAGGAAAGAACAATGGTTCATCTTCAGGTGCTGTTCAACAGAGCCATCAAATCTTTTGTTGTGCATTCAATGCTAATGGATCTGTCTTTGTCACTGGTAGCTCGGACACTTTAGCTAGGGTACACTTTATGCATGTTTGCTACGAGTTGTTCTTATTCTTCCACGATTTTGTCCTGCTTTACCTTCTCTTTTGTAATTGTGCAATTTAAGGTGTAGGATTTCATTTTTGTTTATCATTTGCAGGTGTGGATTGCTTGTAAACCCAACACAGATGATTCAAACCAACCAAATCATGAGATTGATGTGTTAGCTGGACATGAGAATGATGTCAATTATGTGCAGTTCAGGTCCGTTCATGCACTATTGCTCAGATATTTTACTAAGAGAATTTCAATTTCCATTTATGTTACTGCCTTAAATTGCAGTGGTTGTTCTGTTTCATCAAGATTTTCCACAGCTGACAGCTTGCAGGAAGAGAATGTTAAAAATTTTAGAAACTCCTGGTGGGTATTTTCTTCAACTCTTGTATTTTCTACTTCATGTGGGTCCTTCCCTCCTTTAAGAATCGTCTAGGTGAACAAGTGTTGAAGGGGGTTTCTTAGCTTCCAATTTTTAATTAGACTTTACCCTTTGAAGAAGAATATAACAGCCTATTTTGTTATTCTGATATGGTCAATGATATCTTCCAGGTTTTCTCACGACAACATTGTTACCTCTTCCCGTGACGGCAGTGCAATTATTTGGATTCCAAGATCTCGTAGATCACATGTAAATTATTATTGGCTATAAACTGTTTGTCTTCACAAGTTCACCATCAATTTCCAGGGCCTTCATCATTTGTCTACTATTAAGTTCCTGATTGCAACCACGCCTTCTCTCCCTAATGCATGTTTTACTAGGAACTTATCTTTATATTTCTTGGTTCAGGGTAAAGTAGGCCGCTGGTCTCGAGCTTATCATCTTAGAGTTCCTCCCCCACCATTGCCTCCACTACCACCACGAGGGGGTCCACGCCAGAGAATTCTTCCAACTCCTCGTGGTGTAAATATGATAATCTGGAGCCTAGATAACCGATTTGTCCTTGCTGCTATCATGGGTATTTATTTTTCACCTGATCTTTTAATGGAAAATTCTGGTTGCTAATGATAACTTAATGGAGTACTGAAAATAAAATTGCAATGGCTTGATTTATTTTGACTATAGATTTTTTTCTCAGTTTTATCAATGGCAACCTATTCCCTTCAAAAGCTGATAACACCCTCTCCCCTCCTTAAAAAAGAAAAGAAAAGGTTAAAAGATGGAACTCTCACATGTATCTGGAGTTAAAAACTTCTCGTGATCATGATGATATGTCCGACATAACTCGACCTTAGTGCTTCATGCATTTCATGCCATTGCTCAATTCATTGCTTATGCATCTATAAAGACCCTTATAGTTCAGTTGTTGATTCAGACCTTCCTTTCTCCCCCACCCCTTTCATGTCTATTTGTTGAATGGTATTAGCAGTCTTATTAAAACTATTTTAATGGAGTTTGGGCTATATTTTCCACTAAGCTAGTCTATGGTTTGGTCATCAGGAAGGTTTGTTAGTGCAATTAACTTTAACAACAGTTTAAGAACTTAACATGGGTGCTTTTGTAGCATTTATTGAGTAAAACTTTAAGCTCAGTTTAGGCTGTATTCACTATTAAAACTACTGTAAATATTTAATGTCATCAACTTATGATGTGTAATAATGTATTCTTTTGAAAAACAGGTTCTAGACTTAATTGGGCACTTTTAAAGGTTCTGTGGACTAGGATTGAGCATGGTTGTGCTCTTTGCTTGGGATTATGCAAGAGCAGAAGTTTCTCTAAATTTTGGCTGAATAACATATTCTCATGATGCAGATTGCAGAATATGCGTATGGAATGCTGCTGATGGTAGCATAGTACATTCTTTGACTGGTCATACTGATTCTGTAAGTAGTTTACGCTTCCATGCCTGAATTATTGGAATGGTTTTTTACTATTGGCTACTGCATTGTATGTATGTAATTGCATGTGAGGATAGCTACGGTCTTCAATATGTCTAAATCTACTATATTTATTAGGTTAGCATGCCACTACTCAGGCCGATTCTTGTTTATCTTTGTTTTAGCCGCTGCACCACTATAGGTGGTCTGGGTGATTTGTTGGCTGGATTACTGTCCTCTGTTTGAAAAGTTGCATTATAAACCTTGTACCGTTCATTTGAACTCTCTGTTTGAAAAGTAACATGTTTCTGATATTTTCATGAAGCACCCTTATCAACATTTCCCCCCTTATTTTCTGGCTTGTGATGTTCTTCTGTTTGCTTTCCTTCTCTTAGCCTTTTGTTCACTTTTAAAGAAGTGGGAAATAAGTTAATTGTCAGTTTTAACATGGTGACTGATTTGAACTCATGTACCCTTGGCCATCCAGTCTGCATATTCTTGTATAATAGTGTTATTACCTGGTGTAGACTTCACATGGAAGGTAGTACAGAAAGTGGGAAGGATGGAATTTTTCAATCTAGGGTTCATTTGGATGGATGGTGAGATTAGTTGCAGTCAGATTGAAAATAATGGTAGCGGTGAAATTGGCTACTGTAGTGGTGAGATTAAAATTAGTGGTAAAATCTAAAAACAGTGGTGATGGTGAAATTAATTGTAGCGAGAAGATAAAATGATCATTAAGGATATTAAATTAAAATTGTATATAATAAAAAATTTAAATTATTTAAAATTTATGAAATTAATAAATAATGAAAAATTATTTAAATTATTTTTATGTTAAATAATAATTTTGTTAGTAAATAGTTGAAAATAAATATAAATAATAATACATTACATAATTTTTTATAAAAATTGATAATAAAAATAATACTCATTATTATTTTAAAATAATAATTATTTTTGTTTAAAATAAAGTTTAAAAAGTACAAAAAAAAAAGAAGGAAAATAATGGAAAGAAAGCTAGCTATGTGCCTTATAATTCCAAAAAGAAAAAAAAAATGAAGCAAGGGTTTTTTTTAAAAAGGGCTGCAGTGAATTGAAAAGTTCCTCTGAACCCCTTTACCTCAAGTGGATTTTTTCTTCAACGGTGGGAATATGTTGGTGCAATCGCAGCATCATTTGCTATCCAAACATTGTGCTGCGGTGAGATTGTTCAAAAATGTGGCTATTTCCCACCAAAAGGAGCTTCGATAGGATCCAAATGCTGCCTTAATAGCCAAGTTTCATAACTAGCTTATTTTGTTGTAGCATAACCATCAGATTAAAAGCTCTTCGATCAACTTTTACAAGTAAGGAAAATACTAACCTATTTTACTAGGATATTAAAAAAAAACTCATTAGACTTAGGGATAAGATGCAACTTGTAAAAAATAAAGGCAATGTGAGAACTCTAGAACTAATTGAGACCTAGTGGACCACAACTCTGAAACTTTGCAGCAAAAGACGAAAAATACCAAATGCCCCCTGGACATCAAAACTCAATTACTGATATGTTATTGTACTAAGAATCTAACTACCATGGTGGACCAAAGGAATTCTTTCTAGATAAAGAAGCAGTGATCTCTTTGGCTTACAAAAAGGGTGAAGTTTATTGGTTTGCTGCCATCCAGTAATCTGTAATCAGAGTTTGACTAATTTCTCTTCTGCTTTTATTGCTTGCTTGTTTACCTTTCTGATTTCCAATGTGAATGTTGTGATTTTGAGGGTCTCTAAAGTTGGATGCCCTGTTTTTTCATAGTTTTATCTGACCATTTGACTCATTTTTTAAAGACGTATGTTTTGGATGTTCATCCTTTCAACCCACGGATAGCTATGAGTGCTGGCTACGATGGAAGAACCATTGTCTGGGATGTGAGTTTCGAGCACCTTCATGCCGTGCAAAGTATCTTTGGGTCCTTTCTGTTTATTGATGTGTTTTCATACTCTTGTGGCTGTAGATATGGGAAGGTAAACCAATTCGGATATATGAAATTGCTCGTTTCAAGTTGGTTGATGGGAAGTTTTCATCGTAAGTTCACTACCAGAATGCTTGATTTAGAACCCTTTTATTGTGTAAATTCCTGTATAATTGAAAATTAAATAGCATTGTATTCTTCTTATCAAGCATGCTTTTTGCTTCATGTTAATTTGTTTGACTGGGTATACGTAATATGCCTAAATAAATATGTTGCATAAGGACAATTAATAGTTTTTTTCTTTCCCATTCCACTACTTAAACAAACAAAGTCGTAGTCCTCCATTTCCTTTTAAAGTAATCCAGAAAAGGGGAACCCTACCTTTGCTCCTCTTCTCCTCCTTTCCTTCCCCTGCCTCCCCATCCCTTTTTCTCCTGTAGTTCTCAATCATATGCTTAAACCTTTTGATGTTTATGACCTTTTATTGGATTCATAAATAGCATTAAGTATTACTATTTGCAGTAAACATTCTTTATCTTTTCCTCTCATCTAAGCATAGCTTTGGAATCTTTATGGAAATTCTGTCTTTGCAATGTTAAAGTTACTATCATATTACAATTCACTGTATCTGTAAAATAGGGATGGGACATCTATTATACTTTCAGATGATGTTGGTCAATTATACATTCTAAATACAGGCCAAGGGGAATCTCAAATGAATGCCAAATATGATCAGGTACCTGCTATCATAATGAACTTGTTACATTTTCTTCAGGTTTTATTCCAGTCAAAACTAGGTCTTCAACTCTTTAATGAAACTTCTTGTGCACTTCTCCTACAGTTCTTTCTTGGTGATTATCGACCACTTCTTCATGATACTTCCGGGAATTCACTTGACCTGGTTGGTTGACTGTCTTTGAACTTTTAATATGGTAGCATTTGCTTTATATGGTGTACTTGCATTCAAAGACTGAAAAGTATACTCGATGGTCTTTTATTAGCACGGTCATCTTAATACTTAAAATGGATGCTGTCTGCTACTTGATACAATCTTCATGTGTAATTTTTACTGGGAATAATGTATTGTTCTCTCTTCGCCTTGAATGACTTTGTTTCTCTTGCTTCTGCCTGTCATGTGCGTGACTCATGCATGCACTTATGTTTGGAGAGAGAAGAGGGAGGAGCATATCAAAGTTTGATTGTTAAGAGTGTATCATAGCTGATATGCTTTCCAATGACTTATAGTCCTTTCCTAGACATTTTGATCTAATGGATTAGCAACTTTACAGCATGGTGAAGCATATATTTCAGCCTCGAGTAAATCATCCATAATATTTCGCACATCATAGCTGATCACTGAGTTTACAGATGATTAGAATACTCTTTAGATTTTCATCATTGAAATTCTGATGATTTCAAGCATATGTGACATTTGTAATTCAGGAAACTCAGCTTAGTACATACAGACGGAATATGCAAGATCTCCTTTGTGACTCAGGTTTAACTCTACTCATACTTGTCCCAAATGACTGGGGTCCTTTTATTCCATTATCGATTTTCTTTGTTAATTTTATTCCCGTAACTGCCGTTTGTGTTGGAAATTTTAGGGATGATACCATACACAGAACCCTATCAGACCATGTACCAGCAACGGCGATTAGGTGCTTTAGGATTTGAATGGAAACCTCATCCTGATAATCTTGCTGTGGGGCCAGATGTCAGTCTAGACCAGGATTACCAAATCCTGCCCTTGGCAGACTTAGATGCAATTGTTGATCCACTGCCAGCATTCTTAGAGGCCATGGACTGGGAACCAGAAAATGAAGTGCAAACTGATGATAATGATTCGGAGTATAATGTCACAGAGGAGTACTCTACAGGAGGGGAGCAAAGAAGTTTGGGTTCTTTCTCTGGTGATCCAGAGTGCAGTTCGGAAGACAGTGAGATTGACGATGCTGATAAAGATGGCATTCGTCGATCAAAAAGGAAAAAACCAAAGGCTGAAGTAAGTTTAATATCCATTTCATTACTAGATTTCAATGTTTTTGGAGGCATTTAGTTGACTCGAATTTTCATCCACTTCAGATTGAGATCATGACATCTTCTGGTAGACGTGTTAAAAGAAGGAATTTGGATGAATGTGATGGCAATTTATTCAGTAATGGCCAGATTAAGAAATCAAGAAATGGACAAAAACCTTTACAGAGAAAGTCTTCTGCATCAAAAACTTCTACATCAAAATCTTCTAGACCTCGAAGAGCTGCTGCGCGCAATGCTTTGCACTTCTTTTCTAAAATAACTGGAACATCAACTGATGGGGGAGATGAAGATGACTTTGAAGGTGATTCATCAGACAGTAAATCTATGGCACGAGATTCATACATTGAGAGTGATGAATCTGATAGAGCTTTGCCAAATGAACAAATCAAACATTCAAAAGGAAAAGAAGTATTATTTGGTGAGTGTGAGGATGTTGCTAAAATTAATGCACTTCCTGAATCTCATAATACTGGGAATAGGAGAAGATTGGTCCTTAAATTGCCTGGCCGTGATCCAAATAAGCTTGTGTCACCTGAAAGCACAGTGGAAATAAAATTTGACAGACAGGAAAATTCTGTAGACTTGTCATGCCAAGCTGCTGAAGAAGCCACCAAAGGATTTGTAAAGCATATAAGATCATTGAATCTGGGGTGTTCCTCTGGTAATGTAAACTATAGCATGATAGGTAGAGGAATAAGAGGGCAGTCAGACAAGATTGAATATCATATAGATCTGACTGAAGGATACAAAGATGGGGCAATTAAGTGGGGAGGAGTAAAGGCTCGTACCTCCAAGCGTCTGAAATTGGGTGAACCCATGTCATCAGATGTGTATACTGGGTCTACACTATGTCTTGACAACCACAAAGAAAAAGAAAATGATGTCAATGGTTATGTAAGACAGGGAAAGGCTTGCGCTATTGCTTCCCTGACTACAGATCTCCAAACTTGTGAGGATATGAATGGTGAAGTGACAGTAATGGAGAAGAATCTTGAGAATAACAGGGAAGCTTTGGATGGTCCAGCTAATGGTGAAGAGCACTCAGCTAATGACAGGTTTGCTAAGGATACAACTGCCCCAACTGTTCATCAGGGTGGAACTGATCAGCCCTCTGAGCTAAAAGAAGGCCTTACACCTATTTCAACTAAGTTAAGAGTTTTCTCAAAAAGGACCACAATCAACAATGAAAGTCCTGGACTGAAGATGAAACCTTCAAGAGAAGGTCATATGAATGGTGGGTTTGCTGCATTAAATGATAGCTCCTCAAATGACTTGGTTTCAAGGATACCATTAGTTGATGGACCCAATGAAATTATTTCAGGTGGTGAAGGTGATGAGTTTCTAGATTCAGATGCTCATGTTGATAGAATTCCCATGTCTGCTTGTGATGATTCTGTGGCGTTACAGCCAGATTCAAAAAAGATGTATAATGTTGTTTATAGAAGGTCAAAGACACGGAGGGATAAGTCAAATTCAGAAGGCGTTGGTGCCATGGTAGAAAGCACTACAAATGATTTCAACTATAATAGGAGTATTGTAGTAGCTGGCCTCGGTGAAGGCACAACAAATGGGGCTCAAAACAAACGGTCTAGTAGGTTGAAAGCAGGGCATGTACTTCAATCAGAGGACATACATAGAAGCACCTGGGTTGGTTCTACAAATGGGTCTCAACTTCCTAGGGAGGAATGCGGATCAAGTTCAAGGTTGGCAGTTGGATCAAGGTCTACTAGAAATAGGAGAAGTAATTACCATTTCCATGACAGTAGTCCGATACGGAAGCCCCATCAATCAGCCAGAAAACTATCATGGTTAATGTTGACAACACATGAGGAGGGGTCCCGCTATATTCCTCAACTAGGTGATGAAGTTGTATATTTGAGACAGGTAAGAGTAAAGCACTAATTATATTTATCCATTCCTATTATTTAAGTTATGTGCTTTAATATTGCTGTTTAGTGTTGTTATTTACAAAATGATCTACATTTGGTAGCTTCTATGCTTTCAGGGGCATCAAGAATATATAGATCATATTAGCTTGAAGGAAGCAGGACCTTGGACTTCACTGAAGGGGGGAAACATGATAAGGGCTGTGGAATTTTGTAGAGTTGAAGAGCTTGATTATTCCACATTTCCTGGGTCTGGGGAGAGTTGCTGTAAAATGACTCTCAAATTTACAGACCTTTCTTCAAGCATGTTCAATAGATCATTTAAATGTACTCTCCCTGACTTGACTGGTTTCCCCGACTTCATTGTAGAAAGAACTCGCTTTGGTGCTGCTATCCATAGAAATTGGAGCTGCAGGGATAAGTGCAGGGTCTGGTGGAAAGATGAGAATGAAAACGATGGAAGTTGGTGGGATGGCCGAGTTATGGCTGTAAAGCCTAAATCTTATGAATTTTCAGATAGTCCATGGGAAAGGTACTCTGTTCAGTATAGGAGTGAGCCCAAGGAACCGCAACTTCACAGTCCTTGGGAGCTCTTTGATGCGGATACTCAGTGGGAGCAGCCACATATTGACAGTAAGATAAGAGATAAGCTGCTTTCTGCCTTTTCAAATTTGGAGAAATCTTCCCATAAAGCTCAGGTATTAGGCAAAATATGAATTATTTCTTTTTCCTGAACTTTCAGTAGGTAATGAAAAGTATAGGATCAGCACTTGAGCCTGAACTTATATTGATCAACCTACCACTTATCACTCAAGTTAAGATCAAGTGACACTGTGGCATTAGGTCGACCTCATTGGCAGCAAGCAACAGCATGGAATTCTTCTTAATTTTTGCTTTAAATGTTTCAGGATCAATATGCAGTCAATAAATTGAAGCAAGTTTTGCAGAAGTCTAATTTCACAAACAGGTAAATCATGTCTAGCAGTCATGTTTTATACATTGATAGGTTTCAACATGCATATACATCCTGCTTAATAATTTTAGTGAAAACTCTGCCTTTTGGGTGGCAAAATGTGACTGAATGTTTGGAATAATGATATTTTGTCAGGTTTCCCGTGCCATTATCTATCGATATTATCCACTCTAGGTTGGAGAACAACTATTATCGATGTTTAGAAGCAGTGAAGCATGATATTAAGGTCATGCTGTCAAACGCAGAATCTTACTTTGGGAGAAATGCAGAGCTCTCATCTAAACTGAGATGCCTATCCAACTTGTTTACGCGGACATTATCATCTTTGCAGCCCTCATAGATACATCCATAGTGAGACCATCTATGTAGATAATTAAAAGTTTATGCTTTTAATTTCCATTTTTCTTTCACTTTTCCCTTAGAACCAATTTTGGTAATTGATTTATACTTCAGATTCTTTCTAGAGAGAAGGTCTCAAGGGGAAATTGGCCGGTAGTGTGGAAAATTATCCAACAAAAAGGTTCATTGTTGTATAGACATCAGACATTCACCATCATTTATAACGAGGAAAAAAAATTTTGTCAACGAATTAGCATGTGAAGTCTCCCGTCAGGTCCCAAAAGAAAGGAATAGAAAACAGAGAGCTTTTTAGCGCATGCTTTGATTTTTATGCATTTATGAGTTGCTAAAGTGGCTCTTCTTTCCTTTTCTGAAAATGGTATGAAGGCAGAAGTGGGAGCACAGGAGATCCAAAAGGACGAGTTGGCTTCAAGAAGAGTGGGCTGGTCTTTGGTCTTTTATTAACGATCTTTGCAATAAAATATACGAGTCAACCCCAGTTTGAGCTTAAAAAATCCTTCAACTTGGGCCTTAACTAGGCTAAGGTTTTAGGCCTGAACCAGGCTAGGCTGTTGGCCTGAGCTGATGCCACGGATTATTGAATAACAAAAAAGACAATATTACTTGACTATTTGATAAACTCGTGACTCAATCAAGCGTAGCTTGAGCTCCAAAAGAAAAAAATTATCTTTTTCTCGAACTTGAGTAGACTAAACTTCTCATCTGTGGGCATGACGAGTTGTTGTTAAATCCAGATGTGAAAGCCTACTTCTTTACCAAAGTATATTATAAATAGAGTTAATCCAAATGTGAAATACTAACGTAGAATTGACAAATCTCATTTTATCTTTGTTTAACTCTTCATTAAAACTTTTCCCAAACCCTACCTTATGATAGTCTGTCTAGACTTGTATGAATTGTAAAGTCATATCAGATCTGTTACTAGAAAATATGAATTCTATTTGTAATAAGCGCAGGTTTTCTTCGTAACCTGTAAAAATCTTTAACATGTGCAAAGAAACCCGTTGCTCTTTTTGGCTCATAATTAGACTTGATAATTTAATTTTAAACATATTTTAGCAACACGTTACGAAAACGAAAAATATGTCAAATTTAAAATTTTAATAAAAATCATGAATTAAACAAAAAAAAAAAAACATTTTGTATTCGACGAGTCAATATAAATTGTGATTTTATAATTTTCATGTTTTACACAAAATTGTAAGATCTACTTGTAATTAAAATACTAAATAAAAACTTAAACAGAGAAGCACCGCAAGCTCATTAATATTACATTAACATAAAAGTCGTTGGTAAAACATAGCTTTGAGAAAACAAACATTACATTGTTCAGCAGTGGCATCAAGTTATGAGGTAGACTAGATCTCAATCTCTCCACCTATGTCCACAGTTTGGATTACAGCAGACAAAAAACAGGGTCATACCTTCCTCCCCTCTAGCAGTTGCCTGAACAAGAAAAACTTGTTGCATTAGAAGAAGCATGATCACTACTCTTGCATCAAAAGATCATTCAAACAAAACTCTAGCTAACTGCAAAATCATTTTTTGAAAACACGTCAATCAACTAAAAATAAATTTTCATGAAGAAAAAGGGGGGCATAGAAGAAACAATTAGGCTGTAAATCCATTTATAAGATAGGGTGTAAAGGACGAAATCTGGAAACATGTTGAAGTGAAGTTGATTATGGCCTACATTCTAGCTAAGCCTCACGCCACTTATGCATGGCTCACCCCAAATGCTATGTGGGGGAAAACAAGGAGAAAAGTAGGCCATAAAAGAAGGAAGGATAAGGAAAAAAACAGAGCTCCTACTGTGCATTAATTGTAGATCACAACCAAATATGCCTTTGCCGGAAGACAACCACAAACCCTTTGATTAAGCAGAGTCTTTTGATAACTGACAACCACGATATTGTTTTATGCTAATGACAATATATTTTGAAAAATCTTGATAGAAGATGCATTATTATAAGAAGACCGGATATCATGCACACACACTCTTGGGTTTAAGGCTCATTTCCAGTTAATATTATATCAAACTTCTCTTGCATAAGCATATATTTCTCATCTTTTCAGTCAAAAAATTTTCTTCAAATTTCTAAAACACATATTCTCAAGTAATGAATCACATTTCTTCCATATAATGAGGATTTATCCAAAAACCACTGTATGGATAGACAAAAACTTGAGTACATAGGAAGTTCACCTGGAAGAAGACAGCTTCTCCATGTTTACAATTTGCGCAAATGACAGATTTAGTCCGAGGAAGAGTTGGATCAGCAGCCACATCCTGCAATATTTGAGTGCGCTCTCCAGCAGAGTGATGAACCTCATTTCTATACACACAGTTGTCTTCAGCCACCTCCTGCATAAACAACAATAATAATGTCTCAACAAGATCAAACAGATAAGAAGACTTATAGTTAGATAATATCAACAGATGCAACCAAGAAGTAAGCGTTCAAAAACCTAAATTGAGAACCTCCTCAAATGCCCAGAAATTCTTTTATGGGTAAATAAATCAACCCACATTGTTCATTGCCACTAACCTTGACAAATATGGATACCCCTTGCTATTGAGTCTATAATCCACAAAAACAAAAGAAACCCATTTTCTAAATTAGAAAAATAGGACAGAAATAGCAAAAAAAAAAAAAAAAAACAGAAGAATGGGTTAGGGTTTTATGTGGGGTTAACACCTGAGTTAAAAAAATAACTTTAAAAAAATCATACCCGTATAAGAAAAAGGAAAAAAAAAAAAGGGCACCCTAATCTTAATTTTAATTCTTCATCCATGAAAAAATTAAAAAGAAAATTATAACAAAAGAAAGAAGAAGAACCTGGTGATCGCAGTTGCGGCATGCGTAGAGGAGAATCTTCTGTTCCCTGTCTTCTTTTGGGTAGAGAATGTTGTTGCTTCATCAATCAAACAAAAAATAAATAAAAAATCAAAATTTAAGCGCAGAAAAAAATCCAAAAAAAGAAAATCGAAGAAGAGAAAAAGGTAAAGGAAGGAAAACAAAACGAAAAACTAAATGGAATAAAAAAATGGCAACAAATGTGAATGCAGGAGGATTAAAGAGAACTGAGAGCTAACCATTCGCGGCAAAATTTCATGGTACTCATCTTGTTCGATTAGGTTTTGAGTGTTTTTGTTTTTTTTTTCAGGAAACGATAAAAGACACAGCCTTTGGGTTCTTTTCTTTGGCGGGCTCTTGCCTCTTTGCTACACTTGAGGTGTCAGAAATTGAGAGAATGAATCTAGTTGGAGGTTCTCCGGGTCAAATGCTTTTTTTTTTTTGTTAATATGGGTAGGTCAGGGGCTTTATTTATAATTTAATCACCTTCAATGATTCTTTTTATACACCGTGAATAATACCAACTAATAGTGTTAGTAATATATTAATATTTATAAATTATTTAAATTAAATTAAAATAAAATTTAAATTTAATTTAATTATTGTTGAATCTAATTATTTATTAATCGATTAGAAATTTTATCAATGGAATCAAATTTAAATTTTTAAAGATTTGACTTGAATTTTTATATTTTAACAAATATTTTTATTATTTTAATTAAAAAATTATTATTTTATTTATATATATAAAACTTTAAATTTGAATTTAAATACAAATAATTAAATTTAAAATTGAGCATAAATATTAAAATTTTTTTATTTGATAAACAACCGTAATTTAATAAATTTGAATAATTTAATTTTTATTTAAAATTTAAAATTTAAATTTGATTAAACTGAAACTGAATTTTAAATAATAAATTTCAAGTTAAACTCGAATTTTTTTTCAAATCAATTTCAATTCGATTACATCCTTAATGACAACCCATTTAACTGAGCCTCCATCACTACAATTTGATACACACCTTAGCTCCTTACAGCTGAAGAGCAATCCCGAAATCCTGGATGCAAAAATACGATAGACCCAAAGAAAACCTGATGGCACATGCAAGAGTCAAAAGCTTACGATAAGTTTTCTTCAGCTACAATCATTTCATAAAAGGTACCCACGAACATGTTCGGTAGTGCACCACTACTGGGAACTAATTTGAATTATATGTCGCAACAAAACATCCCAAACGAAAAGAAAACGGAATGAAAACATCTAGCACACTTAATGTAAGGGCTTGATCTCCAGCATGTGTAAGACCATAAGCGCCAGAGTTACAACCGGACAGACCCAACAAAGTAGTAAAAGGAGATGGTACAATTCTCTGGAGTTAAGATAGGCAAGTCCAACATGGAACAGGCAATACGTGCCTTGCCCTCTCTCCTTCAGCGTCTTCTGCTATGCCTCCGGCTCTTCCTTCGACTGCTCCTATCATCAGAATCAGAATCTGAAGCTGAGTCTGAATCAGATGACTCGGAAGATGAGCTGGACCTTCTGCGCCTCCCCTTCTTCTGCTTCTTCTTCCTCCTGCGCCTCCTCCTTTCTTCCTCAGACTCAGATGATGAGCTGTAATCCGTACTACTCTCTGCTGAGGAATAATCTGATCCCGTAACAGATGAGGCACCGCTATCAGTCTCAAAAACTGAAGCCTCACTATTACTACCTGAACCAGAATCTGACCGATGCTTCCTCTTGCTTTTCTTAGACCTGCTGTCATCCTTCTCATCCTTGACATCTGGATTGTCCAAATCATAAGAGATTGAAAGCTTCATCCTCAATTTGGGGTTCTTAAGCTGCTGGGTACGTGAGGGTCGTGACATGTAGACCCGTTCATTCTTGCATTCATATGTCCAATGCTCCGTTTGAAAACACCTTTGGCACTGTGAAGCACCCATTGTAGACATTAATGTCTTGTCTTTCCTTTCACCTAATCTCACTGCCTTTTCAGTACTCATCAAATACATCTGCCTCTTTGCTTCCCTTTTCTCCTGCCATCTGCTAGGTCCTTCTTCCTTCTGCCCATAAGCATTAACATTTCGGGCTGCAGCAGCTGCCGCCCTTTCAGCCTGAGCACGACTGAGGCCTTTCGCAGCACTCAATGCTGCAGCCTTGATTCTTTCAGCTGCAGCCTGAGCTTTTTCTTCTTTCTTACTCGACATCTGTTAGATGCCAACAAATAAACCAGGTTATGCAGATATATATATAGATTAGCCAATCTTGAAATAAAAACAATTCAATTCAACCCAAATCCTCCAGTTAGGTCATTTCATTTGGATGAAGACTATTTTTCTTCCTTCAAAAACAAATTAAGAAAAAATCTATTTTTTAGAACAACATCTCAATATTTACCTACAAATTTATATATGAAAAAGTAAAATGAAATTCAAAGATCAGCAAAGAACTAGGGCAAAAAGAAAGCACAATTTTACATAATCTACCAATTAACAACCAAGAAATCATAGCTAAAGATACAAATTTTCTTCAAAACAACGAACAACAACGACAACAACAACAACTGCAAAACCCTAACTCCTAAACACGAAGGTTGAATAAAATCTTCGATTCCTTCGTATTAAACCCTAAATTGACAATTCTTTTAGATAAAAGTTCAAGAATCTGACCATCAATGAAAACAAAACCCTAAATATTAAAAATCAAGAGGAGTAGAGAATTAACGCGTACCAGGACTTCTTCGCGTCGGGGAAGAAGGTACAAATTAAAGGCGGAGAGGAAATTTTATAGTTTTATTTAGATGAGAGATGGCCTTTTCGTCTTTTTCATTTTACAAGATTTATATTTCGGAGGTTTTTAAATACACCATAAATTTTTTTTAAAAAAATTACTCATATAATAAATATCAATTTTAAACTTCAATAAATGACAAAAATATCTTTAGTATCTTATACATCTATTTGTTATTGTTTCCCATTTTCTTTTTTCTTTTTTCCCCTTTTATACCTTAAATCTTAAATTTTTAAAATTAAAACTAAAACTAAAATTTTGAAATCGATTTCTCAATTTCACCAAAAATTTATCGTAAATTTTAATTTATATTAACATGTATTTTAATCAAATTTTAACCAAATTAATTGAAAATTAACTAAAAATCCTATCTTTAAGCATTGTAAAACTTAAAAACATAAAGTGATTTGGATTTAATTTGATGAATTTAATTTTTTTAATTAAAGGTGAAGAGGGAAAATGGAGAATTAGGGAATAAAAGGGTAGGAAGGAAAATTTAAAAAATGAGAGGTGAGTTATATTTAGTAAAAAAAAAAATTTAATTTTGAATTTGATATGTATTTAATAGTAGAGGGTATAGAATAATAAAAAAAGAGATATAAATAGAATCTTTGCCTTTTCACTTATTTTTAAATAATAATTTTATATCAAACATATAATTGCATATATAAATACATAATTGAAATTCACATATTAAAAAAATTTTGAATTAAAATATGTATTATGCTTATATTTAATTAAAATTCTTACTTACATGATTAATCATATTAATCAAATGATTTTTTTAATGACAATATTTTATTAGAATTTAAAATTCTTATTAGATGCATGTAGATAAACAAAAAAATATTTTAAAATTTAAACTATCAATAAAATTAGTAAAATTTATATTACTAATAATATGGGCTCCCCACAGTGTAAAAAATATTAAAAGATAAATAAGATTTGAAAAAATATTAATTTAAGCTACCCTCGTAACAAGAAAAGGTGCACAAATTGGAAGGCCAAAAAAAAAAAAAAGGGCTATTGGATCAAATTTGGAATAAGGGACAATTTAAAATACGATATAAATTAAAAACATAAAAATAATACAATTTAAAATTTTAATAATAATAATACATAAATTTAATAAAATAAAAAAATATATTTTATATTTTTGTATCGATACAAATTATAATATATAATTTTTATATAAAACACAACACAAAAATATAAATTTCAATATTTTACACGATAAAAACATACAAATATATACTATTATCAACTTTTTTTTTTGAAAGAAGATTAATATGAATTAAGATATATAACCAAGGCAACGTATTTGAAATTAGAGCAAAAACAAAGTAGAGAATGAAGTTTGAACTAGCAAAAATAGACATGAATTTGGTAATAAATTTTGGCTTTTTGCTGATTTAATGAAAGAAAAACAAAAACAAAGCCCTAATAGTGAAGTTTGCGTAACAGCCAGTTCTAAATTTACAAGTGGTCTCAGCTACAATTAAGAAAATTTGGGACTTCTCACCATCATTCCTAAACCTCTCCCCTCCCTCTATAACAGCCACACCCACCACAAAACTCAACAAAGGGACACCATGCTATGCAGGGCAAATATTAGTGCCCATTCTATCAGTTGGTTCATAAAGCCAAATTAGGACAAGAATAGATCAAAAAAAAAAAAGTGGGGAAAAAATTAGACAAAAAGGAAATGTTTTACAGAAGCAACAATTGGGGCGGCTCAAGGCTCAAAGCATCAGAAAGGCCTGGTAGACTGACGGGGCTGCATCATTTTAAGTACATTTCTTCTAGCCCTCCGATGCAACATACGGGATCATCCCCTCCAACAAGCAAGACACAGTTTCATGCTCATCCACTTCCTGACTTTGTACTCCACTTTTTCTTTGGTTTCGCAAGGCTGTTTTAGTCACCAAGCACATCCTTGAGTCGAATAAAACAAACAAGAATACATGTTCCCCCGCCCAAATAAGTTAAGATCCATTTACAGCCATTTCAGGCGAGGATGTTGGCGGTATCAATGGACAGTCCTCTCCACTTATTTGCCTGTTGTCTGACGGTATATGCAAGCAATCTGAACAGTTTTTAGGAGGTTCCTTCTCTCTATGGTTGTCATCTTCTAAACTATTGTTATCAGAACTTCTGGGACTGCCAGATTCCTTCTCTAGATTATTTTCCTCGCCTAAGCCTTTGTTTCCCTCAGCTGATTGAGTAGATAAATGCATTACGTTTGCAGTTTTCTTACTAGGCAGCACTGCCTGGCTTAGTGTTGAACACAAAGCGGCAAATACACTATCTCTTGATCTAGAGCTTTTACCCAAACGCTGCTTCTTAGCCAGCTTAGGCTCCTTTTCCTTAGCAGTCAACTTACGCTTCAAGCCAAGGGACTCGATGGTTCCTTCATTCTCCTCCGAGGTTTCACTCTTTGTCCTGGGAGGTGGTCTGTAGTCTTCATCAGCCTCATCATCATCATAGTCAACTAGTCTGCCAGATCTTGGGCTACAAAATTAAAATGAGCAATATAAATTATGAACCGAAACAACAGTGTAAAACATTGTCACTAATCAATCATCTAGATGAGATCACTAAAATACCTTAATGATGTGTAGCTCACAGCAACTCCATTGGATAAAACAGGCTGAGATTGTACTTTCTGAGTATGAGATCCAGATGTTGTATTGTCTTCATCACTGCTTATGCATCCACATTCAATCACTACAGAGGAAATGGTTTAGAGGAAAAGTGTCAACTAATCTGTTGATGAAAGTATACCTGTCCTCATCGAAATAGTCTTCCTCCTCTTTCTCCAAAGCACGCTCATCTATTCGTTTTCTTGGGTCCACTGCACTAATATTCGTTTTTGTTCCACAATTTTCCAAGCACTGCAAACAGACCATTCACATCGAAGAAGTTCTAGATCTAAAAATTTCAGGTCTATAATTGGTCAGGAACTGGAATACCTGCTCATGTTTAACTTTCAAAGAGTGAATAGATGCCAATGACTCGAACATAACCAACTGATTCCAAAATGAATCAACTATATATTTAACCAATAATTTCAGGTTTTCCTGCATGAAACAAAAAGTTATTAGCAGACAGAATCTTCCAGATATGTCAAAGATCCAAATATAGAGAGGAAACAATATGCACCTTGCGGATATATTCAAAAAGTTCTAAGATTGAGGAGTTCAGCAAATTGTATCGATGTCCATTAGCAACAAAAGCATCTACAACTGATTTAAGAAGGTTGTTCTTCACAACATGATTTATCAGATGTTCATCCTGCAAAATGACAGCTTAATTTAACTAGTTAAAACATGCCTCAATCAACTTATCAAATATATTTACCAGCCAGAAAAGTGCTAATTGGCAAGAATAAAAAGAAGCATAACATTATAATATGGAAAAACCACACTCTTAGAAATTGCAGGTGCACAAAAATGAAAAAAAAAAATATATATATATATATTTATATACATATATAAAACAGGTACAGCAGGCCCAGTGAGTGGGAAACAATATTTAGAAAGAACACAAAATATGCCCATCCTGCCCCAGTAAAATTTTATACCCTTCTAGTTGGGTAGCAATAGTGCAAACAAACATAATAGCTCAATACTTAACAACTTAGCCATCCAAAACAACAGCAGTAGAAACGCCAGTGGCAGGAAATCTGTCAACTATCAGCAAACCATAATATATGTTATTCCTGGTACCTATTGTTGCCCAGGCTCAAATGCTCAAGAGTATGTCAGACATGGAATGCGTCCTTAATATTCGGATTCTCTAGGCCCCAAGCCTATGTCCTCTTTGAGGTGTCAAATAAGTGTCCAACATGGATACTTTAGGAAAAATGAAGAGTCAGGCAACATATAGATGGTGCCCTCCATATACATATCTGGATCTTTAAACTGAGAAACTAATTCCCCAAGTCCCCAAATGCAACTAACAACAGTCAAAAGCCATGTCAGACATCTTTCAGTAAACAGTTTCTGCTCCAATTTTATTTATATCTTGAATGCCATTTCTGATTCTAAAGATGTCATCGTGGGGGAGCACAAACTATTCAACTCTGATGGCATATTAATTTTTTCTAAAGCTTAAACTGAATTCACTCACATGACGAGAGAGAATAGTGCGAACAAAGCGAACAGCAGCAACTACCAAGTATTTTTCCCTTCTTCGTGTCAGTAACAAAACTTTGTCTATAACATTGTTAAGAAGAAAATTACACCTGCAAACAATGAAGGAAAGCCAATTAACAACTCAGATTAATATGCCGAAATTCTCTAGATGAACATACAACAGGCATCTGAAAGATTACTTTATTCTATAAGGATGGTGCACAACACAAAAGCACAGCAATTCACATATGTTTGACAGAGTTTCAGGCTTTGTGCTATTTTGACTTTCAACTCTTCTGACATTACTTGCCAATTTACTGGTTGACTGGCCAGCCTCATCAGAACAAGACGATATTATGACATCAATCAGTTGGCCCAAATGCTTCTCATAAAAAATATCAATAATTGTATCTCTCTGCAGCAAAAACAATACAAGGTCAAGCACTTACGTGAAAGAATTGGAACTAGTTAAAAAAAAAAAATGGAAACTAGTATTCAAAACAACATGGAGAAAATAAAATAAAATCTGATGTGAAAGTTTAAGTAACAAAATTTTCCAACAATCAGCAGATATATATAATAAAACACAAATCAACATCCAAAATTTTTACACCTGCACAAATAAACTGAAAAATGTTGTGGACTCCAAGTGTAAAGATAACACAAAAACGAGGTATGAAAATCACATGATAATCATTCTTCTGCCATGATCTCTCAGTAAGTTAAATGGTAACAACCTCTCAGATCAAACATAAGCCTGCCGAAGTTTGATTGGGCTAGTTAGACATATAAGAAAGAACAGACACAACGCAGTTTTTGTCAATATTCAGCTTATTTAATGATTATAACTCTATGCCTGGAACCATGCCTGGAGTGTAATTTGATACAAGCCTGGGCTTCTCTCAAATAAAGAACAACACATTCTCGTGCAGTAAAGCAACTTAAGACAAGTAAAGGTTGGAAAAGCAGTTAAGCTAGACCCAAAAATCATTTAACCTTAAACTGAAGAAAAGGATTCATGTAACCTGCCCCAATTATTTTCGAATTTAGGTTGACCGTGAGTATACAATTCCCCATCTACCAATGTATAAAACTTGCACATAGAAATCAAGTATCAAGGTAGGCACCTGAGCACCAGACAATGTGAATGAATCCAGTAAAGTACGAAGAATTTCAAGAAACTGGCAGTGCATATCCTCCCCAAAATCTGTTATCATCCCTTTAACCTGCAAGTGAACAACTTAGTTCTTCTAATTCTCTCTCCATAGATACAAAAACATATATACATGGTGAGGGAGATCTGTTAAGTTCATCCAATTCTTGTGTTTCTGAACAATGATTATACCATATTACCAACAAAATTGAATCACACCTACCAAAAGTCCTAAAAGTGTAATTCCTTCCTGCTGAACAACATAAGAGCACAGAAGGTTTGGATCCAGATTCAAAAACAGTATAAGGATGTCTGTCCTGCATCCATTATAGAGACCTATTGTTAAGAACCGATAATTACGAAAAGTAAACACGCAAAGCAAGAAGGAAAGAAATATATTAAAGAGTGATACTAAACATGCCACCATTACCCAGCGAGTACAAGCTTTTTATCTTGACTTTGCAGAGCATCAGTGATAATGTCAAAGATACCTTCATTCATAAGATCCCTAAAATGATTGAAAAAATGGACACTTCAGCCAAAAGATATAAAAATTTAATTGTTTAAAAGATATTCAGGAGAAGTGGTAGCTTCCAGAGCCAAGATAGCAACATGACAAAAACATTAATACCACAGATCTAACTTGTAGAAAAGCATACCTAAATAGTCGAAGCTGCTGCACCATCTGCAGGCTCTTGCTTAAACTACAAAATTCGTGCAGGAAATATACCTGTTAAAAAATAAGCAGACAGGATTAATGCATACAAAAATTATATGGAATAAACCATAGAGCTTAAACCCATGAAAAGAGCCACCAATAACATATATTCCAGAAAGACATGGGACATGCCACTGGTAGTAAGAAAGAACCTTAACGCAGGAAAGAAATAAATATATTTTCTAGGGCCTAAACATTCATATATTAGACTACATCTAAATGATAACCTTAATAAAAATCTAACATCTCCAATAGATAAAAGAAAATTACAAATATCAATCATATTAGACAAATTACAACCAAAGGAGAACTAAGCGAACTGAAAGTTGGGGCCTAAACGTTCATATATTTGACCTGCCTAAATCAAGACCTTTCATAACCTAATAGAAACCTAACATCTAAAATGGATAGAAAAAAAACACAAAAATCAATCATCTTAGACAAATTACAAGCAAAGGAAGGCTAAGCGAACTGAAAGTCAACAAAGTTTGATCCATTTCCAAAGATCTGCTTCTCATAACAGTTAGCTTCAAAGCAAAGGAAGCAGTAACCAAATAAAAAATAAACAATAAAACTTCACTTCAATGTCAACAATTACCAAATTTTTCTTAGATTCAGCAGATGCGGTGGGTGATCTCAACCTTGAAAACAGTTCCTGAATAAAGGTGCTGTCATCCTTCAATAAAGAAATAACCTACAACAAAATACCACAATTAATGCAAAAGAAAAGGGCCTAATATATTTAACAACAATAAAAATCTTACAGTAGCATTATTTGAATGAACTATAGAACTGAGACTGCCAACTGTGGCCTCATCCAATACCCTTGCCAAAACAACATCCTGAGAGAACCAATAAAAAGCAAGAATTACACAACTAAAGGCAAGAGTAGGCTCATAAGTTAAGCATTTATGATGCATACCTTCAGATAACCAACTCGGTATGTCTGGTGTATCTTTGAGAGGACCATAGGATTTTTAATTGGAATGGCCTGTAAAAAACAAATATCATGAAATGAACTCTTTTTTACAGATAAAGCTCCTTAATTTTCTTTCCCCTGATCTAAACTCCTAGTCCCACGTCTACACCTCCATCGTAAGCAGTAAGAGCCACTTAAGAATATATTACCTCCTTAAAAACAACATGTTCTTTCAGAAAATTCCGATAGTGTTGCACCTGAGGAACATCAGGATCATCTGCAAACCAAAGAAGAAACTGTCTTACCAAAACATGATATAAACTATCAAGCAAATAGTCAATTCTGGGGCACGCAGACAAAAATATCATATGAGGAATAAGCAGAAAATCCAGAATTGAACAGCGTAGAGCGAATCTGATACTGAATGGCAACACAACATGCACCTCAGAAAAATAACCAATGTTAAAGCAATAAACAGAAAAATAAAACCAGCTTCAAACAACTTCAACCTGATGAACAATGAAAAATTGTTCCACCATCAATCACTTGCAAAAACTGAAATGTATTCCTCAATAATGACGTAAAATTTCACATCATAACTGCATAAAAGTTGTGACTGGCAATTCTGTGCAAGTTTTAGATATGAGGTTATTATGTAGAAGCTAACACTCTAGTTTTGGATTATTAAGTTGCAATTTAGAAGTTGAACTAAGGGAATAGCAACATAAACAACCACAGATATCATTAAAACTTGAAAAGAGTAAGCAAAGAAACACAAAACATAGGAACTTTCAAAAAGCCCCAAAATATAACAAGGTTGTTAGCATAAAAAAGGATTGTGCATGAGTCTACAACTAGAAGCCTGCATCCAAATAGTTATATAAGAAAATTTGCAAATTAAACAATTAATTTGATCCAACAATAGTCACTAATGAATAATAAGTCTGCGAACAAAAAGTGAAAGAACTTACATTCAAGGGAACCAATAATATCCATGATTAATTCATCCCCAAATATTTTCTCGAAAACTTGAGGACTATTGAGCAAAACTGTAAAACAACCAATAACATAAATCACAGATCCACGAATCACCTGTAAACTAGAAGCATGTATTAACTACGAAATAAGAGCATTCAAGTGAGAAAGAATACTAACTTATCCCCTTGATTATTTTGAATATCATGTGAAGACCATCTATATTTTCCAAGTCTTCACAGATTCTGAATAGCTCCATCAGCTTCTGGAAGAAATCTTGCTGCATCAAGATCAAAACTCAATTCAGCAGGTCTAAAATATTTAAACTAGCATGGATGGAATATCCAGACAAAGATATTTAACTATAAAGTTGGAAAAGAAATAATAAAAAACCAAGAAACAAAAGATAAAGACATGACATCATAGGGAAAATATAAAAAGAACCAAGAAAGATGTCTAATCTCTCTCCATATGACATAAAAGATCAACGAGGTGACAATCTCAGAAAGTTGAGAAACTAGAGGAAAACCAAATTACTCAATTCACAACACTGCCACAATATGACATAAATACCAACATTAACAATAGATAAATGAGCGGAAGCTAATTACAGAATATACATATAGAAGAAATTAACAAAATGAAATGTAAGCAAGAACAATTTTTGAAAGAAGCATACATCATTTAATATAAATTCTGTCAGCCGCATCTGATCAGCAAGGCCATTCTCAGTCACAGTCTGCAGCAGAAAATTTATCAACTTAATAAATAATCGTATAATTAACAGGCATGCCAGAGCAGACTAGACTTGAAGAAGCTTTACAAGCAAAATAAGCAGGGCAGAAAACATAGGGACTCTAAAAGAAACTATCCCAAAGGGAAAGAAAATAGTCAACATACTCTACATTTAATTATAAAATAAGCTCAAATACAGGTGATCAAGAAACCAGAGGCGCATAAAAAATACCTTAAACTTTATAAAACAAAACAGGAAAAATGAGGAAGAAAAGCATTATGAGTGATCATATCCAATACCTTTGAAAAGAAAAAAGTCCAAAAATTAAAGCAAACAAAAAATATAAACCTAAATAGAATGCAATCAAGAGGACTGATCATTCATTAGAACCTTCAGGATTATGGGAAGGGTGGAAAGCTCCACAGCTGGAAACTCCCTCAACTCACTATTCATCGTGTGAAATGTCTCATCTGCAGTAATCATATATGAGACAGTCATTATTCATGATGGTATTTCAAAATTGCACAATGATAAATTTGATATGAAGTCTAATAAAAAAAAGCATTGAACACACGTCTGAAGCAAATAATCATCTGGAAATCAAAAGCAAAAGAGATGGCCACTCAACAAATAAAGCCCATTAACTAAGATCTTCTTACTGTCTAAGGTAGAAGACAAATACATTATTTGATTAACCAAAAGAATTGCTTACAAATTTCTAGTTTCCTGGAACTTTAGTCTCTGTTTGGACAAGAGCCAATACGCAAGTTAAGCCATTTACAAGGATCCAATGTTTGATTAACTTGAGGGATAAGAATTAATAACTTAAAATGGATTTAAAATATACTTACTGTTAAGAGAACTGAAATGCATATTTCTTTGCACATTACATATGTGGTCCCTGTGGTAGAATAAAAAGGATAAGTAGAGGGCAGTAGAAAGGTTGATGTCAAAAAGTTCCAATGGAGAGAACAATAAGAAGAGGGGATATAAAAATTGAATTAAAAAATCCAATGAAGAATAACCAAAAAACATGAAACAATTTATAAACATTAATTACCATATGTAAGAGCATCCTGTGTTCTCTTGAAAACTAAGTGCTAACTCTGTAGAATATTCTGAGTCTCTCCACGATATGATTGTATCTGAAGATAAATGCATATATAATTCATTCAAATTGAAGTTTTCACAAATGACGAACATCCAGTTAAAAACATCACATTTGCTATTGGCAAAGGAAGCAGAATACCTTCTTGCTTTCTGTAAATGCCACCAGGGCTGATGCGGTGCAAAAGCAATGTCTCATTGTCTTCTTCATCAAAAACAAACAAAGCCAGCTCTTCTGATCTCTGAATTATAACATATGCATTCATTTAAAAGAAAGAACATGCTTTCATCTTTAAAAAATTATTTTCAAAAACTGAATCCAGTATATCAGATTGAAACAGACAACTAAAAAATCAACTTAAAGCTTGAACAGACCTCCAAATAATCAACAGTGACATGCCCAGTTCCTTGGTCATCCCATTTACCATCATCATTCAAACGATAGACCTTTACTCGCTGAATTTATATGTAAATAATATGACCCAAAAAAAGGGAGAGAAGAGTTAAATAGCATTCCCGAAACTCATGCAACATTCAAAGAAATAAACAACACAAACTGAAAATGATGTCAGTCTGGGGTATTAAAGTAATGCATAGATACATATTTGGGCCATCCTAACTGACAACAAGAAATAACTTTTATTATCTCTCTTTCTCTCTCTATCTCTCTCTCTCTCTCTCTCTCTCTCCCTCCCTCCCTCTCGCTCCCCCCTTGTGATAATTGAATATTGAGCAGGTAAGATAACAAGTAAATAGAAGCTTACTCAAATTTCTCAACTAATTAAAGATTTCCACATAGATCCATAACCTGGTAACATCATCACATTTAACTATCTATAAGTTTCATATTTCCAACCCAAGATGTTTCTATCAATGATGCTACTCTGTGACCTAGATTTGATATGTCATCCAGAACAACACCCTTACCATAATTCATACATTTCTAGCAAATGCTACTAAGATCATACTTCCAAGGCCTCTTTGGATAAAAATGTACATGGCATATAAAAAAAAACAATTTGAAGAGCAATGAAACGATTAAATTAAGAATATAAGTTGCATGTTACTAATGATGACTTCATGGAAACATCACTTAAATAGGGTTCATGAACATGCATTTTAGCCATTTCAGCAACACATGCCAGTAAGGCAGTAAATCAATGTAGGCTTTCTAAATTTACGAACTATTGACACTATAACATCTTCAAATCTGACACTAAAATTATTCTATCTGTAGAGGGAATATTTTTCTCCCAACAGAAAAATAAAAAAAAGGAACCATCTAATCTACAATGTTAATACTGCAAAACAGGCTAGAATCCCAGTTAACTAGCACCCTAACCAAAATAAGCATGATATCAGGTGTAATGACTAACAACTCATTTCAAAGTTAACATTTCATACAGTATAGTATTATGTTCCTTTAACGTCAACTAAAGTAGACTCGTACTTCGAATGAATCATAACTTATCATAAACACCCGAACCAAAAAAAAAAAAAATGCTAACTCTAAACCAATTTCTCTAACCGTCCAAGAAAAGCATTATATGGCATCCCACTTAAAGCTAATTTCAATTCACCACATACTACAAACCAAACCCTAAGTCAAGTTTAACTAATAACACTATGGAACAAGAAAAAAAAAAGAATCGCACCTTTAACAACAAAGCCAAAAATAATTTTAAATTAATTTAAAGCTAAGAACTTCACTTCCTCTGTAAATTCCCATCACTCTTCGATGATAAAAATAACAAAAGTCAAAATTAAAAATTAACTCATCCTGGAAGTGAACAAACAAATATAAGAACGATTCTAGGGCCCAAACAAGGCTTCCATAAAACAAAAAGAGATGAACTAACCTGAATCGAATTGGCGTTGCCTGGAGATTTCTCTTGAGCGCCCATCCAAGCTTGTCGCTCTTCGGTTTCAAAAATTTTCGAATCCCAAATAACCACGAGGAATCGTAGAGATAAAAAAATCGAAGTTAAAATTGAGAGATTGAGGGGAAACCTCGAAATAGGGTTTTTGGGAAACGAGAAGAGAGAGAAAGAGCGGGCTCTTAAAATATTAGGTGGGAGAGATTAAGGTTCCTTTGGGAGGGGATCAATAGAAAACCCTAACCGCCATTAACGAAGCTGAATAAAACCTTCGTTTCTCTCTCTCTCTCTCTCTCTCTCTGTTCTGTCCTCTCTCTCTCTCTTTCCTTTTTATCTTTTTTATTTTCTGCGCAAGTGCCTGTCCCTCCCCCCGACCTTCGATAAATGAAAGTAAAGAGAAAAATATAATTTAAGCGAGAAAATTTTGATTTTTTTAAAATATAATTTTGATTTTAAATTTTATGAATAAAAGAATAAATTTAAAAAAAATTTATTTTTTATGAAATTTAATTCGATTTAATTTTGAATTAATGAATATCCAAAGCAATTATTAAACACCAAAAATTTCAGATAAAAAAAAAATTAAGAAAAACTGATATATTATACTCAAACTAATGTAAGAAATGCGATTTCAATTATCTAAAAAAAAGTGTTGCCTTTTGTATCCAACAATTATTTAATATATCATTTTATTTGTAACATTTATTTTTTTATTAAATATATCTCATGCATAAAACATAATCTATTAAAAATCTAAATATCTTATCTCTCTTTCTCTTACATCATATTTTCTCTTTATCTTCTCAATCAAAAACTTAAAAAAAATTTAAGTTTCAATAAAATTAAATTAAAAAAAATTACCAATTTGCAGTTAAAAAATATAAAATTAAAAGCAAATCATTTGCTTTTTTTTTGTTTGATTTTATATTTAATTTTATAAAATTTTATATTAAAATATTTGGATGTGACTTAAAACTTCTAAAAATGGATTTTTAAAATTTTTCAAAAGTTTCTTGAAAAAATATTTAAAAAATTTTTAAATCCTTCAAAATTCAAGATTTTTTATCAAAAAAAAGTATAACAGATAAAAAGATAATTAATTAAAAATATTTAAGTAATTTTATTAAAACTTAAAAAGTTGATATGTATTAAAAAAAAAGGGTGCAAATAGAAGTAGTCATTTTAAAAAAAATTAGTCAGAAATGTGATTTTCCAATTGGGCTTGGTTTCTTTTTAATTACGGTTTCGCCATTTTACCTTCGAGTCTCTACTCAACGCTTTTTTCCCGGCCCTCTAATGAAAAAATACGCACAGAGATTCCCTTAACACGGTTTTTTTCCTTACCCAATATTGATTTGACACGTCGAACGCAGCACAAAAGAAGCAATCATTTCGTAGGTAGGTCTAGTAATGTCACGTGCTTAAGTCAGGTTTGCCAGGTGGACTGGTTTGATTAGGTGAATTAGGTACGGTACACCGGTAAAATGATGGGGGAAAGGTGGATCTTTGGAATTTCAAACCAGTAGCAGAGGCTAACAGTGCTTTGTCGCCTTTCATTGGACTCGTCACTGGTCAATTGTACAGAAGTGAATGAATGGTACAGTTACGACTTAGCGTGGGAGGGACAACTGACAAATCATCATCAATAATTGAGGAATCCCTTTCAATATTAACCGCAAGTCTGCAACCCAACCCACTTGGGACTATCCTAAATGGACATTCAGATCAACAATTTCTCCAGTTTTTTTAGTATTTCGCCTTTTTTTCTTTCCATTTTTAATACGTCAGATTTGATCTAGAATTATTTTTATGATGATAATAAGAGTGCACTCCCTCACAATTTTTTTAAAATAATTAAAATAAATTAAAAATTAAAGCGATACACAATCGGTCCTGCCACATCCACAAGTAGTAGAATTTTAATAAAGTTCGAAAGCTTTTAAAAGATAGTAAAATAAAGTTCATTACAGATCAAATTAGACGAATTTTTACTCGGGCTAATAATTTAACTCATATTTATAAGGTTTTGATTCAATTTAATTTTATAAGATTAAAATTTTTTTAAATTAAATTTTGAATTATGTCAAATTTTAGATAAAAAAAGAGATTGAATTTTAAATAAATCTTTTTTGATTGGAGGTACATATAAATTTTTTTTATATTTATTTAATTTTATATTTATATTATAAAATAATATTTTATTAATTCAATCAATTATGATTTTATAAAATGTCAAATTTGAATTTAATTATAAAAATAATATAAAAATCAAATTAAATTCAAATATTATAAATCTAAAATCAAATCAGATTCGAAATAAATAAACTTTCAATCCATCTCAATTCATTACCATCTATTTTACAATTATTTGTATTCCTTTCCTTTTACACTTGATATTATATTTACAAGTGATGATAATAATTAATTTGATGAGATTTGTAATAGTAAAACCCTAAAACTTGTGAAACCAATTAGTACTAATATTGATTTGAAATGCCTAATTGATTATAAATGATTGCTTGAGGATCATATGACCAAGGTAATAGATTATGAGCTAAAAATAATAACACATAATGGTAAAAAAAGTCGATAAATGGTCATACATTAACGAGAATACCATACAAAATGGAGAAATATAAGGTTCCTTGCTGTTCATTGGCAACATTGTGAATGGTGTAGCCACCACTTTCTCAAAGAATTTGTTAGATAGTATTTTATCATATCCATGCTTTTTTTTTTTTGGTGAATGTGAAGATCTATTGCTTTAAGTAAGCAAATTCATTATTTTTAATAGATTTAATGTTTTAAAATATAATACGATGATATGACATAAAAATTATATGATTTAAAATTTTAATAAAATAAAAAAAAATATTTTATATTTTTATTTAAATAACACGTAATTTTTATATAAAAAATAACACAAATATATAAATTATTAAATTTTTAAATGATATAAATATACGAATTATCATATTTAATTTTTAATAATAATACATATACACATAAATAAACATAAATTACCATGACATACATGGATTTCAATTAATAGATTTGTTTTGGAGTATAAATTAATTGAAGTATAGTTTCACTTTCAACTTTCAAGCCAAAAAAGAAAAAAAAAAAAGAAAAACCTTAATATTATTTTTTTTTTTCATTTGAAAAACGGTTAAAATATTTCAAATAGAATGTCTCGTCAAATCTCAATTCAATTTTAGGCAGTTAAAAAAAAAGTCAAAAAATACATAATTTTTTACCATCATCAGTTAATCATTACCAATTTTCCCTTGGTTTATCGGCCCTGACTTCGATTATTAATTCCGCCATTCATTTACTCCTCTCCCAACGGACTTATCAAAGCAAAACACGCCCCTTTCGCTTACTCTCTATATCTCCTCAGATCTATCTCTCACACAAACAAGAACACTCGCTCAATAAATTCTCTTTCTCTTCCGTTACCTTCGTTGCCAAACAGAGAAAAATGCATTCCACTTTATCTTTCTCTCAAGCTACGACAGTTCCCAGATCAAATTATGCCTTCGATTCTCATTCTCCTGCATTCGCCACCTCCAAGTCGATCAATCTCCGCTTCTGCGGACTCAGGAGGGAAGCCTTCGGCTTCTCCAATTTGCCTCAGTCGTGTTCTAGCCGAGTTCGCCTCTCGAGTAGTGGACATTCTAAGAAAATCTCTGCTTCCGCTGGAAACAACGGAACTCCTCCGAAATCGTTCGACTATGATTTAATTATCATCGGCGCTGGCGTCGGTGGCCATGGAGCTGCGTTGCATGCTGTCGAGAAGGTACTTTCGTCTTTTTTTTTTTTTTGACACCATTTAGCTTTATTTGTTAGCTCCGTCTTTTTTCGTTGTTTATTTGAACTTCCTTAGAAATGTAGTTATTTTATGTTGAATTTTAGCTTTAGAATATAAAGAAAGCTCTCTAATTTTCAGTATTTATCTTTGTTTTACCTGCTGCTTTAACTGGTGATCAATGGTTCATTGATCGTGAATTTATTTTTTTTCGTGATTCTATATGCTATCGGGATTAGTTAGATATACAAGATTATGATATGATATGATAAGATGATATTATAAATAAGATTAGATTAAATAATGTTATTCTATCTTATGTTTGATACGTATAAAGATTAAATTAAGATAATTTATTTATTGGTTAAAATTATTTTTCTTTAAAATTTATATAATTTAAATTATTGATATAATTTTGAAGGTTACAATATTACATGTAAATTCAATTTCATAAATTAAAAATAACACTCTCGACTTTGAGAGTTGAATCATCTTATACTAAGAGGATGATTAATCCTCCTCGTAATCTTATCCGTTTCTTTAGATACAAACTAAATATAATATAAAATAATTATCATTCTATCATATCCATTATCTTATGCACCAATCATGACTTAAATACGTATAATTTGATTTGTTTTGAGTGTAATTGTTGTATGATATTGCATGGCTTGTGCTCAATGTGTGAATTTTTTTTTTTTTTTTAAATTTTGATTGTTCTTCTTCGATATTTTCAGGGTTTGAAAACTGCTATTATCGAAGGGGATGTAGTGGGAGGAACGTGTGTGAACAGAGGTTGTGTTCCTTCGAAAGCTCTCTTGGCTGTGAGTGGTAGGATGCGCGAACTTCAGAGTGAGCATCACATGAAGGCTTTGGGTTGCAGGTAATAGGATTGAATTATTTGAGACCATGACGTTCGTTCGATTCAAATCAGCATTTGCACTTAAACTTAGTTTGTATGTTCATCATGTGTTCACGTAAGAATATGACTATTATGTATCTATGCTGCTGACAAACAAGCTCCCATGTTGATAAAGTCTCTCAAAATATAATGTGATGAACTATGGTCTGTATGTCTCATCATATGAGTTAACTACACCATTTTCACAGTCTGTAACCCCCTGATCATTTCCTTTTGTGTTGTTCTACATGTTATACTTGATAGGTTTCTGCTGCTGGATACGACAGACAGGGAGTTGCTGACCATGCAAATAATCTTGCTTCAAAAATTCGAAGCAATTTGACTAACTCAATGAAGGCACTTGGAGTAGACATATTGACTGGTTTTGGTACTATTTTGGTAAGCATAATATTTGTCCCCTAATAAAATGCGTATTCTTTGGTTTCCTAAAGGCTCAAATATCCTCACTTGTTGTATTTGTATTCAGGGTCCTCAAAAAGTGAAATATGGGAAAGTTGGTTTTCCTGAAAACACAGTAAATGCAAAAGATATAATCATTGCTACTGGTTCCATTCCTTTTGTTCCCAAAGGCATTGAAGTTGATGGTATAATTTATTTTTATTCCTTTTTCTTTAATGTCTTTTTGGTTTTACTTTTTCTTTAAAGGTTTAATCAAAAGTAATCTGGGTGTTTAAGAGTACATAGGCATTTGATAGCATTACTACCCATGGTACTCCTTTTGTTGTCTGCCATCCTCTTGTACCTTTTTCTTCCTAACTGGGGCAACTTGTATGAGATTTTTGGATGGTCATATGTTATTTAATGAGGACACGGGCACCAAGTCAACCGAGTGAAATGTGATATAAAGTTTGGATGAAAATTTCCTAGTTATTCAATTGCAGTTGAACCAATGCAAATTTTGCTTCTTCTACATATAGATGATGTGGCTTGAAAACTGGAAACCTTATAAAAAAACTGGAGCATTTATCTCATTGTTAGGTTTTATTAGACGAAAAACTGAAGTTTATCAACCGGCAACCGGACACAAATTTGTTTCAATAGAGTAACTTTTGGAATTTAGCATTTATAGAAGGATGCACGAATCACATGGCTGTAATCTTCTGTGTTGTTATTGTTCTAGGTTTTTTTCTGATCATTAATTAATAACCTGCAGGGAAGACTGTTATTACTAGTGACCATGCCCTCAAGTTGGAGTTTGTACCAGATTGGATTGCGATTGTAGGAAGTGGTTATATTGGTCTTGAATTCAGTGATGTATATACTGCACTTGGAAGTGAGGTGACACCTTGTTCTTTTCCTTTTCTGTCTCAGTGCATTTTTTGCTATGAAATGAATGTAGGAATCTTGCTTTGAGAATTAAAAGACTCTAAATTTACCTTATGCTTCACATTATAAGTTTCTACTCCATTTGTTTTCACCTGAAATCTGTAAGTACTTGAGATCAATGCTTCTCAACTCTAGGATTAATTATGCTGTCACTTAAGCTGCAAAGCTGGAACGATCTCTGCTCTTTGGGTGACTGCTATTGTAGACAAAATGACTGCAAACTAGCTTAGACCCACGGAAAGCATGCCCCGTATAAGGATATAGATATATTTTCTTCTATCCATTCACACATGCATAGATTGCCATAGGAATAGAAGTAGTCACTGGCATACTTTAGATGTCCTTATTTTTAATTCAAGGCAGCAAAGTTTATACAAAGGTTCATGCAGGTCACTTTTATTGAAGCTCTAGATCAACTTATGCCTGGGTTTGATCCTGAGATTGGTAAGTTGGCCCAAAGGGTGCTGATTAACCCAAGGAAAATTGACTATCATACCGGTGTGTTTGCAACCAAGGTAATCTAATGTTTAGATCTGTGTGCATTCTGGATGGCTGTTCTAAAAATGGTTATTGATTTTCCTTGGTGTTGTTTATAGATCACTCCTGCAAGGGATGGGAAACCAGTCATTATTTAGCTTACTGATGCGAAGACTAAGGAACTCAAAGACATCTTTGGAGGTATGTACATTATGTTCTTTTTTTTTATTGAAATTCACGGATCTGTCTATTCTGTTTTAGTAGCTATGGAGCATATTTCATTTTTAGACAAGGTCATCATGAACTAAATTTGACATTTTGATGCCTCATGATGCTTTTCCTGTCGTCAAGTCTAGATCCTTTCTTCTCTTCTATATGCTTTTCCTGTTTGTAAGTTGCAGCTCTGCTTGGTCCTGGATTCCTGGTCAATGGTATCTGTTAGGGTAACTCTTTTTGTTTTTCTTTTGCTCCAGGTAGATGCAGCTTTAATAGCTACTGGAAGGCCTCCATTCACTAATGGTCTTGGCTTGGAGAATGTATATTTTCTTGATGAAAACTGTAGGATTATATGGAATTGTCCACTAAAAGGAGACGAATTTATATGAATTTATATTTATGTATTCCTTTTCAGATTAATGTAGTAACACAAAAGGGTTTTGTTCCTGTTGATGAGAGAATGCAAGTAATTGATGCAAGTGGCAATCTGGTTAGTTGTAAACTTCATTCTGACTAATTTTTCCAGTATGACTATTAACAAACCTTGCTAATGTTGAATTTTGAATGGTAGGTTCCTCACTTGTACTGCATTGGTGATGCAACTGGAAAAATGATGCTTGCTCATGCAGCCAGTGCGCAAGGAATTTCAGGTAAGTGCTTGCTGACTTTTCTTTGCTAATTCATAACTGATATTTTCTATTTCATCTTTTGCTTAAATATCTTGATGCAGCGGTTGAACAAGTGACTGGAAAAGATCATGTGCTTAATCACCTTAGCATCCCGGCGGCCTGCTTCACCCATCCTGAAATAAGCATGGTTGGGTTGACAGAGGTGAATACTGACTTGCAAACACCCTTGATTTGGATTTCTTATCAAGTTTAAATTGCTAGATAAAATTTTCTATGTGGCCTTTTATATTCTTGCTACCTATCTTTTCTCCATTTCATTGTCCTTTTTTTTCCCCTTGAGAAGCTCTTCTTTTGGTGTTAAATATCTGAAAATTTGAAAATGCTTTTAACTTCACAGCCTCAAGCAAGGGAGAAAGCGGAAAAGGAAGGCTTTGAAGTAAGTGTAGCCAAAACAAGTTTCAAGGCTAACACAAAAGCACTGGCAGAAAATGAAGGGGAGGGACTTGCTAAGGTTATTCCTGTGACACTTTTCTCTTGCAATCACTAAATCAATAAACATAATAAAAATATTACAAAAAGAGAAATGAATTGTTTTCTTTTCTTCCACAAGGTTCTCCATTGTAGAAAAGTTAGTTTCCTGATTTTCACAAAATGCCTGGCGCAAATATTTATCAAATTCTAAAAGGATAACTACTTGAAAGTTACACAATGTCTTATAAAGTGCTGAATGTCAAAAGTGTTACGGAAGGGGCTTTTAATTTCTATGATAGATCATGAACCAACAATAAAGGACTACGGTTTCTCATCATTTTGTTTGCTCTCATTGTTCTCTTCTAAACATCTTCCCGTCGGTCGGTAGAGTTGCTAAGTTTTACTGATGTTATTTCCATGCAGTTGATATACAGACCCGACAATGGAGAGATTCTTGGAGTTCATATATTTGGTTTGCATGCAGCAGACCTCATCCACGAGGCCTCAAATGCCATAGCTTTAAGGACACGTATTCAGCTGCGGCTTTTGCGCCAAAACCAAAATTTTATGATTCACTTTTGTTCCTGAAATCCCAGTGTGTTAGCTGGATATGATCTTGTACTTATGACTTTACCTTCATCATGCAGGACATAAAATTTGCAGTTCACGCACATCCAACATTGTCCGAAGTTCTTGCTGAACTATTCAAGTCAGCAAAGGTGAGTTTCTGATCTTTCTTACAATGCTCTCAGGAGTTACTGATCTTTTCCGTCTGACATTTTAAAATCATGAATTCAAATGGCAAAAATGCTTGCATTCCTCTTAATGGGAAGCACAACAAATCTCTCCCCACTATTTGATTGAATATCATGTTTTCAAGATCATGACAATTCTTTTTTCCTCTCCAATCCTTTTCTTAATCAGATTAAAGCCCCCGCTTCAAGTAGTAGTCCAGCAACTGAACCAGTTGCAGTCTAGGCTTCTCGATTCTTAAAAAAATACAGTAAAATTTTTTTTGAAGAACTCTGCTTGTATTAGGGAGAATCAAGGAACCACGTTTCTCTCGGTGATAGAAGTCAACACGACAGCCATCCCAGGAGCAGAAACATCCTGGAGGAATTTACTCATTTGTTGATGATAGTTATACCTGAAGTCTTTTACAGCTTAGTGTCGTTGTTTGTCAAGTTGCTATCAAATGTATCGCAGAGATTCCTGCGCTGTTTACTTATTTCCATAGAGAAAGTCTGTATTCCTTGAACTTCTGGAAATTAAAAAAGGCCATAAAATTTTGTTTTTATTCTAAACTAGTTTTGCAATAAAAGAAACAATCCATAAACTTTTGTAAGCACTCTCGAAAGAAACAGTATAACCCTTAAAGAAGCCGTTCCCGATCTAACTTTAATTGCAAATCTGACAATCCGTGTTAAATAAAATAATATTAAAATTCATATATTCATATAATATTTTATATAAAAATTTTATATAATAATATATAAATATAAAAATATAAAATGTATTTTTTATTTAATTAAATTTATATATAATTATTATAACTTATATTCTTATCCTAACACCGTATCATGTTTTAATTTGCTTAGGAAAGGTACCGATTCATGGCCTAAGGTAATAAACTGGAAATCAACAACAATTCAATGGTTCATTTCTGGATTTTCTACTGGATCATAATGCATAACATGACCTAAAAAAGAATAAATTCAATGTAGAAATGAAAATCATAAAATCCACTCAATGTCAACCTTGCATCATCAACAGCTTAAACATCCAACATTTCCATGTAAAATCTAATTAAAAAAAAGGGAAAAACAGATAAACTCAAAATGTGTTCTTGATATTAATAAGCTCACAGAAAGATACTTAACAATACCAAAAAAAGTACAACTAAAGCTGAGTAGACAGTAAATAAACGCTAAATTCCATTTAAAAAAATAAAACAGGCCCAGTTGAAAACCCTAATCAAGGCTAGATTTTCCCCCATTAAATTTACTCTTCTTCAGTGGCAGATTCTCCACTCTTCTGGTTGTGCTTCCTCGCATACCTCTGGTTCCTCAAGAACTTTGGATCCATCTATACATATCCACAACAAAAAAAAAATCATTTTTTGATAAAAATATCAAATTTTACTCAAAAATCGATTAAAGAGAAAAAAAAAGATACCCCTTTAGTGGAAGTGTGGCGGTGCCTCTTGGGCTTCTTGATTCCATTCTTGTGAGCCTTGTAAGATTGGTTGTGAGCGGTATGGTTCTTTGACTTTGCCATCTCTGCTCAGCCCCAAATCCAAAGAAAAAAAAAACACAGTTCAAATTTGATATTCTAAAGAAATGAAGCGGTCTTTCAATAGAGAGATGGATCGTGCAAGAAGCTCACCAGAGACCAACAAGAATCTGCGGCTGTACTGGGTTTTTGGATGGAGGAGAGACAAATGAGACAGAAGCTTGGCCCTTTTATTTGGGAAAATTTTGAAACCCTAATTTTTGAAGTTTGATGACGAAAATACCCCAATTTGTCTGTTATTGAATGGGTCGAGTTTCAGCCTTTTTTGGAATTCGGCTTAAAATCATTCTTTGGGCCTGATTTAGGGTAAGTTTTGGGGCTTAACAAATTTTTGTTTAAAAGGCCCAGAAAAGCCTATCATCAGCCCTTAATAGTCAATACCCAAAATATAAAACCTCTAAATCATTTTTTAATTTTAAATTTAATTATGAGTTGATATTTATTGAGGTAAAAAAAATCCACAGATATTTGTTACCACACTATAAACAAAAAATCCATGGTATCTGGCAACATAGTAATTAACAGGTAACTGGCACAACCAATAAACTTTTTCACATTCATTTCAATTCAACTCCTTAATTCTTATAAACTTTTATATGTTTCTCCAACTTTTGGATCTGCCATTTTAATCAAGGGAAGGAAAGATCTAGTCTTGGTTTTTTTGTCTCCTACAGATTCACTTAAGTGCCATACTCCTGAACAAGAATGTTTTTATTGGATTGGTTTTATGGGGTTCTTGCCTCTTTGGGTTTATGACAAAAGGAGGCTAAGATTCTGTTTTTAGGACTTGACAATGCTGGCAAGCCACCCTTCTTCACATGTTGAAAGATGAGGTAAAAATGCTTCAAAGATTTCCACTTTTTTGTTTTTGTTTTCATTTCCAGTTTCTGGGTTTTGTAAAGATTGATGATTGGAGATTGTTTTTGAAGAGATTAGTTCAACATCAACCAACCCAGCACCCAACTTCTGAGGAACTGAGTATAGGCAAAATCAAGTTCAAAGCTTTCGATTTAGGTGGTCACCAGATTGCTCGCCGTGTCTGGAAAGATTACTATGCTGAGGTATAATTAATGTTTTTCTTTTTCTTTTTCTGATTTTAATTTTCTTTTAACCTTTTTTTTTTTACATTTTGTTTTCAATTCATGACATTGATATTCAGTTTTATGAGATTGAATCTGTTCATTGATGCCTGCATGGTGGGCTGATGGGTAGCTAATGGGAACTGTGAATATGTCTTCAATGTAAATGCATGCCATTAGATGTTTTGCAATCGTTATCAAACATAGAATGTTCATTGTATTTGACTGTTAAGTGAAATGATTTGGCTTCGAAGCTTATAGTTATCAATGACCGATTTAGATTTGCTTCTTTCCGTTTCTCAGTTTTTGCTTATCCTTGAATTGTGCTTCATTGCCTTCACTGCCTAAATTTTTAAACCTTTTTTCCTGTGGCTTTATCTCTGTCACATTTTCGTGTTTTTGGGTGTCAATGCTCATAATTGATAGAGTCATTTCTGTTTCCAAGCAAAACTTTGTCTTCTTATCTGCATTCATATGCTTGAACTTTTTTTTTGAGTAATTTACTTAGATATATTTTGGTTCTAATTCTGTCTTCATAATCCCAGATAAAGTTTTCTTGTGTTTATCTGATTCATTGGGGAGGAGGGGGGGGGGGGGGGGGAGGGATATCAACAATGGAAGTTTTGCTGATAGCACCTTTTATTTGATTTCCTGGGAGGTGTTCTAATAGGAGCTTTCCATACATGATCTCTGCTAACCGAACTAGTTTAGAGGTGGAGGCATCTTAAAATCATGCTTCCTTCATAATGGGTGTTTGTGAAATTTATTATAGAGTTGGCCATCAGGGTTTCAAGATTTCATGTCTTCATAGGTTGTAGCCTGCTGTTGTTTCTTCTCAAGGGAGCTTTTTCTCTCCTTTTCAAAACAAATTCATGATCAGCGTAGCATAAACTATTTTGTATTAATATGCATAACCTTGGCTGCAACTTTTCCAAATGAAAGAAATGATCCTTGCTTTTACTCATTGTTTTCTTAAATCATTTCTCAACTTTCAAGTTAATTAGTGGACGGTCCTAGTATTTCATAAATCCTAACAATAATATAATGACTAAGCATCTGGTCAACAATTATTTTTTTTTTTTTTATTGCAAATTCCCTTCTTCTGGCTTCATTTATTCTGCTCATTTGGCACTCCTTTAGAATGCAGTATATGTGAAATGACAATGCTGCAAACCTTCTCATTTATCCCATGAGCAGGTTGATGCAGTGGTTTACTTGGTGGATGCCTATGACAAGGAGAGGTTTGCAGAATCAGAAAGGGAGTTAGATGCCCTCCTTTTAGATGAAGCGCTGGCCAATGTGCCGTTTCTCATTCTAGGCAACAAGATTGATATTCCCTATGCAGCATCAGAAGATGAACTTCGGTATCATCTTGGGCTGACAAATTTCACAACTGACAAGGGCAAGGTGACTCTTACAGAGTGCAACGTTCGACCCCTTGAGGTTTTCATGTGCAGCATTGTCCGCAAGATGGGATATGGTGACGGCTTCAAGTGGCTCTATCAGTATATCAAGTAGAGAATTGAAGGATTCATTGTTCTGATCCTGTATTCCTGCCATTTTTTCTGTGTAAGAGTACAGTTGAATTGAAAACGATCTTTTTTTTTTTTGTTTTTGTTTTTGGTTGGTACTTACTATAAACTTACTCTTCTAGAGCATTTGATTGTTGCACAATGCAAATTGGTATCCTGAACAAGTTTGCATGAAATTGTTGTTGTGTTCTTATTCTTGTCTACTGTTATTGTCATTTGTCATTCTGGAATCTCAATAAATTTTCGAAAGTACCATGTCACTGAAGTTTTGGATTTCACAAAAAAATCTAGACAAGCAAAAAATTGATTGAAATACTATCTTAAATTCTTATACCAATTCAAGCAATTAAGTTTATTTATTATTAATATTTCAAGCACATTGTAAAATGCAAAAATGATTTGAAAAATGATGAAGTTCAATATCATCGTCTGATCTAACACACATGACAAATCTTTCCATCCGATAACACTCAGTTGAAAGCCTTGTTTGTAGTTTGACCTAGCAGATGAAGTTCAAGATTTCCAGCGGATGCTCTTGTTCTGTACCAGCGGTTAATGATTAGCTTTCAGATGAAAGCCTGAAACATAGGGCCGGACCAGACATGTCCACGACTCGGATGACCAGGTTAGAGTCAGGCCTTGATGCTTGGCCTGATTAGAGTGAGGCCCACCATGTTGAATTTACGCACTTGCAGCCCCCTGGGGTTACTCTTCAACTTGAGTGTTACCATTCTGATCTTCAACGTCTTCAAGCATCCATATGTCAGAAGGAAGGCCGAGAAGGCTTTGATTTTCCTACTGCAAAAACAGAATTCTAGTAAAACACGAGGCGCAATCATATACCAATTCATGAAGTTTTGAATGGTTTCAAATACTATATACTCATGATTTTATTCCAAAACTTAAGTCTGAAATCATTTAAAGATAAAAAACTTCTTTTCTGCATGAAAATTCTATTATGTCTTAGCTATTACCGGCTATAATTTCTAGTTCAAAGAAGTGCCAGATAGTTCGGAAAGACACGTACGAAAAGTAAACTTTAAGCTGCTTGGATGCGCGGCCAAATGCAAAGACGTAAATGCATAAACTATCTTACAGAAATCAGGACAAAAAATGTTAGGACCATGAAAATTAACTTCCTAATAATATCTGCAAAGAAGTGCCAGATAGTTCGGAAAGACACGTACGAAAAGTAAACTTTAAGCTGCTTGGATGCGCAGCCAAATGCAAAGACGTAAATGCATAAACTATCTTACAGAAATCAGGACAAAAAATGGTAGGACCATGAAAATTAACTTCTTAATAATATCTGCAAAAGCAATGACGTTTACAAATAGTCTTGTTTTCATTGGGATTGCCATTAGACTGATGTTTTCAGACAAGTTTAGCTGAAAAGAGTCATGCGTCATTTGCCTTTCGTCTACAAAAGCAGCTGATTGAGCTAAGGAAATGAAGGGAAGGGAAAAGGGCCGATTTGCAGTCACAATAAATTAAGAAAATACTAGAAATTGAGTGGATAATGATAACAGACTTTATGTAAGAAAAATGACTTTTAATCCAAAAATTAGGCTAAAAAGGATACTTAGAGTTTTATCAGTCTTTGGTAAAGGTGAAAGCTCATTCCCATCAACCTGGATTGCTGTTTTCACATTGAAAGGATTCTCACTACGCTACCACCTTTTTTTTTTCCCTGGTACTGCAACTCTTGAATTCAAGGAATCTTTATGACAGAAATTTGCAACTGATAAATCCTTAATCTAGACAAATTTATCTAGTAAATCAAGGAAGAAAGACAGTCAAAGCCAGCTGTGACAAATTTTTTGACCAGCATGTGACTAACAACTTTGCAGCATACATTTAATTTGACCAAATGCAAATATAGAAATGCAACTGTAATTGGATTGACACACGTATCTCCACCATTCACCAACCCCACATGGAAGATTCCTTCAGACTCCATTTCTTTCATTTTCCTAATCCTTGACTGATAAAGGATAAACCTTCCTCTTTTTCTTTTTTTTTTTTTTCAAGATTTTGTTTATATATACCCCTTCTTCAAGCTCCAAAGTCCCCACTTTTCAACTCTTCAATTCTCCTTTGTTTCTCAACTGAGATTGCTATTCTGTTTTCGTTATGATTCTATCTTCAACAAAATCTTCTTCATCAAACTTATGATATATATGAAGTTATGAACTTCCTTTCATCATTTTCACAAATACTATTCTTTCACTCAGTGTCAGTTGTCATTCTCCATTGGTTTTACGTCTTCTCATTAATCTTGGTTTGATTTTCTTTAAGCTTAAGAGATTTTGTTGTCGTTATCAGGCAAATTAAGGTTGTTCTGACATTATTCTAATTTTTTTTTCCTGGGTTTTCACCATACTAACCAAAATCCTGAGGCTGTTTTGATTCTAATCCTACCCAAGAAAATGTTGAATACTCTTCCACAGATTAGTTCAGGGTCCGAGACAGATGCTCGTGGCATGATCATGGATGAGAAGAAGAGAAAGAGGATGCTAGCGAACCGAGAATCTGCAAGACGATCACGAATGAAGAAGCAAAAGCTGTTGCAGGACTTGGTTAATGAGATTGCTTCTTTGAAGGTAGAAATTCGGAAGAACACTGACAAGTGTGAAGCTTTAACGCAAAAGACTGTTGTTTTCGAGTCGGAAAACAATCTTTTGAAGGCTCAAAAGATGGAATTGGCTCAATATTTAAGGAAGCTGGAAATGATGCAAACTCACATGGAACTGTTGCAGATGAACTTGGCGCAGCCTGGAAGCCTATCTGATCAAATTGTTGACATGAAGGAACCCCATGTCGATTCTTGGCAATGCCCTGGCTCAACGCAGCCGGCCATCATGGCCTCTGCTGGAATGTTCAACTATTAAATTTTGTTCAAGACTTAGATTTGTCATGTACAAAATCATTTTGTAAATACATGGAATAAATAATTGCCATGTGTTCAAATTTCCTTGAAACATGTGCTTTATATTTTCTAATCGTATTGGTTCTGCTTTCTAGATATATATTAATCATTTCTTTTCTTATCTGAATCGAATTTAAAGCAATAAAAAAACAATTTCTTCTCTACATGATAAGCCTGTTCATGGTTATCTTCTTCTCCACTATTCTTTTGGGTCAAAATTTTCATGCTATCAATCTACAAGAGCAGAACAAAAACAGCAAGGTTATCCATTTTCCCATAATATTTTTGCTTGATAGAAGTCTACAGGTGTCCCGTGGTTCCTTTTCCAATGAAAAAACAAACGGGATTTTTGTAGGTTCCTCTGCTAGGAATGGTCTCCCAGGCTCACAAGCGACCCGGGTCTCATCTCCAAGGCAGATGGCAGATTTTCATTTGATAGCTTCAATGGCATTAAAACTGTTGCTGGGTATATATATATATATATATATAATATATGGTACTTCAAACTGCAAGCTTAAGATTTTGTGCAGGGTCAATCAAAGAAACAATTGTTCAACTTCAAAAAGTCTAGTTGAGAAATTCTCCTTTCCTTGTAAATGAAGGGAAGTTAGATTTGTAAATCAAAGAAATTCTTCCTTTCATTTTCAGCTTCCACAAGTCCACAACCGCAAAATCAGACAGTCTCAGATTGTATTTTACATTTTTTTTTTTCTTAATGGAAAACTCCTTGATGTCAAGTCCAAGTATGAAGCTGTTCAAGGTGAGAATGAGGAAAACCAAGGATACAAAAAGTCTTTATTCATATACCAACAACTCTTTCAATGATCAGATTCTTGAAACCATAAAAATATACAACAGATTGTAAATACAACATAAAAGTATGCAGACCTTGTCCAATGCTATAATGTTTTTGATATTATAGCAAGCATGCAACTAACTCTAGTAGATTGAACAAGCTAATTCTATTATTTTCTATTTAGATGAGGAAGGAGGGCAACCTACTTAGTCATATCAGAGGTTAGTGAAATTCAGGTTCCTCCATGGCTCATATTCCAAAAATCAACTTCATGTTCAAGAATACGCAGGAATGTCGCTTCAGCATTTGTGATGACATCATCAGAAGCCTTCTCTAGCTGTCTATCAGCAATTTTTCTGAGAGAATTGCAGTACTGACGAAAACCTTCATTGCCCCATCTTTGGCAAGTTTCCTGAAGTTCAGGTGGGGTTTTACTACCATCTTCCAGGCAGTGTGCAAAACTCTCTTGATAGACAGCTTCGATCGCCCAAAAAGCTACGATTGCAACAGCATATTCAACTTCCAGGCACATTAAGCTCTCAAGAAATCTGCAATAGCAGGTAAAAATAAGTTTGCTTTAAGAGTTTAATCATGAATATATTTAGGCTCAAGGCAAAGGACCATGTCCAGTGATCAAGAAAACAATTTCCAAGAGCCATTGAAGATGTCCTCATGCATCAAAAAGAGAAACAAAAGATTTAAACTAGACCTTCAACTGAAGCATTCTTTTCTCAAACTCTGTAATAAATCTATCTAATTGATCTAAACGAACCAGAAACTACCAATTCAATTCTTAACCCCCAACATGAAACAACCAAAGTAAAGGTAAAACTATTTATGCACAGCTCACTGCACATCTTTGGCACTACCAACTTTGACGTGAGCTTAATGACAGAAAAAAGGAGCCAAAGAAGAGGTTCTCTCCTCCCAACTTTCAATTCAATTTCAGTTTCAGACACAAATGTTTTACCAATAGAACAAATAAAATGGCTAAAACTTAATTCAATACACCAGAAAATAACTTCTGGGACATCCGTTTAATTTAGCATAGCATCTAAATTATCACAACCTGATATGCCTCATTTAGAAGTATTGACTTCTCGATTTTCTATGATAAAATCTTATGTCTAGTCCGCATTTAGTTACTACTATTTTGTAAATATAAGAGTAGACCTATAGTACGGCTTGGCTTGAGCTTTTTCAACAAACGAAGAAGCTAAACTTTTGGTGAGGCATGTTTCATAAACTCAGACACATATTGAATAAATCTGAGCTTGAGATTAAAATTACACTGACTCGATAGATGTGAGTGACACAAACTTGATGTATTCGCTTGTATCTCATTTCAGGTTTAGCTTGATTGCTTGAATTTGATCAGACCTGATTAGTATGTCAAGCTTATATAAATCCAAGCCCAAGCTTCTTTAGGATATATCAACCAAGCTTGAAAATGTACATAAAGCTTGAATCAGTCTCATTTGAAGCTCAATCCTTCTTTCAGATTAATCAAGCCAAGCTCGAGAAACAGAGTTCGGCTGAGCTTGACTCACTACAGCTTTATATTGGAGATTAGGATACCTCATTACTAAGTGTCAACTTCTTGTTAACTTTGAAACTAGTTGAATAAGTAGTGGCAAATCAGAAATTAAGAAGAATACAATAAGAAAATTTTCCTTTGAATAAGTTTTGAAGCTACGGATTATGTTTTAAAGCTCAAATGTGCAACTTACAAAATTCTGCAATCTGAATGCTTTGAACTTGGCTACCGAATTTGAGTTCATGGGACTAATGGCAACTAATACTATAAGAAACTTTTCCATGATAGAAGTTTTGAAGCTCAAATTTGTAACTTACAAAATTCTGCAATCTGAATGCTTTGAACATGGTTAGTGAATTTGAGTTCATGGGACTAATAGTAACTTCTTCCAAAGTTAATATGCATTCCATAAATCTTTGAAATCAATCATACCAAGCCTCGATATATCTTCAAAGATCTGAATATTTAGTTCTTTAATACCGTCCATCAATACGAGGAAGAAAGAAAGAACTGGATTCAATCAAGAAACATATCTACCTATAAATGACCCCAAAGATGAAAAATAAAACACATCTATTCATTGGATTAATGATCACTAGGACCCTGTGGAAGGCTAGCAAGGATAATAAGTTGACACCTAACAATGAGCAGTCCTTATCGCCCATATTCATGAAAAAGTGCCATTAAACTCGGGCTAAATTGTACGTTAGACCTTCTAAACATTGGTATTTTACTTTAGCTTCTCAAAGAAAGACATAAGATTGTCACATATATACATATTTCCATGAGCTGTACAGGCACTAAAATTAAAAAAAAATTTCTAATAAATCACAGTAACAAGGATAATCAAAAGCAAAAACGCTTAGTAAAAACCACATATACAAAGAGGTTACCGGCAGTATTCTTGATTCGCTTTTTGAGGAACAATATTTGAGAGCTGAACACCCCACTTGGAGGCTTCTTTCTTGAACCAACCAACCTCATCATTTAAAGCAGCCATACCTCCTAATATCACTTCCGTATCATTATCATCTGATCCTTTCCAAACTTTAGTCAACACACTTGCTACAAACGGCACAAAAGCTCTAACGAATATGTAATCCTGCCCCTGAGTTATATTTATATTGTTTTCAGACCATGTCAGTGAAAGCAACAAAATTTGAATTCAAACCAATCAAATTTTCATTTAAAGAACCAAACTTGTCTAAAGTTAGTATGTAATTTACGCCTAAATGGTTAGAAATTGGTCACAAATGATTATATTTGACCAAGAAAATCTATCAAATTGTATATTTAGCAAGAAGGAAATACCAGCCATGCTTTGAAGAAGGAAAGGTCAACGTTCCCATCTCGAATGCTGCGGATGAAAGGGTGTCTAGTAGCTCCAACGTACACCAAACGATGCTTCTTCAGCCATGTCTCAATCATGGTAGTCTTCTCCTCCATTGTTTGCCACTCAACTTTCTCTCTGAGACTTTGTGAGTTCCAGAATTAGTCTGCAGTTCCAAGTACTAAAAATTGTTTCTTCTTGAACTCTTTCATTATCGCCTGCTTCTCTCTCTGTCCCCGCAAGTGTCATATTTGCCAGTCAAAGGTTTTCGCACGTGCCAATATTAAGATGCACGTGTAAGCATCCTGGATTCGGTGCTGGGCCGTGCTGGCCTCCTGGGGTTGTGGTCCTGTGGATTGCAGACACATGTACTTTTGGTGATTGATGACCGGTCCAGGAAAAGCCTACTTTATTGGGCTCCCTTGCCAGGCCCTTAACTTATGAAAAACTAGCTTGACAGTTGACAGGAAGGGTGTTGGGCCTTCGTGTGGGTAATAATTTGGGTTAAATTCAGTTGGTTCAAAACGTTGAGTTTGGCAAAACAAAATGGACTGGAAAATTGAAGGACTCGATCGATGTATTAACAAAGATCTTAGTTTCATCACAATTCAGAAAAATGGATTTTCTTTTTTTTTCTTTTAGAAATTGTTGCTGAGCCTAATGAAATTGTATTACTCTGACACCAGTACTTAAGTCCGTATCTAAATTCTAATGACAGGGAAAGGCAAATGGGCAAATGGGCAAATGGCAATACAAAAGCACCATATGGAGAGCAGACAGCTTAATACAAGTATGATTAGATTTTGCAGCCATCCAAATTAGAATAGAAAATTAAAAGAAAAAACAGAAGTAACAGTAAGAACATATGAATAGCAAATTGAGAGATCTAGTTTCTGTGACAACATGGAATGTCGACATTATGTACTCACAAGGTTGACAAATTCAGTGGCCTTTTTTATGTTGGTTAGTGGAAAAGTACTACTATATCAGATTATCAGTATTCACCTTCTTCCTTCAGCTGATGCTGCATTGCCAGCTTGTACTTTACTGACTGTTTCCCATCGGTTATTCCCAGTAATTTATTTTGCAAAAGTTATATATATTGTAACTAATTATCAAAGAGATGAAGACATGGCTATATCAGGTATTATTTGGAATGTTTCGAACTTTAGTGCAGAAATGATAAATAGTTGGTTTTCCATCAATCTTTGATCGACAGCTTCATTGTAATTAGAGGAACGAGGAGTCAGATTCAAACACCCCCAAAAAGAAATTTGTAGAGTTCATGCCTCAATCCTCATAGTGACAAATGACAGTGATCATGACTTTACAATGCCTTTGGCTTTTTACTAAGCTCCTTTTGATTAAAAAAACTTGCTATCGTGTCTTCTGCTATACTCTTGAATAAATCTTGCTTCTGATATTTTAGATAAAAACCAAAAAACTTTCAAGGATCACCTCTATAGAGTTTTTTAAGTTTTAAGCATATTGTAAATCCAACTTTTCTGAGCAGAATCTGGCTTCTTTTTTTCATTTTTTTTCCCATTGTGATTCTCTTATGTACAATCTTGTCTGAGTTAATGGTTTTTTACGCATCACAATGTGCAATTTTATGATTGACCAATCTCTATGAGAAAATTTCAAGGTTAGACGACCTTAGTCCCTCCAATCATGTCAATACCCTCTTCACCAAACTTGTTCTTACATGTCTATCCCCAAGTGACAATGATGTCACTACATTTCTCTTTCCTCATAGGATCTCATGCAAATCCACTTGACCATATCATTATCTTCCCTTACTATTCCAATTACCTCAAACTGACTCATCTGGAATTTTCCATGCTGAAAAAATTAAGATTGCATCTCACTTCCTAATTGAGTGGCTTTCATAGGCTCCAGTCCCCTCCCTGTCACTTCCACCATTTTGGCTACCAAACGTCTGATGACTACCTCCTTCCATAACTATGACGTTGACCCATCTGCCAATGCCAAAGCCTTTCAGTTGGTCTCCTCGGATCCTGACTTATCAAAACGAGTGTTTTTCCACCCTGCAGATGTTATGAACGTGTCAAGTGGCTTAAAGGAGTATGAAGTCATTTTCTTGGTGGCTCTAGTAGGAAAGGACAAAGAGGAGAAGACTCGAGCAATACGTCATTTGGCTCAGCATATGGCTCCAGGAGCTTTTTTGTTGCTAAGGAGTGCACATGGACATTGATCCTTGTGATGATCTTCAAGGGGCTTTGAAGTTCTTTCAGTGTTTCATCCAACTGATGAGGTCATAAATTCAGTAATCATTGCACGCAAACATCTGAGTCCTATTCTCTCATGGAATCAAGACTTGGACTCTACCACCTTACCTAGCAAATGCTCGGAAATTCAATGTTTCAACCCTTTAAACCATGGAAACATAATGGAAGTGTTAGCCATTGATGAGCAACTGTTGTGAATCGTCTCCCTGTCTATGTTCGTCAACAAAACCAACCTCAAAACGGGATCCTTGAACTCTCCTTTTTCTTATCCTTAAACTCATCTTATTGCAGACTTGACTTACGTACTTCCTTAGTCATTCCAAATTGAACTCTTGCACAATAATAAGTTTCTCCTTTGTCCTAATCAATTTTCCCCAATAGGCCATAGCCGAGGAAAATATAATTTATGATATCTGATTATTGTAAGCCAATGAATTGCACTTATTATCCTCCCAGCTTGGCCTTCTAGGAGGAAAAATAACCTTTTCTTTTGTAACATACTTGTATGACAAGCACACTGCTGAACTCACAATTCCTTCCTACAAGGAAATATCTCACTTTCCCCCTTTTTTTTTTTTGGATGAATAACTTATATCATACCAAAAGCAATGAAAGTTTTAAAGGAAGAGAGAACCGTGAATCAGGATAGGATAACGGACTTATGATTTTGTCAAGACAACATTAAAACATGAGGAATTAAGTTACACAGTGGGCTTTACAGCTTACTTACTGAGAGTTTTGTGTTTTACATTGCAATTCCTACTTGGCTTTATTTGTTCACACAATTTGGTATTGGTAGTTTAGAATATGATGTGTTTCATATTGGATAAAAAAATGTAATTATTGATGAATAAAATTAATTTTTGTATTAATTTTATTTATATTAAATAATTATATTTGAATAAAAATAATTATTATATGACAAATGATCATAACTATTTTGAATATAAATATATTATTATTTATAAAGATCATGATTATACAAAAAATTATAACTATCTGAATAGAATGTTATATCTGTTTATTAATTATAAATAAATCTTTTAGTATAATTATTTTCATTGCTTCTGATTAGAGAGTTTAAGATTTTATTGTATTCTAAAAACATAATTATCTTTAAAAAAATATTTTTCACATTTCAAAGTCAAAATTTTTTTTATTATTCCACTTCTCTTGTTTATTTTTTCTAACACAAAGTGATAGAATTGGTGTCTCTTTCAAGTTGACAACTAGGGACTGCCCATTCCTATAACATGCACAAGAATTTCCAGGAGCAAACTGTTTGGCCACCAAATCTGCTTGATACAAAGATGAAGAACTTAGCTCAGCTTCCACTGTCCAAAATTTCTAAAACTGGTTCTCCAAGCTTCAATCTTCATGTCCCGGAAAATCCTATCCTCATCCTTTGCTGCAACAATATTTTGGATCTCTTGACCTAAGTATGCAGCTTCCAAAATCCTCCTGTTTTGATCACACCGATCCATACAATCTTCATGGCAATAAAAAAATGCAGTATAGAAAGATAATGCTTCAGAAAACCGTTCCACGAAAATCGGAGATGTGTGATTTACCTCAAACTCTTTGACAACCACAATCCATGGATTGAGGTTCTTGAGCATTCTTATTATAGATTCCAAGCAATCAGGTTGTGTTAAAGTATGTCTCAGCAGAGTCCGGGAGCCGATGACAACGGCTTCACCATCATTTAACTCAAAGATATCCTCACTGATATCTTTGAGGTCTGTCACCATAACAGCGTGAAACAAAAAGGGTATGTTTAAGGCTTCATGCCAGCATTTTACCAGTCGCTTGCATCTTAGTCTGTGATGTTGTCCCAACAGCAGTTATTTTTAGAAGCTCAATTGGGCATTCATCACGAGTTGCAAGAGCTTGCATCAAGGCTGTACATTGTGCCCCACTTCTAATTGCAAGATCAACAAAATGAACCTTTTTTGCTGAGGCTACATTTTCTATGATTGCTTGGAGTCCAGAAAACTGTGTAACCTGAATGAAGGGAAGTTTTAGGAAACATGCAATGAGAGCTCGGTTCAAACTCACTATTGTCTCATCCGGATGTGATAGTTCTCCTTCTCTGCTTTCCCTAGCCTTTGATGAGGTTGCCCCAGTTTCTCCATCAATTCTCTCTCGAAGAGCCTTGCTAAAATAATACACCACTCTTTGAATTGAATTTCCAGCATTAGAAGACAAGAAATCACACAAGTTGAGGAACTTTCGCGCATGATCAAACTGTCGGTTTCCAACCTTGTCAGCAGAGGCTGGTAAAAGAATTGCAAGCTCTACGTCTTTGATCTCATCTCCAGAAAGATTAAAGCAACCACCATCGAAGAATTTGTTAAGCACATATAGATCAAAACATTCCAGGGAAGAAATTTTGCTGAAACTTGCTCTTGCAATTTTCAGAAGACTAGCAGCTGATAATTCACGGATAGAAGCCATGATTGAGGTTATAATTTTTCTAGGAAATGCATATTCTCTCTTTAGTTCATAGAGAGCTGAATCATGTCACAGATATGGTTCATATTGAAGGAATTCCAAGGCCCTTAACGTCCAATAAGAATATGTTTCATTTATCTCTTCAATATAGCTCTAACCATTTGCAATCAGAGGGAGGAATATGAATCAAGGGAGAGAAAAACAAAGAAAAATACCAGAAAACTTGAAATCCAATGCCCTTTTACATCCACGAGTGAGATTGGCTTCTGGTTGTATAGGCCAGTTTTATCTCTCACAACATACAGCCGGTTTTGATGGCAACTCTTTAATATTTTTGAAACTTTTGGTTTGTTTTATAGTCATTTAATGCAAAGAAATGATGATATGAATCTTTCCAGAAATTTGATTTAGGATACATTGGTAATAACAAAGGGAGTAATTTTGCTAGGAATCTTTAGCCGGCAATAATACATGGAGTAAGTTAAAATAAAGAATATTTTCTCTTGAAAAAGGACACATATAAAGAGCTGCTAATGCAAACTTCATGAAAGGAAAACTGAAGATGTGGCCTGCTTCCTTTTTTTTTTCATTCATCAATAGACAAATGTTGTTTTGGGACTTCACCTGTATAAATGTATGGTTAATTTCTTCATTCACCCTAGCATAGAATTTTGAAATGGATTGCTCTAAAATGGGTAACAAAATCTGCTATTACAATGATAGTGGTTTCTTCTCTTAAATCAAAAGTTGATTCAGTATCAAGTAAATTAGCACTCATTTTCATTGGCAAGGCTGGAAATGATGGATAGCCATGGATTCCAAATCAAAGCTTTGAATTGGTGATGTTCATAAGATTACTTTTCTGTAGCAACTAGCAATATATGACATGTTTCACCTAAGTCAAGTCATTCCCCACATAGGCTTATACTATTGTCAAAGACTCCATTAATTTGATGACTGTATTCGGATGGGCAGTGATTGCTAATACAATAAAAGCAGTATGAAATTTGAAACAGAAAATGTTAGAAAAAATAAATAAGAGAAGAGAAATAATAAGAAAAAATTTTGGCTTTGAGGCGTGAAGAAAACTTTTTTAAAAGTAATTATACTTTTAGGATACAATAAAACCTCAAACTTTCTAATTAAAAATAATAAAAATATTTGTACTGAAAAATTTATTTATAATGAATGAACAGATATAAACTTTTATTCAGATGATAATGACATTTTGTAAAATCATGACTTTTATAAACAATAATCTATCTATATTCAAATAGTTATGATTATTTATCATATGATAATTGTTTCTGTTCAAACATAATTATTTAAAATATGAATAAAATTAATACAAAATTAATTTTATTCATCAATAATTAAATTTTTCTATCAAATGTGAGATGCATCACATTTTAAACTACTAACAATCCCCTACTAGTTTGGAATGTTAGTGCTAAATTTTTACCTTTCACACAAATAAATATTATGAATGTAATAATGTATCTCTTGATTTAAACCTTCAATTAGCGCATATATCTTAGAATTCTAATTAAGTTGATGATGTCCGCAGATTAAATCTCAACTCCTAATGTTAAAATTGAAGATATAGCATACATAATATTTATTTATTCTTCTATCGAAGGTTTATAATTACTTTTAGTACTATTATGACTATATGCTTATCTTATTCATAAACATTTATAAGAAAGACCCTAATTCTTCTTGTTGAAACAACACTACTTCTATGTTTATATAGGTAGAGCTTCTATTATGTCTTTGTTGCTTTAGACATTTAAAACTCTATTAAAAGTATAAAAACTCATCCTTCCCACACAATAGATTATATTAGTTTTTAAAATTTGAATGGATTTTACTAGTGTTTAATAAACACATAATAATAACTTGTTTTTACTCATTAAAATTTGTAATTAAAAGTTACTAATTCAAAGTTGGGCTTCTGTTATTGGTGTCTAATAGTAAGGATTTAAATCAATTCTACTTGTAGTACTACTAACCAAATATCTTGAAATTCAATTTTCTTTTATGGTAATTACCTTCACTTGATATTGAATCTCTAATATAATCACTTCATACTAATATGTCCAAATATTTCATTTTGCAAATCATTTATATGCTTTAGATATTATTGCCTCATTCTTATTATTTTAAAAAATAGTTAGCTATGATTGTGGTCACAACTCTATACTCATAACTATCAACCATTTTATTTTCATACTTTTATTACAATTGGAAAAACTAAATGAATAAACCAAACCATTTTGGTCCATTTAATATTTTTAAGGACCTTTTTATTATTTTACTTTAATAAGTGTCTAAACTTATTAGTTTGTATAATTTACTCATAAAATTATATTAAAATCTTACAACATTATGGTGGTAATTTTTATTTCTTTTGTTTCTTATCACTCCCACCATTTGCAAGTATGCATTCTTTTATTTAAGAATGTCTCATTTAATTGTTAAGATATCATATATACTTAATCAAGTTGCCAATTCATTTATTTTTACACTATTTGATGGTTTTTTTTTTTTAAGTAGAAGGCCTCCAAATCCACAATCAGTAAAAGATAACTAGCAAATATCTTAATGTTTCTATAAAAGTTCCAAAATTTTTATATTTTAACTTAAAATAAGAGTTTACATCAATAAGCAAATTTTAAATATAATTATGCTTCTATAGTCTCCTTTTAAGACTTTTTATGTCAATTCATAAATACTTATATGAATCTATTTCATCAAGGACACTATTAATAATTTTATTACCATGAACAAAACCATTTCCATCACCCAAATGGATCAAATAACATTATTTTTGCTATTATAAAAGCTTTTATATTCACAAGATCTTTGAATCATTCATGGCTTCCAAAGCAAATATACTTTAAAATTTTTACTATCTAAAACCATAGATAATAAATCATTTGTAACAATCCATGAATTAGACTATATATATAACAAAAAATTTTCATAACGTGATCAAGATTGTGGCACCAATTTTGGCTTATGGATATTTTAAGCCAACCATAATAATCCACATTACACCTACAAGTCATGTAGATTTACTATTGAAATTATCTCATTTATAGTGATGACTTTTAGTGAAAACCAACTATCTCAATTGTTATCATGAGTTTTCAATGCATATATTAATTGCCTAATGACTAATTCCAAGTTTATGATTATTGAAATCTTTAAACTTGATTTCAAAATTTTATGAGAATTTTATTTTTCACGATTGTGCATCCTATATATCTCTATTATTTATCACTTCTAATTGGTCATAACATTTTTGAATATATAATAAATTCAAGTTTTACTTATAGGATCAATATGCCTATGTACAATAATAGTCCATAGTATATTTAATTCCAATTTCAAATATTTTCACAATCATTTTGTGATCAACATATTCATATTTAGATCACCATATCAATGCAATTAATGAAACATGAATCCAAAGAATCATTTTCATAAAATAATATAAACAATAATTATAATATGAGTTCTATTCATATTTCATACAAAAACTTGTGGTGAATTTACATTGGTTAAATCATTAATTGACTAACTTTAAGGCTTATGGCTTTTACAAACCAATATTATTATCTAAGCCTATATGTTAATATGATATATAACCAGCTATATTCTTACCAATGTTATGAAACTATTGAAAACCACGAAAACTTATTCACTTTTCATTTTAACAGCCTACAAAAGGTCTTTTTTTCAGGTACAAAAAACAAAAATTCATTCATTGTCTTTAACCAATAATGTATTAATTGGATGATGACATTGTATCTCCATAGTCCATATCTTTCTTATATGTATAAGAAAGAAAATTCCATCCAATTCAGTTAATTTTCGTAATATATGGTAAATTGTACCAATATTCTCTATGCCATCACAAAATGAAATTAAACACATTTATTGGTGCCTTTGGAACGTTGAATTTGCATGTTCTTTTTTAATTTATAAACATGCATAATTAGACATTGATGAGCATCCTTCAAAATGCTAGTAACCGACAAATGCTTTAATATTTTTTAATAACATGTCTTTTCTTTTAATTAATCATCTAATTAGCCCAAAATGTTAGCCAAATTTTAGTTAGTGATACTAACATAAAATTTACAAAATATAATGATGCCATAGATATGCATACTTAATGTATTTTACATTACCATCAGCCGCAATTCTTCATGAAATTATAAATTCATTGCATATAATAAATTTGTATTAACTTATTATACTACAAATTCAAACAATTTATAAATGCTATCGTTAACGGGAATACCATTTCAAAACCCAGACTTTTATAAATCTCATAGTTATAATAATTTGATATTTTCTTTTTAAACAAGCATCTCTTTAATCTTCTACCTTTTATAAGCCAGTTTCATCAATCATAGTTATACAACATGAACATTTATATTCCAAATTCTTGAGTTTATTTGTCTTACTTGTTTTAACCATCAAACACAAATTGAATTGTACCATAAATTTTTTCTTTGTGATTGTTCACAGTAAAATTTTATTTTGTAAATTTACTTCTAGTGTAATACATTCAGCAAGCAAAATACATGTAACATTGTTAATGTTTCTGATAATAACAATTATTTGGTTTATTATTTACCAATTAATCCATGAAACATCATATCTTAATAATAATTATTCACATACATTAATTTAATTTTAATTGGTTTTCATTAAAATTGAACACTAGTCAAAATTTGAACTAATAATAAATTAAAATATATATATATATATCAACTTTGATTTATAAACAACTAACAAAGATAGACATATATAAATAGCTTGACTCAATTTATTGTCTCAATTCTAATGCCATGATTTAAAAATAAAACTAATATTGCAACAAATCTTTTTTTTACATATATTCTCTACTTACATCTAATTTTTCATGATAATTCTTTTACCCATTTCCAATTATTTTTTATAGAAACCATGGGACAATTTGCCTATTCTATATATAACCAAGATATGACAATTAAGCAATTAGTCATTTCATTAGAATCCAATTTAATTTGTTATTTGACAACAAATGATAATTTTTTTAGTTGTAAATCAATTCATGTATTTCTCTTTTATGTTTTTAGGCTATTTTTCATCTCAATCTTTATAAGCATCGATTTTTTAAATAGATATAATACAATTCATTAAATCAAATTATAGAGTCAATTTCAGTGTATGTATAAACTTATGCAATGTAATCAATATTTTGCATATTGTGTTTTGACTTTACACACTAATGAAATTAATTATTAACGTGTTTATCTCATTCAGTTAATTTTCTTACCAACAATTATGAAAAAATACAATACATATCTCTAATAAAGATTTTTATAGAAATTAACTTTTTGGTCTATGAAAATATTAATCCGTTGACACCTTAAGTCTCCTCTAATATTGATCTCCAAATTATGTCAACTACTTTTCCTTGTATTTTCATTGTGCGAAATATAAATTTCTTATAATTGCCTTTAAATTGTTAGAAAAAATCAATAAGAGAAGATAAATAATAGAAAAAATTTTTGACTTTAAGGCATAAAGAAAACCTTCTTAAAAGCAATTATATCTTTAGGATATAACAAAACTGTAAACGCTTTAATCAGAAGTAATAAAAATGGTTATACTGAAAGATTTATTTATAATGAATAAACATATATAAACTTCTATTCAGATGATTATAATCTTCTGTATAATCATGACATTTATGAATAATAATTTATTTATATTTAAATAATTATGATCATTTGTCATATGATAATTGTTTTTGTTCAAACATAAAATAAACTTAACACAAACATTAATTTTATTTATCAATAATTAAAATTTTCTATCCAATGTACAATGCATTACATTATAAAATACCATCAGAACAAGTATAGAGCCTGTGTTTTCATTCCACTATGTCACAATACTGCAAATTTTCAAACAAAAGCAACAAAGGGAACAAAAAATCACACTCAGCGACCTATAAACTCTATCTTCACAAGGGGAAAAAACCGAAAAGTAAGATCTCTTAACCAAGACCAGGAAATAAAACTACCATCATATTCAATGTTGACGATCATCCCATATGGATTTTCACAATTGAACAGTTGCATGGAAGCACCAGGCCTAGAAAGTGGTAATGTTTAGGCATTGAATCCACAGCTTAAAGAAACTTCCAAACAGAAATAGAATGCAACGGTGTTCCTTTCCATCCAATAAGTAGGCATTTACCATCCATACCAAGTGTACAAGAACTCCCACAAGCAAAAGTTTTGAGAATAAGGTTGGCTTGGTATAGGGATGACATGCTTAATTCAGCCTCCTCCATTCCATACCGAACAAAGAATGCTGTCCAAACATCAAATTTCACATTGCGTAACTTCCATTCCTCACCTTCAGCTGCTACCATGTTCCTAATTACCTCACCAAAGAACATAGATTCATGATCTCTCTATTTTTACAGTTCTGTTTCATGCAAGTTGCGATGCAATCAAAGTATGCACTGTAGAAGAAAAGAACTTCAATGAAACGGTTCACAAAGGTTGGTGAATTACGGTTGGCCTCAATTTCAGATACTACCATCAAACAAGGATTGATGACTCTCATCACTCTCATTATATTTTCAATCCGGTTTGGCATTGCAAGCATGCTCCTAAAAGCATACGCAGCAAAGACCTCAACCGTTTCTTTAGCATCAAGTTCAAAGAGATCTTATTTGAGATCCAACATGTCTGAGACCATAACAATCTTAAAAGCTAAGGTTATGCCAAAGCTCTCTGCAAAACTTAACAGCATCTTACCTGTGCCCTCGATTGAATGCTTTGCATCAGTTGCAGCAGCAGTTATTTTCAGGAGCTCAAGAGGGCATTCATATCGAGATGCAAGAGCTTGCATTAAGCTTGTCCATTGCACTCCATTTCTGATTGCAAGATCAATTATGTGAATCCTCTTTGCCTTAGCAACATTTTCCACAATGGCCTGGATACCAGCAAACTGTGTAATCTGGGAAAAAGGCAATTCTCGATAACATGCCAATGTAGTGGGATTCGGCCTCATAATTGCCTCATCAAAATTAAACAGTGATTCCCTCCTTAAACTTTTCAATGAAGGTCTTGTCTCTCTTTCAATCTTCTCTCGAAGAGCTTTAGTGAAACAATAGACCACTCACTGAACTGGATTACCAGTTTTACATGACATGTGATCACATTGTTTCAGCAATCTGGTTGCACTGTCATATTGTTGATAGCCTACTTTCTCTGCAGCAGCTAGAAGGAGCAAAGCAAGTTCCACATCTTGTCTCCTGATCAGAAAGTCCCGAGAAAGAAAGATTAAAAGGATGTTCCAGCATGGAGATACTAGCAATAGTTTGGCAAGAGGACTGGATAAACATCTCTCCAGCAACCCTCATAACTTCTTCAGTTGACAATTTTCTGTCTGCCTCCTCTGTGAACACGGTTATGTCATTGACTCCCTCACTTGTTTCCCTTCGTAATCGTTTGAATCCACTACCATAGTTGCTTAGCAGCCCAAGCGGGGATAAGGAAAAGGGATACTGCGTTTCCTTCGTCTCAGCAACATCTTGAATTCCATTGGGGATCTGACCAAGCTTTGCAATTTCCTCCAGACATGTTTGAATTGGTGGAGATGCAGCATTGAAACTTACTCCATCAAGAAGACCATAATCTGTAAATGGCTGTTGTGGCCGATATTTGGAGAAACTGAATCCTTCCTCCAATGAATCAAGTTAATAGAATCCATAGTCAGAAGACAAGGAATTAAAGCCTCCAGTCTCTCCCCAGCCCTCTGCTCCATAGAAACTACTTTGCTTCCCTCTACTACCTCCTTGACAACGCTCAAAATCTTTATTAGAAGAACTAAGCTGATCTGGAACTCCACCAATGTTCAGATCATCGAAAGAGAACGCATCATTAGCCATGCTAGACAGCAAGGAAACTAACAGATCAATATATGCATCCTCAAGGAAGCTAATACTAAGTAACCAATTTCAGCAATTTCTATGCTTGGATGAAATAGAAAATATTTTCTTATTTTCTTGGCAACAAGGAATATAGTTATATATTCTATCCTGAAATAGTCTTACATCAAGTATAGCAACCTTAAAATATTGTTATATAGTGATATTTCCAAGGTGGCCTGCACCAGGTCAGGGAATCAACCATGAATTCAAATGCCACAATCCAGTTGATATCAATCAACCAAGCGTGGTTACAAAGACTAAAAGAACATAGAATGGTAAGTAAACAAGAAACAAAGATCATACATTTGACAACAAAAAAGTACATATAATAATCTCAAATTAAACCTTGATTAAGACATGAAAAGGAAGTTTTATAATGCAGCCTGCAACAAAGACTTAGAATCCTAGAGAGTTTTGAGATTGACAGCTTTTGCCCTTGTATGTATTATTTGAGAACAAAATTAATAACTTATCAGCTGAGTCATCAACCTGGGGTTTTTTTCAATGATATTGGGCAGGTCACAATCTGCTTTAAATTCAACAAATTTTACAAGATATAAAAATCTTGCTTGAGGCAGCGTTTGACATTTTAAACGGAATAATTTAAGCCAGATGACGGCTAGAATGTCAAGAATCAAGTTTAATATCCAAATATATCGTCAAAAAATAAAATTAAACCTTGGCTATTTATTATGTGTAAATAAACCATTAATGATAGAAATTAATCTTTTGAGTTAGTTTAGATCAATGATATGGCTATATATATATATATATTTGTGTCATGTAAAATATTAAAATTTATGTATTAATATCATATTTTATAAAAAAAATTATGTATCATAATTCGTATTGATATTAAAATATAAAATATATATATTTTAAATTTTATTAAATTTATATATAATTATTATTAAAATTTTAAATCATGTCACTCTCATATTTTATTTTTATATCATGTTTATATTTATCATATTAGTATATCATATTTTAAATTTATGGATCTAAGCTTTGCTAATGGCAATATTTTCAGTTCCCAATTCGCATGAATCAAAACGAACTTAAAAATAGTAATAATTTTAATTTAATTTTGATTTTGATTTTTGACCCAACCATTCATAAAAAAAAAAAATCCACTACTTAAGCCCAAAAATAATAAGTTATTATTCCAACTCAAGATTTTAATGGGCCCCATCTGTCCCGTTGGCCCAAATTAAATTTTAATTCAGAATATTATCAAATAGTTTTTAAAATAGGGGTCATCGAGCCAACAGGAACGATTGCTATCGCTCTTAGCCAATAAAACATTGCCACGTAGTCAACGTGAATCACATGACGTGTCAAGTCAACAACTCAACTCCGAGCTATTCTTTCTTCTTTCTTTCTCTTGCCATTAAATAAATCAATAAATAATTTTTCTCCCTCGTTCAGTTCCTCTCAAGTTCGTATCATTTTGTTTTAAAACATTCCAAAATTCGTATTTTATATAAAGCGGTTTCAGTCAGCGGTCGGGCGGAGGTAGCTGTGGTGGTGGTGGTTGCGGTTCGATATTCGATCAGATCGTGATCCAATGGCTGAAGACAAGTACAACCTCAAGAATCCGGCGGTGAAGAGGATCTTACAAGAGGTTAAGGAGATGCAATCTAATCCTTCTGATGATTTCATGAGCCTCCCTCTCGAGGTATGTTTTTCCCATATCTGAAAAATTTAAGGCTTTTTTGAGTTCCAATTTGATGATTCAGGTTATGGATGAAACAGGGACTAATTTGAAATTTTTGATAAATGTTTGATTTGTTATCCAATTAAGAGCTAAATTGCTTGCTGATTTAAGGGATTATTGAGGATTGTCATGATGAAATTGGGTTTTTGTTTTTTTTTTTTTTTACAGGAGAACATATTTGAATGGCAGTTTGCAATTAGGGGTCCCGGGGATTCTGAATTTGAAGGGGGGATTTATCATGGAAGGATCCAATTGCCTGCTGAGTATCCGTTTAAGCCCCCTTCATTTATGTTGCTGACTGTAAGCGCTTGGTTTTTACTTATACATTTTTCTTCTTTTTGGTAATTAAATAATTTGGTGTGCTAACAAGTTTGTTTGTGTGTCCATTTTTCAGCCAAATGGGCGTTTCGAAACCCAGACTAAGATTTGCTTAAGTATATCGAATCACCACCCGGAGCACTGGCAGCCATCTTGGAGTGGTGAGTGTCATTTCTCTTGAAAACGAATGCATTGCGAATTTTGATATAAAATTGAATACCAAGTTAGGATATTGAGTATAATGAATAACTGTTTGTATGTTGTATATGTTGATTCCACTGCCATTTGAGGAAACTCCTCAAAAGCAATCACAAAAATGATTGTAGCTAACATTAGTTTGATTTTATATACGTTCATTCTGACATGTTCTCAATCTGGCCTTTCTTATTTTGTCCACCTGTGTTTTGGATTGAAGCCGAAAAGATTCCTTGTGGTTTTTATTTTAAGATCTGATACTTGGTTGAATTAGAAAGTTTAATTAGTGAAAATTGAAGAAGGAAAAAATCTAGATAAAACCTGACTAATCTGGCTGTTTGTGTTGATAGTGCGGACTGCTCTAGTGGCACTGATTGCTTTCATGCCAACCAGCCCAAATGGTGCCTTAGGTTCTCTAGATTATAAGAAGGAAGAGCGGCGTGCCCTTGCCATCAAATCTCGTGAAGCACCACCTAAATTTGGGAATCTTGATCGCCAAAAACTTATTGATGAGGTATATTTTGCTTAGATTGTACCCTAATAATGTGATTTTGGTCCTCTGTTAATGAAGCTTTCTGTGGCGCAGCTACATGAATATATGTTAAGTAAGGCACCTCCTGTTCCTCAACTCAGTGCTTCACAGACGTCAGAAGAACACTCTAGCGATCAGGATGGAGATGCTCAGGCCAATCAGCAAGATTCTGCTACCGTGGTTGCTGGGAATGGGCTCCCAAATCAGGCCATAGTTGACAGGGTTGTTGAAGAAGAGCCTGTGGCCCCTGCCAATGCTAATCCCCCGCCTGCTGACATTAGGTTTATGAGAGAGATTCCTGCCAGGCCAGAGATGAGGGTTCAAAGATCTGCTGATGACCGCTTGTTTACATGGGCTGCTGTTGGACTTACCATTGCAATTTTGGTTCTTTTGTTCAAGAAGTTTATGAAATCTAGCGGACATGGTGCTGTTTTCATGGATGGTTCATAGTTCCAGCGAGGATCTGAGATTTCCTGTGCTCGCTTTGACGGACTAGTTCAAGAAGGAACAAGAAATCTATCAAGATATTTTATCTACATCTGGAGTGGATCAATTTGTATTTTAGTATGCTTTCTTGATAATATTAAGCTATTGTAATTAATGGTATATGTCTGTAGTTAATTATCACATGTAAGCATGCACTTATAAGTTTGATTTTTCTCCTGCTTATTTGGATTAATGAAATACCATTTATCCAAAAGAAAAAAAAAGTTTGATAAATCATCGCCTGGTGAAACACTTTTCGATGTTCTGTTCAAACTATCTAAACACATTGATTTCGGTAGTTTGTGACAACTAGCTTCATTTTAGTTCATAAGTATGAGCTTGAAGCATTGTCCATTTACCAAGCAAAAAAATACCGAATTTCAATTGTCCATGTACAAATAACAAGCCGTAAAAAAGAGTAAAATAGCAAGTGTGAGCTAAGATCACCATATAGAGCTCAAACGTCCTCAATTCTCATCTCACAAAAATATGCCAAAATGATTTTTTTTTTCCACCTGAAATCAAGGAACGTCATCTCAGCATGCAATCAAAGGTTGAGGCTTCGCATGTATTGCCTTGTAGCAATCAAGACTACACAGGGGAAGCTTTGACTTTGAATCTCGATACTTGTATGTATTTGTACAATTTGGACCTGCGCATTTTTCTCGCGGTGGGGGATAACTAGAAGGAAAAGAAAACCATTAATCCGACCATAAAGGTACCAGAAAAAGCGTATAAGTTGTGAAAGGCACGAGACAGATGGATTTGCAAGAGTACCTGCATGGCACTGAATTGAATAGCTTTGGTAGACCCATATCTTCAGAAAATATAACTGTTGTTCCATCAGGACGTATAACCCATCTCACAGTGTTTGATGCAAGAGATTCAAATTTGGCAGCCTTTCCCTGCATCAATTATAAGATCAAAATGCATGAGAATAGTGCTAGAAAACACACAGAAAATGCATGATTCTAAAAAAGTGTCAAGGACCTGTGCCAATTCATCCCGCTGCTTCTTAATCTTTTCCTCCCTCTTCTTTCTTCCCGAATCTTGACCCAGAATTTTTCGGATTGCCTCAGCCTGAGACAATTCAAAGACCCAACTAAGACCGTTTCTCAAATGATCATGGAACAATAATAAAATTAATCAAAAGCACAAAAGAAAGAGTGGGTAAAACCTCAGCTTCCCTGGCTGCTTTCTCTGATTGCATTCTCCGTCTCTGTGCAGCCTCAGCCTTTTTCAACTGTTGCGCCACTTCAGAAAGTTTCTCCTTTTGTTCTGCCATCACCAACCAATATTAAAACAAAACAATTTTCAACATTTAGCATTGAGAGCTCAACTATACTTAAAACACATTTGCAGCTGTATCATTATTACCAATCCAAGTTATTCCAAGGGGGAAAGTGATAGGATCACATTAGGGGAAAGCAAAAAGGAAGTAAATTAAGAAGTATGAGGGAATTACTAAATACTAACTTTTAGGTGGGGCAGGAGGTAAACCATCAGGGAACTCAACAAGACTGGCACCAGGACCAGATAAGAGATCTTTCCCAGACTGAAGAGCTCGATTACGTGTAGTGGGAGTTGATTCAGTTCTTCCTTCCACAAACAAATCAATTGATACCCTTCCCAGCTTCTTCCTTTTAAAACCTGGCTCACCATCTGATATAGGTTCGTCCTCTTCCACATAATCTCCATCCTCAAAAATAGCACTATCCCTCTCCTTTCTCTCATCCTCTTCATCTTTATAATTTGAAAGACCATTCGAAGCATTCAGTCTCCCTAGATAACGGATTTCCTCGTCCTCATCATCACTGTTTATACCCACATCCAAGACACGTCGCTTAGGAATCCGCTTGCTCTTACGAGTTGGCTCGTTTCTGTCAGTTTCATTCACAGCTGCAATTGCACCAGGTGCCTTTCCCCTAGAAGAATACCCCTTTCCATAATCAGAGCCATGTCTGGAGAAATCCTTCCATTGAACTCCATAGCCTTCTCCCTTATCAGAGAGATAGGAGCCTTTGTTGTCCTGTGGCAATTGTTCATGCAACAAACCATCAACTTGCAAAAAAATTAATTGCATTATAATAGAATACTAAAAGAACAAATGACACATGGTAAAATAAAATAATTTATGACAGAATAATAGTGACAAATGACATTGAGACCAGTTCGACACTTGTTTTTCCAAAACCTACTAAAAAAAGTCAGAGGAGAAATCCCTTCTGAAGAATGTTGCAATGAGAAACAGAATACATATATCTCAGAGAAAAGAAAGATCAAATTCAACACCAGATTGTTGGTAACAACAAACAATTCTTTTAAACAGTAAGCTGATAACCATTAGCAATCTAGTGCCTTGTGAGAATTAGATTAAGATACCAGGAAAAAGGACTTCTCTTGGGTTTGAGGGGCATCAGAAAAATAAGAAGACTTAGTTAAGTCAGGCACACCACCAAAGGCAGGATCTGCAGTGGATTGAGTGCGGATCATACGGGTAACCCCACCAAGCTTGAGCTTAAGTTTCAGCTTATTTTCACTTCCAAATCCATTAGAACCATTCTTAAAATTTTGATCTTCATTGCCACCGCTACCTATGGCTGGTGTTGGTGTTGATATTAAAATGTAATTATGTGTAAATGTCTGTTGAGTAACACGTGGACGGCGTGATATGCTACTCCTCTTCTTCTTTATGGCACATCCAACGGCATCTAACCCTGACCCCCCAGTGCTTTCCATAGTGGCCAGGGAATCCAACTCTTTGACAGCAAATGACAAAAGTAAGCTCCAAATAAACAAGTAAAAAGCAAGAAAGCAAACCAAACCACAGAAGAAATTTAATAATCGTATGTGCAATAATGAAGAAGAATGTCCTCTACTTGACTGGAATGAAATCCCATAAAGAAAAAGAACAAAAAATCAGCAGATTTTGAATCTCAAACTTATTTGGTCACAACTTTAGTCCCTCTACAAGTCCAAATTAGTAGTACTAATATGGTGGCAAACTTTTCATTACTACGAAAACCAACTAAACCCAAGTAAATAACTTCCTGGGTGTTTCCATTTCAGGCTTATCTATTATTCTCAATGCTGAGGCAACTTCACAAATTTTCACAAAAAAGGCTGCATTTTTCGCCCTAAAAACTACACCTTGGAGCTTAACAAAACATATCATCCCCCACCAGCTAGCTTCTAAATCTACACATTTCAAAGTTCTAAAAAAAAAAATCAAAGCCTTACTACAATATTCTCCTTTTAAACAAACAAAGGGTAAAACCCAACAACAAAAATAAGAAAAGAAATCAAGAAAAATGCAAACACTTACCCAAATACAACAACTGAAAAACAAAGCTTGGCCCTTTACTGAGAGAGGGTTTTGTTAAATTTTCTTCTGCTTTGTTTTGAAGAAAATTTTATTTCCAGAAAGACCAGAGGGTTTTGCCCTTCCAGGAATGGCTTTGGTAAACGATACCGTAAGTGGGATTTTTTGGTTTCCAGAAAGACCAGAGGGTTTTGCCTTCCTGGAATGGCTTTGGTAAAGTATACTGTAAGTGGGATTTTTTTTTTTTAATCTGCTCCATTTTTTTCAATTTCTTTTCGCTCCTAAACCAAGCAGTAAGCAACAATTTTTTGGTTTTTTTTTTTCCTTTTTTCCTGACGTCATGTCAATATGAAATTGAGCACGATCTTGAGAAAGAGATAGGTCGAAAGACCAAGCCCGTTGGCAGGACCAATCATATTAAACTAATGGGCCTGGGCTTCTTTTATTATTGACTAATCAAAAAAGTTTTCTTCTATTTTACATGGCCCATACATGGAGTTAGAGCCAATGACAAGTCCAATTAGGCCTTGTTTTAAGTGGTAAAGTTAAAAAAAAACCTTTGTAAAATTGAGTAATCGTAGTCTAGAAAATCTCGAATCAAACCATTTGTTTTAGACTTAAGCGAGATGCATCAAAATAATTTTTTATTTCTCGGTTTAAGTGATAAAGAGAGTATTTTTTTTTATTGTCTGGATTTGAATATATTAAAAAACAGTGAAAAATATATTTTTTAAAAATTCATTAGATATGACATAAATAAATTTATTTGAATTGATAAAAAAAATGTATTGGATAAAACCAAATGCCACTTATTGCTAAAAAAAAAAAAAAAAAAAAACTCCTATCATAAATGTCCGAAACTCTTTTATCTAAAATTTGAAGTTTTACTTGTCAAGGTGTACATCCCATAACATATGACACTCTTGTGGTTAGTATAGTATAATAAGCTAGAACTATATATATATACGATGACTTGGTGAGCTACTTCTTATGGTCATGCTGCAAAAAGTTGCATGTTGGATTAATGGTAATATGTCATATCCTTAGGTCACTCATTTTCAAGAGAGTTTGGGTTTCAATTTAACATCATGGTACGTAATTAGTGGAAAAAAAAAGTTGTATTTCTACCCAATGAAGTGATTTGTTTTTTGGTAACTAAAGATAAAATAAAAACCTGGGATTAGTCCAAATCCTCCGATCATCCACCACTAAGGGAAGTGGATTTTTAGACCAAGCTCTTGCATTTCTCATTCCTTAATATTGTAATGAAAAAAACAACAATAATAACACAATCTCTAAAATTCTTTGGAGACCTTAAGGGAGTATACAAAGTAGTACAATGGAATTAATGAAGCTAGTGCCTAGTAGCTCTTGTCGAGATAATCCCTTCCCGAGAGCCAACACATTAAAATTGGAAAACAAGAATCAGGGAATCATGTTAGCAACAGCAAGGATAATGCCAGCGATATTAATAAGATTCTTATTAATTTTAGTCATTGGAGAAACTCCCTCAGGAATCGGATTAGGCTGCCCTGTAAAACCATCATCACATGTTCCATAATCTGAAATGGCGGCGCTAACCATGGTAGAAATGGTACCAACATCTTTAACTGGAATTGCATCGATGGCTTCTTGCATATTGCCCAAGGCATCATCATAACTTTCCATGCAGTCGTTAAGTCTCGACACTGTCTTCGGATTGGATTTGGGGTATTTAGCCATTTTTGCAGCAGTGGCAATAGCCCTTTTTGTTTGCTTGGTGCCAGCCTTAATCAACATTTCAATTACGGATAGGAGGTCTGATTTGCCATTGAAGAAAGGTGCAATGCAGGCTAAGCAAAGAGCAGGCTGATCAGTTTTGTCACATACGCTTTTGATCCGAGGGTCAGATACTGTTTGTACGCCCTTCCCAACATTCAAGGAAACTGTTGGTAGCGAAATTTTAATTGTTGGAAGTTTTGACTTTAGAGACAAAGACTCTGGAGATGAATCAGGTGTTTCCTGTGGCGGATGAGAGGGTGGTGGCTGTAATTTAGGGGGGAAGGAATGAAATGAAGGCAGTTTTGGGTGACTTTGATTGCACGGCACACAAAAGGCTCGTGCATAGTTGAAGAGAGTGATGCACCAGAGTAGGAATACAAGCAGTGTTTTATTGTTTTTAGGTTCCATGTTTTCTTGGTTCTTTTTCTTTTTTTGCAGAGATTGAAGGTAAAAAGAACAAAAGAAAAATGGTCGATTGGAAGATGAAGGAACATATAAATTGTGAGGATTTGGATTTTGGGTGGTTATAATATTCATGGCAAGAGGTAGTTATCCAGGAAAATAGGGTGACCATTAGAAAAAGTGGTTAACATGAATATTTTGCTGTTTTTGGCATTGTTTTCCGGAGTAGGGTAAGGTCTTTATGTCTTCGTCAAGCAACCCTTTCCATGCTCTTCCTATCCTACAAATTTTAACAGTGCATCAGGTCTGCTTAAAAAGGAAGATTTTCCCTGGTCAGGAAATTCTTGCCAACCATGACTACAACACAGCGAGTCACAGATGTTCTAATCGGAGCAATTTAAGTCTAAGACTCTATTTAGATGGATGGTAAAATTGGTTATAATGAAATTGAAAACAATAATAAAAATTACTTTAATTGTGATTAAAAAAAAATTTTAATAAAAAATTTAAGTTAATTTGATTTCACTAGAGTTTGACATTTAAATTCAACCGAAATTGAGGTAAAATCCAAATGGAAACTTCATACCAAGCGCCCTAGTGGAGGTAAGTAGGACGAGTCTATCTGACCATTTAACAAGATACAGAGATAAGGCATGGTGGCAAAATTTGATCACGTCAAGCACTTCAAAAGGAGCAGCTAGGTTGGTAGTTATGACTGGTGAACCAGTCTAGCTACTTAACAAGATGTCGAGTTAAGATATGATGACAAAATCTAATCATGCCAAGCACTTTAAAGGAGAGCAGGCAAGTTGATAGCCGTGATGAGAGTGTCATGAGACTAAGTGAAGAAGAATATCACGACAATCACTCAAAGAGAGTAAGTAAAATGCATTAATCTTACACCGGATAAGAAATAAAATGTCACTGCACACCCCAATAAATCGATTTTGCAGGAAGAGAATAATGAGCACGCGACAAGAGCATGAATAAGTAAAGAAATAACATTTATTTGTTTCGGAAACGGTTTCTTGACCCTTCAAATTCAACAACCAAAGTAATTGGTATTGACCAATAGCTCTGGTGATGCAATAAATTGATTGCATAATAATTTACTGGTCCAATTCTAAATCCATTTTAGAAGGCTATCTCACACATTAGTTAACATCACTATCTCGATTTTTTTTATGTAAAATTTATTGCTAATGAAATGTTTTATATTCAAATCCTCTCATATTGGAGACAGCAATGCTACAAAATCCAATAGTAAATCAGAGATTGGGACTGATAAAAATGCTGTGACTTTTCACAAACATAACATCTCAACCCCCATAACCATTTCAATACTCCCATCTCAACCTAAGTTGCATGATTAAGGCAGTAAGGGAAACACCAACTTCAGCCGAGAATGCAGTAATAAGCATAAAGTCAGTAAAAAAAATCCACCATTGACATGGTGGCATGTCGAGGATGGTGAGACTGTAACTATCTTTGCATTTCAGATAGTCAGCTACAAGTTTACCAATAAGTTATACTTTTAATTTCAAAGCAGGTCTGCTTAAATTGCTGCATCCAAAATCTTTAAACCAGTAAGAAAATTAGTTCAAATATGCTAAACAAACACCATCCAGCAGTTCCTACAACTGCAGGCAGAATTTATTCTCACATTACCCCTTAATCGGCAATTGTAGTTTGTACAAAGCCCCATCTTAAACAACAACATAAAGCTTGTTTGACTTAAAGAAAAGGTTTAAATCTAGAGTTTTATTTCATACACCTTGATTCCGCGTCCGATGCATAACATAAACCAGGCCAGACGCCAGCGAAATAAGTCATCAGAACATGCGTAGCACTTAGTCATGGTGCTTCACCACAGTAACAGGGCAGGAACCATTATTCACCACATAGTTGCTTACACTGCCCATTATAGCCCTGAAAAAAAGAAACAGAAAAAGAAAATTAAAGAACATCGAACACGAATTAAATCCTGAAACATGATAATGATCAACTTTGTAGGGGACTCAATCATTAATCTATTTTGGGCTTTCATTCATAATGCAGCACTGGTACTGCATTTGTAGTTCATCCTTGAATGTAACGTTGAAGACAACTTTGATCCAATTTTCTTAAGCAATGTTTAGAACTAGCAATATGAAATTTATAATTAGTAAGAAAAAAAAAAAAAAACAGTTTAATCTGGTGATAACTATAGGACTAAAAAGGTGGATTTACTTTAACCCAATTGAAAGCACTAGACATCCCATTACATAATTCCCATGTGAGAATATCCCCAAATAATAAAAGCCATTAGGAATGATTCAACACTTTGAAACAAGAAATTCCTTGATGAAATTTCACCTCTTAAGCTTGCCAAGCCCTCTATTTCCTACAAAAAGCACTAGACATCCCAATAAATGATTCCCATGTGAGAATATCCCCAAATAATCAAAGCCATTACAAATGATTCAACACTTTGAAACAAGAAATTCATTGATGAAATTTCACCTCTTAAGCTTGCCAAGCCCTCTGTTTCCTACAATTATGCAGCTCAGAGGGATACTATCAATGGCCTCACATAACTTTTCACGTGGATCACCCCAGAAAATTTTCATGAGCACCTCAACCTGAGAAGATACATAATATCAATTATTAAGAATTACAATAACTGAAATTAAATTAAGTTCAATTTCATGGATTTGGAGAAGAAATTACTTCTTTTTGCCTAGCAGCAGTGCTGACAATGTCCAAAGTTTCGGGGTCAGGCTTTACCCCATACTTCTTCATGACAACAGGATCAGAGAACTCGCTTAAAGGGATAAAAGCTAGAAACAGTAAATCAACAAAAACACATTTAAGGCAAAAAAATTTTCAAGGCAAAAATAATCCAATCTGATTTTTCTCAAGAAACAAACAGAAAGCAAACTTAATAAAAAGGAGAAATAAAGAAGAGCATACGTGAACCAGTGACTTCCCAAAGCTGCATCTCGCCCTCCTCATAATGTCCTTCAGGTTTTATGGTAATAAGGATAAGATGATCCCCTTTCCGGATAACGTTATCCACAGCCCATTTCAACGCATTCTTGCTGCTTGCAGAGAAATCCACAGCCACCCCCATTCTCCTATCAGCCTCCATCTCTCTCTCTCTCTCTCTCTCTCTCTCTCTCTCACCGTAGATATACGTATGCTTATACGTAATATGTTACGCTTGTTAAACCCCTTTTTTTTTTTTAGTTTCTGATTGATCTGTGTTTCTCTTCTGTGGAAATCTGGTTTGTGTTTATGAGAAAGTGTCGGCCGTGAAAAAAGACCGCAACTTTAGAGAGAGTGAAAGACCAGAAAAGTTGCAAGTGGGATCTTATTGTTTGTGGTCAGGTGTAAGATTTTGACCTTTTTGGGCAGACAGTAAACGATTTTGATGAAGATCAAGCGGTGACTGTGGAGGTTAGCGTTGGTTCAGATGCGTTGGATTGTTTCTGTTGTCAGGCCGTGGCCCCACGTGGACATTTTATGTTTGATGAATCTTTGTCAACGGCAAAGTGGGGTGAAATGATTGTATGGTGTGTTTATATTACTATTATATGTATTAACTATAACAAAATGGCACAGTATCTTATCGCTTCTCCTTTGGCAAGTTCTATTATGCCACCCTCTTGGGTCACTGACTCTTATAAAATTGATGCTTTGGGCATGGCAACTTGGCAAGTGGTCCTTATAAAAGGACAAGCAATGACGGGGAATATGAGGATAATAAAATAATCAAGAAAAACTACTACAATATTAACATTTGATTTTTTTTAATAGGCAACTGTAACTTGATAATAAAAAAATTATAAGTATTAAATATTATATTTTAAAAATAATTATATAAACCAATAAAAATAACAGAAATTATTTTCAAACCAAACAAATTCATAAATCTCTGCACCAAAACAATTGCGTAAATCTGTGTTAAGGCCCTCTAGAAGATATTTTCGCCAAAAAAAAAATCGTAAAGCTGCTTTGAATTTCCTTAATTTTGGTTTTTGGCAGTGAGGTTTGCAGCTGATTCTCCAGAATGGAATAATATAGTTAGAAATGAAAGCTAAGGTGATGCACAAAATCTGGTATGCAGCATAAAATATTATCAACAAAGACTCTAATGGCAAATATCAAACTTTAGATAATTCTTAAGGTTGTTTATGATTCTGATATCAAATGGTATTGAAAATTGGAGCAGTGTTTTATTGTTTCAACAAAAAAAGCAATGGAACACACTCATGAATAATTTTTTTCCTAAAATCTGTGTCGAAAAAAGGAGATTATGGAGAACAAAGCTCCAACCAAGATGAGGATGATCAACAAAACTGCAATGACAATCACAATTCGAGGCAGAGGTTGTTGGAGATATCCAGGCTTCATTGGCTTCCAATTTTGCAGCTGCCAACTGGTTCTTTTATCCTCTTTCACTTGTTCACAAAGCCCATCATAGTAGAATTCGTTCACCTTCTCCATCACATTCATCTCCTCGCATAGCCTCTGAAACAAGGTTGTAACCTGTTTTTTCTCAATGAAATCATAGTTTGTCAGGATCTGCTTTCGTTTGAGTAGTTTCATATCTTTTTCGTCCTGGAGTAGGCTTTTCATCAGAAGTACATAGGATGAGATGTGCAGCGTGTTCTGAGAACCGCACTGCTCAAAGGCAATGAGATTCCTGAAGAGCCTTTCTGTATATTGATGTACTTGTATAGGCGGAATTTGGAGAACACCTTTGACAAATTTTATGTCTAGTAAGTCCTCCGTTGAAGCCTTCTTCAGCTTAATTCCAGCAGCTTTGAGCTTAGTTGCCTTATAAGGCAAAGCTCTAATTCCTTCTTCTTTCTTTACTTTGACTCTTGGAATTGTTGGGAGGAAACAGTGCCGGATCAAGTCAAGCAAATGGTTTCCTTCTTGCCCGAATTTCACCAGATGAAGTCTGTGATCTCCTGGAATCATATCTTTAAAGAACCGGAAGGCAAGTTCAGTGAGGGACAGTTTACAATGTTCAGGAATAGGTACAATTTCAAACAATCTTTGAAGAATGAAATAGGGAATCTGGTTTTCTAACAATAGCATGTCACACCTCAACTCGTACAGCAATCCAGACGTGTTAAATACATAATCACCACGGCGTTTTAGACCCTTTATAGCATACTTGAGGAAGAGCTCGATGAGGAAACCGGCATCGACTAGCATGAGTTCCACAAATTCATTACTTGGTATTTTTATCTGTTCATGATCTTCATAGCACAATCTTGCTTTATGCTCTAGCTCTCTTAAAGTTTTCACACATTTGTCCAGTGTAGCTTCCAGATGAGGTTTTCGATTCAGGAGTGAATATAAATATCGCCACTTATGCACTTCCATTGATTTTAAATTGTTCTTCTCCTGATGGAAGGGACCAATGGAAATATTCTGAGGGATATATTGGTTTTCATTTTTCTTCAGGAGGCTCTCATTGACTCTGCAGATACATCTTGCAGTAGCAATGGTTTCCATCCTTTCTTTGAGGGGAATTACAAGAGAGTCATAAGCATGTATTGGAATTTCTATTGCAACATGATCTAGGATATCTGTCTGCTCCGTTGGTGTAGCCATCTACTTGGTAACAGCAAGCTGAAAACAAGCTTTTTTGTAACAGGCAAATCAAGGTTATATATTACAACCTGCATTATTGGCATCCATCAGTTTAAATCATCATTAAACTTAATTGTATTTTGATAGTTTATAATCAAGGGCCTGAATTTAGGGTAAGTTTTTTCAAGAATTTCTTTCTTTCAGTTCATAAATACTGTTTCAAAAAATCATTAAAATGATTATGATCATCACATTGTGATTGTGTGCAATTCTTCAAGTTATATCAGAGGATTTATGGACATGAGGAATAGATTCATTTAGAATGTCAAAAAGTTTAGTTCAGACTAAGGACTCGAAGAATAGTACTCAGATATCAATATATACAAACATGAGTTGTTTTCAGCATTTAAGCAAAATAAATCTTAAAGATATCATCACATCGGTATATGATCAGGTTACCTACCTGATTGTGAAGCTGGAGCCACTAAATTTACCAAAAGCATGCTGAATACCCAACAAAAACAGCTCGCTTGCCCAGAGGAATTAGCTTAACCATCAGCAAACAGCTACCTGGACCTGCCATCTTTAATAACTTAAACAAGCTACATATATTCAAACAAGGTGAGCGAATCCAAGATGACTTGGGAAGATTGGTAAGAGAAAAGGTAGAAAAATTAGACATACAGCTATCATAAAAGAAACTGAGAATCTATTCATGGCAAAGCTTAAGTTTAGCAATCTGAGAAAAGCATATATAGCTAGCCTTAGACAGCTTTGTTCAAGTAAAAAGCTAAACTGATTGCTTAAAGATAAATTCAAGAATTTTTAACACTGTAAATCGCAGTGATACTCTGGATATTGCGTATATTTATATGTATGTTCCAGCTTTTACAAAAGTTGAAGCCAAGAAACACACATCATGAGACAAATGGATTAATTAATTTCCTTTGGAGTTGCCCGGATGCCAAAAAGAAAGTAAAAGAAAAGAAATATGTACGTTGAAAATTGCTAGTATATATTAAATTAAATATAATAGTAACTTCCTTTGTTTTTAACGGATAAAACTGTTTGATTGTCACGGAGGGGGATGTTAGGCGGTCACCGGAGAAGAAGAGAGCAGTCTCTTAATTACCAATATGCCCTTGTGCGTGATAGTTTTTATATTTTATATTAGCCGACTTTTTAATTTTTACATTTATAAGTAATTTATATGATCATGGTTTCTTATTTTCTTTTATCACATTAAATTCATGTTTTTAGCTACTCAAAATTTATTTTTAATAATTTTTTTATTAATTTATGAAAGTAATTAAAATCAATTTGTGAAATTTGGAAATAATGAAAGGAAAAAGAAGTAATTTTTAGGCCAAATCTGTGTTAAAGGTTATTGTGGTTAATTTGTAGATAAATGGTCTAAAGGGTGGGCATTTTCTCAGGTGAAAGGGTATTTAGGTAATTGGGTATGTCAGACACGACTGGTATGAGATTGGCCACATTGTTTGATCTTTTTCAAAGGCTTAGTGTCACGGTCCGCGCGTTCCTCATTCTGAAACCACACATCTTTGCGGCACCAATACTATTCGTATTTAAGGTCAACCTTCACCGAGTTCATTTTTCTTTGGATAAATTAAATTTAATCTTTCAAGTCGCATACCCATAAGTTTTTTTTGGCTTTGATCCGGTAAGGTCACTCATTTCGAACTTTATAGAGAGGAATCCAACTCCCTTTACTCATCAGCCTACGATTCTCAAAGTGACCCTGAGCACCCATCTCTACTCGCAGGGCTTAAGATCTTAAGCACCGACCTTCAAATACCCGTGAGGCACACAACCCCGATTCTTATGATATTATTACTTCTTAACATGGTGACAACCCAACGTCATGCCCCACCCATATCGTAAGCAAACTCCAGTATCAAGTTTACGCAGGCACCACACTTAAGCTGGTCAGCAGCCAGCTCGGAGCCTCTAGGCTCATCTCATCTCACGGGACTCAGTTCTTAGAGCTTAGGCCCTTAGCATCAGTGTAGGCCGCCCGCGCGCATGATTGACACCCAACATCATGCTAGTCCCGTAAGAGGGACTTAGGTGGACTGTCCCAACTATAGCACACCTCTACCGATTGGCCATAAGGGTTTAGCAGCATGCCTGTTTGCTAGCTCGCACATCCCTTAGGTTCGATGGCATCCCTTATACGTAAACACCATCTCATGATTCTTCCGGCTCAATGAGGAAAAATCGAAAGGCATAACGATCTCTACCATGTAACCTCATGGCTCAACGCAAAGGCACGATACAAGGCCCGCCGACCCTAACCGTTCTCGGGTTTACCCTGACCCGAGGAAACATCGTGCCACCCCTACGATGCCCGTTCACCTAGACACCACTAGTGCCTAGGAGTAGCTCATTTCAAACTAGTTAGGCCCCTGTCTGCCCGTTAGCCAAGGGGGTGGTAGAGAATTGACACCAATCATGCCCCTATAAAGAGCATAAGAGATTTTTCCAGTCTCCTACCAGTGATTGTAATATTATCCGAAATGGGGACACTTTTCTCTCCAACCATCTCAGGGCCTTTCTCTGGCTAACTTAAGGCCCCATAACCTTCCTCTTGATCACCATTATCCCTTGATTCTGCTCGTTGCTCCATCAACCCACTCGAAGTTGCCCGCACATGACTTAGACCGACAGCACCTGATTGGCTAGCTGGTCCCAAGGCACCAACGCACTGCCTCACACTTACCTACATATCTTGGGGTTTAGGACTCAGACTATCCACGCACAATATCCCCAACATATTTTCATGCTCAAAACGCCCGTACACTGCTTCCACTAATGGCACTTGCCGGATTACTTAGCTTGAGGGTGATTGACCACTGTCCCGAACTTACCCGCATATCTTGCGATCCAGGGCTCTCATTGCCCACACAACATGTTAGTAACATGTTTCAAAGCTTTAAATGCATGCCAACATATCTTAGAACCACTTTCACGCCAGCTTGGTCTCGACCACTACTCGGTTTAGGGTCAGTCATGGCAGAACCAAGGCTTGGCTATGACACTCTCCCTCACTTACTATGTCGATGCCCTTATCGATGCCAAGACCACACCCAACTATCTTGTTGCACGCAGCTGACATTTACTCATATGTTTCTCACTTGTGCCCTCAAGGATTGAGTCGAGGTCTCGTCACATGGGGCATCGCCCACAGTACTCATCCATTGTTGATATAGATTGGTCACGTTATCGTACCCGTGCCTCTTTGCTTTATTCCTAGTCGAACCGTCTAACCTTATCTTGGTTGTTCCATATGGGCCATACCATTGCTTCATCCTTGATCATATCATGTTGTGACCTCGAGGTACCCTCATTGATCAATGACCCTCAGTAGAATGAATGACCACCTGCTTTGCCACTTATTGATGCATCTCATCGGACGTGACCCCTCACACCGACTGCACACTTACAGCATTGACTCTTCGATGCGCCCCTCTGGACGTGGTGCTTAGGTCAACCGCACTCATACGGTACCCTACATGATAGACCTTAGCACAGTGGCATTTAGGCACTTTGGTTATCTCCCAACTAGGGTCCTCTCGGCCCCTCTAAGGTCACCTCTCTAGGTGTGGCCCTTTGGCCAACCGCCCTCGAGACGGCACCTTAATGCGCGCTAACTCGGTCTCTGTTCCTAGCTCGAACACTATGCACCATCTATTCAGGCTCTTTTGTTTTGACTCAGTCCCACAGGGAATCATGTCTCTCTTACTTTTACTCGAAACTTGGTTAGCACTATACGTAACCATGTTTCCTCGATGGTTTTACAACTCGTTTGCCTTAACTCTGGCTCAGTTCCTAGGGCATCTCAAAGTCCACTCCATACCCAGAGATCCACTGATCTAACCAATCACCTCATCCATTGACTTGCTTGACTCGGGGATTCAGCCATCCGCTCAATTCTCAAGGTCCACTGACCTACACGTCTGAAGGCCTTGTCAACTGGCCACTTTCCATTTGCTTGTTCCATTAGATTACACTCTATTGTGGTCCATGACCATCACAACTCATGGCTTTCTCCTCAGCCAATTCACACTCCTCTGTGTAATGGCTTAATGCTTGGACCCGAATACTTCGGCTTACACCCCCGCTGGGGTACCTGCACCGTATAATAAGTGCACACATTAGTAATTAATCTTGATACGCATGTCTCATGTCCCTCAGGATAAAACTCATTCAGCCCACATGGCCTTACACAACACCATTTCATGGTGTAAGCCCATTTTCACATCTTGGTCTCATTACGGTTTCTTCCACCGTAAAGGCATCACATGTCCCAAAATATGCCAACACCTTTTTCTAGGTGAAGCTAGACTCCGGTGCCCTTTTGCTTGGCATCCAAGAGCCTACTCGAGAGCCTTTTTACATAGGCCCAATTTTTCCTACAGCACGCATCGTTGGCTCCTTTTCGAGCCCCTATAGCCATAGAATAGCATTTACGTCTTGATAGCTCCTTTTGAGCTTGACACCACCTCGATTTCACGTCACTAGGCCCACACATGGGTCATGTAAATCTTGCCACTAAGCCAAATCTAGGCTCTGATACCAAATCTGTCACAGTCTGTGTGTTTCTTATTCTGAAACCAAGCGTCCGTATGGTACCAAAACTACTCGTAGTCAAGGTCAACCTTTACCGAGTCTATTTTTTCTTGGACAGATCAATTTCGATCCTTCAAGCCGCATACCCATGAGCCTTGTTTGGCTTTGATCCCGTAGGGTCGTTCATTCTGAACTATATAGCGAGGAACCCAACTCCCTTCGCTCATCAACCCACGATTCTCAAAGTGGCTCGAACACCCATCTCTGCTCGTAGAGCTTAAGGTTTCGAGCACCGACCCTCGAATACCCGTGAGGCACGCAGCCTTGATTCTCATGATATAATTATTTCTTGACATGGTGAGAACCCAGCACCATGCCCGTTCGTATCGTATGCAAACTCTCTATCAAGTTTACGCAAGCACCACTCTTAAGTTGGTCAGCAGTCAGCTCGGAGCCTCTAGGCTCATCTTATCTCACGAGACTCAGTTCTTAGAGCTTAGGCCCCTAGCATCAGTGTAGACCGTCTGCGCGTATGATTGACACCCAACATCATGCTAGTCCCACAAGGAAAACTTGGGTGGACTACCCTAGCTGCAGCACATCTCTAACGATTGGCCACAAGGGTCTAGCAGCGTGCCTACCTGCTAGCCTGCACGTCCCTCAGGCTCGATGGCATCCTTTTTATGCAAACACCATCTCATGATCCTTCCAGCTCAATGAGGGAAATCGATGGGCATAACGATCTCTACCGTGTAATCCCATGGCTCAACGTAAAGGTGCCATACGAGGCCCGTTGGCCCCAACCATCCCTGGGTTTACCCTGACCCAAGGAAACATCATGTCACGCTCGTGACCCTACGATGCTCGATCACCTAAACACTACTAGTGCCTAAGAGTAGCTTACTTCAGACTAGCCAAGCCCCTACCTGCCTGCTAGTCAAGGGGATGGTGGAGAGCTGACACAGTCATCCCCTATAAAGAGCGTAAAAGATTTTTCCAATCTTCTACCAGTGACCGTAAGATTATCCGAAATAGTTACACTTTTCTCTCCAACCATCTTAGGGCCTTTCTCCGGCTAACTCAGGGCCCCATAACCTTCATCTTGGTCACCATTATCCCTTGATTCTACTCGTTGCTCTACCAACCCACTCGAAGGTGCTCGCACATAGTTTCGATCGACAGCACCTGACTGGCTAGCTGGTCCCAGGGCACCGACCCACTGCCTCACACTTACCTGTATATCTTAAGGTTTAGGACTCGGACTATCCACGCACAATATCCCTAACATATTTCCATGCTCAGAATGCCCGCACACTGCTTCCACTAATGGCACCCGCTGGACTACTTGGCTTGAGGGTGCTTGATTACTGTCTCGAACTTACCCGCATATCTTGCGATCCAAGGCTCCACTGCCCGCACAACATGTTAGTAACATGTTCCAAAGCTCCAAATGCACGCCCACATCTCTTAGAACCACTTTCTCGTCAGCTTGGTCTCGATCGTTGCTGGATTCATCGTCAATCATAACAGGACCAAGGCTTGACCATGACACTCAGCTTGTTTTTGTTCAATCAAGACCAGGCATATTTGACATGTTACATGCAAGCGTTTCATTGGAAAAAAATAATGTAAATAATTTTTTTAGATAAATAAAAAAAAAGAATATGAATATCATCAAAAGAATAAAATAAAATAAAATAAATTATCTTTTTTCAATCCCATATCATATGTATGAGTTTAAATTTGTAATTTTTTTTTTAACTTTTTATGTAAAAAATATATCTTCTAATTTAAGTTGCAATCCCCTCCCTTTAAACCTTGTTAAAACGCACCAAAAAAAAAAAAAAAAAACCTATCCTTTCAAATTTTCATGTTTTGATTTTGATTATTATTATTTTATTATACTCTTACAAATTTGATCATTTGTATATTGCCCAAAGGCCCAAAACTGGTTGTTAATTTTCTGTTAGAAATGATATTTGTGTGATGAAATGGACCTGAATTAGTGTGTTACAGTTTGGGGTTTGCCTTGGGCCATACCTTAGAAAAAGGATGAGCCCAGGATTAGGCCACCCAAAAACTAGAAAAAGTATCATGTAGCCTTACTGCTGAATTCTGTAATAAGAGTTATCCATTTAACCGTTGCTCTTTGCCTTTGCCTGCTCCCCTGCTATGGCTTTGAGCTTCTCCTGCAGTTCTGCAATGCCCCCTCAACATCAGGGTCTGTTCTTTTCTTCTCTTCTTTTTTCTCCCTTTCTTTTTATAGGTGGAAAAGAAACTCCTTTGCATTTTTCTTGCCGCTTCCTCACTTCCTATATTATTCTCTCTTGCTGTAGTGAATGTGACATTTGGAAGCAAAAACTCTCTTCAGAACGTGAAAAACCTCATCAAATCAATTGGGATTCCTTCAAAATCATGTTCTCCACACATATCCCTCCAACAGGGAAACTGGGTCAAGCTCATATGTGGTGCTAGCTTTGAGGTATCTTACATTCTTAACCTTCCTTAAAGCTTAAACCCCTCCTATGGATATCCATTTCACTGCTTGTTAAAACTTACTTTCATTCTGTATTTTTCTAGGATGTAGTTGATATCAGGAATCTCTCCCTTGTTTACACTCTAGCTGGAGGTAAAGAAGCCAAGTTATTTATATCTGTTTCAGGGGCTGAGTAGCAAATACTTTTACTTGAGCAGCATATGTGTATGTTGTGAATGCTCTAACTTAAGATTTACTAAAACAAAAATTTTGAATAGTTCAATGTTGATGAATGGTTTTCAGTTGATTGCATTGACTGTGCTGCGGATCCATCTGTAATCAGTTCTGTAAATGAAGGCATTGAAACAGCTAGGGAGATTGTACCCATCAGAAGGCCTTGGGTGATGATAAGTGTTAATGATGATGAGGATCTTCATTTCCGTAAAGCCGGTATAGATCTCCATGCCTTTGCCTGAATATTTGATGATCATTCCTTTGAATTATGAAACTTATGCTACTAAAAGATAAATTTGGACTGAATACATGGCTTTGTAAAATCATCTAATTTTAAGAATTGAGGCCTTGAATGAAAAATATTGCTACTGGTTGTTGAGAATTAGTGCAATATTATTGGGATTGATTTAAGTGCTTAGATACATGCTACAAATGCACTAAATGAAATTTTAGGCACTGCAGCATCAAATATTGGATCATGTTTGTCAAGTACATGCCGATTTGATCAAAGTACATTCTGGTTAATGCATACGGGTTTGAATAGGTTTGATTAATGATTTATTGGCACTTCATTTGAGCTGATCTTAGTGCTCTATTGTTAGAATTTGACCCAGAGAATTGTCCTTCCAACTGCTCAAGGCCTTGTGAGATTGTTTGTCCTGCTAATGCTATATCCTTTGAGAGAGAAAAATCAACAGTGGAAGTTCTCCTTGGTACCCATCAAACGGGTAAACTAAAGGTTTCTTTCTTTCTTTCTTTCTCTTACTTTTTTTACATGATTCATTTTGTGGTTTCCATAGATAAGCCCATATTGAGCATCATGAAACCGAATTCAACCGTTGTGATTCGTTTTGAGATGCAGGGTGGAGTAATAACAGAGCGCTGCTATGGCTGTGGTCGCTGTTTTCCAATTTGCCCGTATGATAAAATAAGTGAGCATTGCTTCTTTCTCGTTTGCAATCTCTTACCTCATTTTCCTTTCTGTTTATGAAATTATTTGTAAATTCTTATACAATCTACTAGTGCTCTAGGTTCCTGCCACGTGTTTTATTCAGATTTCTATCAATTTCGTATGCCTAATCTTTACTTCTTCAAACTGATTTAGGAGAGGTTACATATGTAAGAGATGCTATGGCTACAGCTGAACTCCTTAAAAGGACTGATGTTGATGCTGTAGAGATACATACAAGTGGAAGGTATAACATAATTTCATGACAACTAACAAACATAGTTTATATTTAGTTTTCTTATTGAATTTGGTCCAAATATTTTGCAGGCAGACTCAGCACTTTAGAGAACTTTGGGATGATTTGGAGGATTCGGTTAGATATCTGAGATTAGTAGCAGTAAGTGGAGAACCATTTCCTACTGTGATTGATGATGTGTTATCTATTAAATCATCCTGATTTCATTACTGCCTCTAGGTCAGCTTACCTGATACTGGGGATGCAACTATTTCTTCTATGAATGAAATGTATGCTATCATGGAACCTCATCTATCTTGCTTCAATTTATGGCAGGTGTGCCCTGATTCTAAAACCTGATAGAATTTATTCGAATAATTTGAGTGATATTATCGCATATGATCTAACATATGAATTTACAGTTGGATGGCCGTCCAATGAGTGGAGATATTGGGCGAGGTGCCACAAGAGAATCAATTGCTTTCGCCGTTCGATTGGCTGCTTCAAGGGAAAGACCTGCTGGTAAGTATTAAGGTTCAACTTACTCATTGTCACTGAGCTGTAGGAATGTAGGATTTTTTATCCTGCACTGCTGAGTGCTGACTCTCACCCATTATATAGGCTTTCTTCAGTTAGCAGGTGGAACTAATGTTCATACAGTTGAAGGTCTAAAGAAAAGGGGACTTTTTCAAACACACATCACTTGTAAATTTATCACCTTTCTTTTCCTTTGTTCTTTTTCTCTCTTGCATTTCACTGCTAGACTTACTATCACTAGCAATTTATCCATATTTGCATAATTTTGAACCTATCTTCAAGGCAACTAATGGGATAAAAGTACCCAGCTGGTGCAGTATCTAATCATCTACATTCTTTAATTGGTGGAATAGCATATGGTGGTTATGCTCGGAAGGTAGGCCGGCCTTACAACCTTATCTGCGTCCGAAATCAGGTTTTTTTGCTTGTTCACTTGTTAAAATTCTTTGATATCATCAGATTGTTGGAAGAGTCCTGAGCTCCATGCATTCTCAGCATGGTCTTACCGGCATTGAGCATCACGCTGAGCATCTTTTGGAGGCACTTAAGGAATCCCTTGACTTGGTTGGAACTGTTAAGTCTTATAATAATCCCTTTGGCATACAACAGTAGCGCCTGTTTTCTATCATTCAGGTATATATCCAATATTTTCCATTGACGATCAATAATGCTTGATATCTTCAATTCTCCTTGCAAAATCATCTTCTTCCTTGAATCATCCTGAATAGAGTAACACAAAATTATTTGGTTCTTACCACCATATTTACCACAAAATTTCTTCTATTTTTATGTTAAATTTTAAGATACCTTGCTTACTTTGCGTTCATTGTTGTTCAACATATTGAGCAGCACATATCATATGAGCCCCTTGGCTCCCATAATATCATATATTACGCTAAGCTGACATAAGTAGAAAAATATGATCACATTCGCAAATGTTCCAATACTTTACGCTTTCTAAACCCTAAATAACCTTATGTTGCATCAAAGACGAAAAGTATAACTGCCTATGATTATAACAGTCTCGATAGAAATTTTCCCTTGTTCCTTGTGTAGAAATCATATTACCTTCTCAAATGCTGCTCAAAATTCAACCTTCCTCAAACCTTATTGAAGAAAATTGTTTGAGAAAATATTTTTTATTTTTTAGAAAATATTTTATTTTTTGTTTTTAGAAAATATTTTTTACTTTTTTTAGAAAATGTATATGTAAACAAAAATAAAAAATATTTTTAAAAATACAAAATAAAGAAGTAAATAAAATATTCAATGCATTACTATTAATGACATATAATTATAAGTATAATATATATTTATTAATTAATGATATTAAAAATAGTTAAATATGATAACTTACAAAATACAAGAAAAAAAATGTATATCTTTTGTTTTCATTATTGAAAACATCTCTTTTTTTTTCATTTTTTCAATCCATATTCAGTTAAAAAAATTTTTTTTCATTTTCAATTATCAAATACGTTTTTTTTTTTTTTTTTTGTTTTTTAAAATAATAAAAAATTTTTTTCTAAAACTAAATACTACCTAAAATTCTCAAAAACTGTATATCAAGGTTGGGAAAGACAGTTAGCTGGTGCAGGCCTTAATTGGGCCAAGAGTCTAAACCATGCTTCTCTGGGTTGGTTTATGTTTAACCAACAAGATGGCTTAGCCCGATTTTGCTCAAATGCATACTCCATATGGCCGACAAGAAGAAGGAAACCGCGTGACTGCATCAAACAAATCGGTGATTTCGGGGCCGACAGTTGACTTACCTCTTACTTGCAAATTTTTCCTGCTTCCCCAGTTTCTCAGTGTTCTCTTCGCGTTCCCTTTCTCTCTAATAAATATCATTCTTTGTTACTTTTTTCTCAATAATGGGAGGCAACGACAATATTTTCTTTCATGTTTCGAACGTCGACATGGTAGTTAAGCAAGACAAATCATTGCCCTCTCCTACGTTCGAAATTGAGGTTAAGGCTACGTTTGTCATCGTCGAGAGAGATTGCGGCGTAGGAGGTGAAGTGTTTATGGAGGTGGGGAGGATTACTTCTGAGGTGGTTCACGAGTTTCCTTTAGAAGACTTGATTAGCGATTCAAACGGTGCCGTTTTGGACATGCTTGACTCCATGCGTGTCCCGGTTCAACCGTCCATGGTGGAAGAAATAGCGGCCATTGCGGTTCGCTGGGCGGCTGCTGCTAGAGAAAGTGACAGGAAGGTTTTGAGAATGCGGGTGGAGATTGAGGCAGTTGTTGATCACGTGCCTGACTTTGGGAATGATGACACCGATGATGATAATGAAGATGAAGCAGCGATGACCATGGAAGAGGTGGCGGAGAATGTGGGGAAGGTGGTGGTTGAAGGGTCGGAGAAGGATTGTCCGGTCTGTTTGGAAGAGTTGGTGGTGGGTTCAGAAGCGGCTTGCATGCCTTGCTCGCATGTATTTCATGATCTTTGCATTGTGACTTGGCTGAAAAAGACAAAACGCTGCCCTTGTTGTCGTTTTATGTTGTCTAAGGAAAATTAAAGTTTAGGGTTAGAACTAGGAGGAGAAGCAAGAAGTTTTTTTTTTTTTTAAGGAAGCTTCTGCTGTATGGTTTTTTCTTTCCTTAAATTAATTCCTAATTGTACGAATTTATTTCCTAAACGTTATTTTTTAAAATAAGTATTATATGAATAAAATTATCTTAATTGTGAATTTATCTATTTATTAAATTTGATAATTTTAAACATAATAAAATAATAAAATATGATAAAAACACCAAAGTGATGATTTAAATTTTAAAAAAATTATATATTAATTTCATAAAAATAAAAATTTTATATTATATATTTAACATTTAAATATAAATTTGATACGATCATTTTCACATTTTTTAAATATTTTTATACATAAAAAATAAAAATTCACGCGTTACTATATTTAGTATTTATATTTTTCACAAATAAGCATTTAAAATAAAAAATCAAATCCAAATAAGCATGAGACATCCCTGAGTGCTCCCAAATTATTGCGAGTTAGGCCCAATCTCTCAAGGGAAGTTAGTGAACTATACAAGCTAAGATAATACGATACCAGCCGGTTGTTGCATCAAAATGCCCTTCAAATACAACAGAAACTACTAAAAAAAAACATTAACTTTATCAAAACGGCAAGGGTCCTCCAAATTTTCCTTATGATCCTTAAAATGTTAAATGGTCGCAATCCTTTCTGTAGCCGAATGAAAGTATGCCAATATCTTCACAGCACACCACGTGAATTTAAAAATACATTTTTCTTTCTCTCTAAAAAATTATTCCACATTTTCTCTATGTTTCTATTGTCACATTGTCTTCAATAATACTAATTTATTGGCAAAAAAAAAAAAAAACTAATTTGTTTTTGTCCATAAAAAAAAAAACCCAAAACAAAGTGCGTGTGTTTATATTATCTTTTATTACCAAATTGTTTTAAAAAAATTGAAATATTAAGCATTTACAATAGAGGTAAAAGAATTTATAAAAATTAGTTCAATTGATAAAAAAAAAAACATATTTTTTTATAAAGTTCAATATTTGTAAGAAACATATTGAGAATATGCTTGTAAAATAATTTAAATAAGAGATTAGATTTAATCAAAATTTAAGATACCTCTAAATATAATATAAAAAAAAAATAGAATTAAAAGAAATATTGCATCAACATTTAGAAAAAGAAAGCTTGAATTTTATGATATTTTCCTTTTAAATCCCCTCGAGTGCATAGCAAATGCCAAATGTTTTTTTTTTTTCTTTTTTCTTTTTGGCTTTGCTCGGCAAATGTCCGATCATGCAACTGAGAATACTAAAAAACAAGATACACTGCAGAAATTCAAGTAAAACCAGTGATAAATATTTTTCAAGTAAAACCAGAACAAATATATTTCATTATTTCTACCTAGTTTTTGGAAGAGGGAAAGCTACTAACTTTTCAACTATGTTAGCTCTGTATGATAATAAAGAAAGAAAAGGTTAAAAAATGAAAAAAATTCATAATTTAACGATTAAATTATAAAATAATATATATTATGCAATTCAACTGTTAGATTAAAATATTTTTCCTTCTTTGCTCATTTCGTTTTTTTCCTTAATATTGAGAACACCTTGACTATAATTTGACTTCAATGTTTTCTTAAATTTTATTAGATAAATATATATTTTTTATTTTTATTCTTGTTTTGTAAATAATAATAATAATAATAATAATAATAATAATAATAATAATAGACTTAAAAAAAAACGTGAGCGCCTTTGCAAATTAACTTTAAGAATGTGAATACTATTAGCCGGCACCTATGAAAACACTATCAGCTATCTGTATGCTTGCTTGAATTATAATATTTCTTTTTTTTTTTTTTGAATCATTATGATTTTATTATTTGAATTTGAATTAAGTCAATTTTAAAAAAATTTAAATATAAAATAATTCAAATCGACATAGTCTGATTTTAAAATAATTAAATTTAATTATCTAAATCTATATCAACCTGTCTGTTTTGCCTCCTAATGACAATAAAAATAATTTCGCGCTATTTATGTGACAAGGGCTGGTTTCCCTTCAGATAAAAGGCACTATTTTTCCAAAATTTTAGCCTCGTGAATGTCGACAAATTATTGCTGATGTTATGCTCTCTAATTGCAATTTGTGGTCTTTCATTTGCAAGTTTCATTTAATTATATCTATATTTATTGCATTCCTACGGGCATATTTATACCCAATCAGGTTCGTTTATTTAAAGTTATACAACATTAATAATAAAATTAAATTTTATATTTCATAATTTTCAGATTGATTATATATAAAATAAAAAAATTATGTTACATCATAATTTTAAAATTTTTACATAAATAAATTTTTTAATCTATTTTTTAAATTATTATATTATTTTTTATTATTTATACCTTACATTCAAAAATTTTGATCTCTTTTAAATTTAAACATTCATTTTTTTTAGTGGATACATGCGATAGACTTATATTTAAATTTATGTTTAAATTTTCATTTAAGATTATATGAAATTAAAATTATTTATGTACTTCACATAATTATATAACTTAAGTCCAATGAATTTTTATATGTATGAAAAAAATTATTTTATATTATAATTTTAAAAACTAATAGACAGCAGCATTTAAATTTTTTTTTATTATAATGATGTTATGCTAATTTTAAAGTCGGGCTAAATGCATATTTTAAGATGTGATATTTATAAAAAATTTCATTTTAATATTTATTTTTTGTTTATTTCAAAGTAGAATGAAACTAATAGAAGCATATTTATTAAGCATCAAGCCACGTTTATAGAATATTGCAAAAATTTGTAAATTCAAATTCAAATAATTTATATAATTATTTTTTAAAAATAACAATCGATTCAAATTATTTAAGGCCATAAATATTAAAACTTCACATTCTATAAAAAAATTTATTATAAGTATTCATCTAAATTTCCAAACCAACCTTGTAGCTTTGCTTCAACTAACGCCAATAAAACCTCCGCGATTCTTGTTAACCAATTATTTTCTTTTTCACTTATTTTTTTTTAAGAATTTAATTCTTTTTCATAAATAGTTCCACAAAAAATTAATTTTACAAATTCATAATTTTTAAGAGGTTCTCCCTATTTTTTTTTTAAATTTAAAGAAATTGAAAATTTAATTATGGAAAAAGAAAAAAATACCAAAATTACTACTAGTACTAACTACCAAACTCCACGTGACCGTCTCTCGCCAGTCTTCGTTTGGTCTGGCGGCCTCTCTCTAGCTACTCCCTCCAATCCATTTTCCCTCTCTTTCTATATAAATCCGCATCTACCGTTCACCATTTCCAGCATTTCTTTTCTCACCGATTTTTCACGAGGCGAGTGAGAGTAATTTTCATTTCCTTTTCCAACTCTCTCTCTTCCGGTAAATATTCCATTTCCTCCAGAACTTTTCCTCTCAGATCTGCTTCTTTTCCTCTTTTCTTCTTCTTTTTTTTTTTTTTCTCAATTCCGATTTCTGTCACTTTTGGAGTGCTTTCTCTTTTTGGATTCCGATGTTTTCGAGGAATTTTTTTAAGATACTTTGATTTGTTTTTTTCTTTTTGGCTGAAGAATTAACTATATAAAGCTGGAGATCTTGCGTTTCTCCTCTTTTAACTGCATTGCGGTGATTTGATTCGCTTGCTCTCGTCTTTTTTGTTGAGATCTGGTTCAGTTTAGATTCGAGTTAGGTGTAGTTTTGGTGTGGCTCCTTTTTTTCTGCTAATTAGTTGCTTAATCAATGGCGTGAATTGATTTAAACGAGTTAACGACGTGTTTGTTTAACAGGTTTCTTTGAGCCGAAGCCATGGCCACTGGACAGTTATTTTCTCGAACCACACAAGCTTTATTCTACAACTACAAAAATCTTCCCATTCAACGCATGCTTGATTTCGACTTCCTTTGCGGTACGGATCTCTTGCTGATTTTATGTTATTTTTTGTTGAGCAAAGTTTGTAGTTATATTTTTCAATAAGAACTTTAGTAGAGTTGTTCTAATTAAGGTATTTTGTGCTTGACTTGTGATCGGTACTGGATTTTCTTTTTCTTTTTCATTTTCATTATTTTTATTTTTATTTTTTTGAATTTGCAGGGAGGGAAACACCATCTGTTGCTGGTATTATTAATCCTGGTGCTGAGGGATTTCAGAAACTCTTCTTCGGTCAAGAGGAAATCGCGATCCCTGTACATTCTACGTAATATGCTCTTCTCTTCGGTCTCTATTCGTAGATCAATCTTTCTATTCTGTGATTATTAATTTCTGTCTTGAAGTATTATATGGTAAATGAACATTATGACTTGTCACCTTATGCATTATTATCCTATGCACCGGCCTGCAAAGTTTAGATCTCCATAAAAGGGCTTATATGATCACAATGTGTAACATTAGACGATGAGCTGAAATGTTAACATAATTTAGTTAAATGGACATGTCAAAGCTTATAACCTGCTTGTGAAGCTTTAAATTCTGCCGTTTTAGGATGATAATCCGTTACCTTATAAATTTTTTTGCTTTTTTCAGAAATTCACTTCATTTACTGTTGACTTGTCAGATAATAATTGATCTATGATACCATAGCTTGGTCTAGCTTTTCATGACTGCAGGGACTTTACGTTGGCTATTATGCTAATTGTTTCTTGTATATGGCAATCATTGTGTATTGCGCTTGTAAGTTGTAAACAGTTAGTTGATTCTAATTAGTAATCTAATTGTGTCATGAGAAAGGACGTTCAGTAAATATATATCATTTGATTTTACATCCTTTACAGATTAAGATAATGCCGAATGGCTTACTCTATTGTTTGGTTCGTGAACTTGCATTCTCCAAGCTTTATATTCTCTAACCTTTGAATTGATATATTTTGCAGCATTGAGGCAGCATGTACTGCGCATCCAACTGCCGATGTTTTTATAAACTTTGCCTCATTCCGAAGGCTAGTCTTCATTTCTTTCATGCTGTTTCTTAGAGCAGGAATTCATGTATGCATAACTTAATCATTGTGTTTTACTTTACTTACAGTGCTGCTGCTTCATCAATGGCAGCTCTGAAGCAGCCAACCATTCGAGTTGTTGCTATAATTGCTGAAGGTGTTCCCGAGTCAGACACAAAGCAGTTGATTGCATATGCACGTACCAACAATAAGGTAAGGAAGATGATGAGAACCAAACCAGACAATGAATATGATTGACCAATAAAGACATTCATCTACTTGGGCTCTTGCACATGCAAAGAATCTGCTTTAATGATTTAACTATTTGGTTTTCTTTCACTCTATTTAATTTTAATACTTATGGGCTTGCAGGTTGTTATTGGCCCAGCTACCGTTGGAGGAATTCAGGCTGGGGCTTTTAAGATAGGTGACACTGCTGGAACAATTGACAATATTGTTCACTGCAAGCTGTACAGGCCTGGATCTGTTGGCTTTGTCTCCAAATCTGTACGTTATCTTGATAGTTTTTATGTCGGTGTGTGTGTTTCTGTGCAATTAGGCCTCTTTCTCTTTTGCTCAAGTAATTGCACCCTGGCACCTTGTGGGGCAATCTCCTATCACTAATTTGGCATTTATATTATGGCTTTGGCAAGCATGTGAATCCATGCTCATGTCATTAGTTGTGATGTATCTTTTGTAAATTAATTGCAGGGTGGCATGTCGAATGAAATGTACAACACTATTGCCCGTGTTACAGATGGAATCTATGAAGGTAACCATTAAGCTACCTTAACATTGTACTATACATTCATACCTGCCAAACTGAATGCAAATTTATATTAAATATTAATTATGTGTACACATTGAAAAATTTTGTAGGTATTGCAATTGGAGGAGATGTCTTCCCTGGCTCCACTTTATCTGACCATGTTTTGCGATTTAACAATATTCCACAGGTAAATTATTATTTTCATTCAATTCCTTGTGATTTCCTGCATATTATTTGTTGCTACATATGCCAAGAAGGCATGGTTAGGAAAATAAAAAAGCTTACCCTCCCAACTCCAATTTTCTTAATTTTGCTGGGATTAATAATTTAAAATTCATAATTGATGTAGAAGCATCATCTGCATTGTAAAGAAAGTTCCTGATTATTTTTCCTTATCCACTCAGGTAAAAATGATGGTTGTCCTCGGAGAACTTGGTGGACGAGATGAGTATTCCTTGGTTGAAGCCCTGAAACAGGGAAAAGTGAACAAGCCAGTGGTTGCTTGGGTCAGTGGAACTTGTGCACGACTCTTTAAATCAGAAGTCCAGTTCGGTCATGCTGTAAGTTACCACCTTAATCTTCCTGGAATTCATTGTTCCTTTGGATTCAAGTTATGGTGTTACTGCTATTAAGGAGAAATTAACATTTACCTTATTACTAATTCAGGGAGCTAAGAGTGGTGGTGAGATGGAGTCTGCACAGGCAAAGAATCAAGCACTAAGGGAAGCTGGAGCTGTAGTTCCCACTTCATATGAAGCTTTTGAAGCTGTGATCAAGGAAACATTTGAGAAACTGGTGAGTTTCTGTCTTGTTCAAAATTTGGCTGGTTCTATGCTTAGCTATATTCATGTACTTGATTGGTGTCCTTAGGTTGAAGAAGGGAAGATTACACCCGTGAAGGAGGTTAAGCCTCCACAAATCCCAGAAGATCTTAACAGTGCAATTAAGAGTGGGAAAGTCCGTGCTCCAACTCATATTATTTCAACCATCTCTGATGACAGGGGTACCTTATCTTAACTAATATATGTTGCAAATCAGATGAGATATTTGATAACATGGAGATAAGGTGTGCTACATTCTTTCTTTGAACCTAATTTGCAGGCGAGGAGCCATGCTATGCTGGTGTGCCCATGTCCTCCATTGTTGAGCAAGGTTATGGTGTTGGTGATGTCATTTCTCTCTTGTGGTTCAAACGTAGCCTTCCCAGATACTGTACTCAGTTTATCGAGGTAGGCTACTGAAAGTTATATTAAACTTCTTACGGGTTATGTGCCACTAGCAAGCCACATCTCCCACATTTTTTCACTATTGCTACTCTCCCAGAGTTAATGAAATAAAAGATATGATAGTGTCCTTGTTGTAGTTATGTTGGGCCTAGTCCTTTTCTTTTCATTTTATGACCGTCTCCATCTTTAGAAAGCAAAGTTATGTTGTTTTTTCACTAATAAGTATGATCTGGTCAGATATGCATCATGCTCTGTGCCGACCATGGTCCCTGTGTCTCTGGTGCTCACAACACCATAGTGACAGCAAGAGCTGGGAAGGACCTTGTTTCCAGCCTTGTTTCAGGTTTGCTTACTATTGGTCCTCGATTTGGTGGTGCCATTGATGATGCTGCTCGATACTTTAAAGATGCTTACGACAGGGTAAGTTTCAATGGTGGTTACTTGTGAAGGTTTGGGATAGCTTGGTGTCTGGTGACTGTTTTCTTATAACATTCTAAGATGTTGCCTCTGTGCTGTGCTTTTACAGGGTCTTACACCTTATGAGTTTGTTGAAGGCATGAAAAAGAAGGGTATTCGTGTGCCAGGAATTGGCCACAGGTACAGATGGGTTTTAATGGTCATGATATTTTTAAACATGCAAAAGATAGACACTATGAGATCTGGTTTTCTGTTATTTTTTAATAGATCCTTTACATGTCTAATGGTTACAAATACTTGCTTTGCTTCCTGTGAAAAGGATTAAGAGAGGGGACAACAGAGATAAGAGAGTAGAGCTCCTCCAACGGTTTGCTCGCACACATTTCCCGTCTGTGAAGTACATGGAATATGCCGTTCAAGTTGAAACCTATACTCTCTCAAAGGCTAACAACCTTGTCCTCAATGTGGATGGTGCCATTGGGTCTCTTTTCTTGGATCTTCTTGCTGGTAGTGGATTGTTCACCAAGCAAGAGATTGATGAGATAGTCGAGATTGGCTACCTGAATGGGCTTTTTGTGCTAGCAAGATCCATTGGTTTAATTGGGTAAAGTTTGTTTACGCATTGGAATTTTTTTATTTAAACTTTTGAGGTTCTGCTTCAAATTTCTTATCTGCTTACAAACAAACCGTCGGTTGATGATACTTGCTATTGGAGTCTGGACCCTCAAGCCATTTTTAAGCACAGTATCTGATACAGTCTTAGATGATCCCATGATGGTAATTGGTAGGGGATGGTGGCATGTTCATGAATAACAAAGCATATGCAGTTCATTTGTTCTCGGAGTTTTGTAGTTTATATACATTGAGTGATGAGGGTTCATTGATTGATACAAGGACATTGCAATGAGTGAGAAAGATTATGAGTGGAATGTTTTACTGCATTTCCTTGTTAAACTTTATTCATTTACTTGTTCCTGACATTTAATTGTTCAATATCTCAGGCACACTTTCGACCAGAAGAGATTGAAGCAGCCACTATACCGTCACCCATGGGAGGATGTTCTCTACACCAAGTGAGAATCATTCACAGCAGGTGCAACAACAACCTGCTCGCCTCGAGCATTCTCTTTTTCAGAGTCCTTGGTGTCTGCATTTTGACGGGGTATGGTCGTTTGATTCTTAGATTAGTGTTTGTAATGTTAAATGGTTGGCCACCATCATTTGTAAGGTTGTATTCAAAGTTCACAAGGAGAGAAAATAGTCTCAAATCATTTATTAAACCAAAAGTAATGTTGCGTGATTAGTTCTTTAGTTTTACCAGTTTCATGGAGAAATAAGAGATGTCAGGTTTGCATGTGCAAAAGAGTACATTGAATGAGAAATCAGTAAATTGTTTAGAATTTTTAACTGAATTAATGAAGGGGCAAATTCTTTTCTAAGTGAAAAAGAACAAAAGTAAATCCACATCTGAAATCTAAGCTTCAAGGCAATTAGCAAATGAGAGGCCTTTTGATTTGGATTCTTGCCTTAAATGTTCGAATGTCATACTCTGGAATGCACAGGAACTGAACAAAAGATCAGCTGACTGAGAGGAATAAAGAAAGAAATGACAAGAAGCAAAGCCGCAGCCGCTGTTTCCACAGGAAGAAAAGATAATAGCGATTGCTTTCTTTGCTGTTATGAGGAAGGAGTTGGACTATAACATTCAAGGGGACACATGTTGGCCAAAAGAAAAAATAAAGGGAGACATATAACAATCAAACTAAAAGCAAAAAGTAAGAATAAGTAGTGCTGTGATGCGGCAAGTCTAACAGTAAAGTGTTTTCTCCTTTTGGTCGGCAGTAAGTCTTAGAAAGAAGAAAAACAAAATTGGTGTTTTATTAATTTATGTGATGAAAAGAATAAACTGAAAAGAGGGGGAAAATAGACCGAAAAGGGTATCCATCAAGGACGCGTATTCACCAATAAAATGCTTTGATTTTTATTTCCAAGCTTCACAGCTCTCTCCATTGCCGCAAGTAATTTCCAGCTCAGAAAACCCAAATAAAAAAACACAAAAAAGTACATATTGTCATTATAAGATTGAGCAACTTATCTGATTTCTCTTTAAAAAAAAAAAAAAAGCCAGGGAAATCGAACTTAGAATTGGATCACAAAAGCAAACAAAGCCAACCCAACAACAAAATCAGTGTAACTCTCACAACTCCTTGCAATTCATTAAGAAGAACAAAATTAAAAAAATCTTCGTGAATTGTGATCCGCCCTTTTTGATCCAACTCTCCAAAGAAAAAAAAATCTAAAAATTCTCCCAATCCCACTGCAAAACACACGCAGCAGCATCACCATGCCCACGTGGGTCTGTCAACACTACTTTCCCCCCAAAACCTATCCCCTATCCCAACACTTTAAAAACGGAATTTCCTTTAAAGAAATCAGCTAGACTATGAGAAGACAACAAAAAACCACTTGGACTCAACATATTGATGGCTTCTGGCAGCAGAGCACTTCACTCCCATCAGCATCCTCGCCAGCAACAACAAGAAGCTCAGTCTTCAGGCACCAGCAACATGAGGGCCCCCCAACGCCACCGCCAGGCTGACTCCATCAGCAAAGCCATTGCTCAGTACACAGTTGACGCTCGCCTCCATGCTGTTTTCGAACAATCCGGAGAATCAGGTAAGTCATTTGATTACTCCCAGTCGGTTAGAACCACCACCCAATCCGTCCCGGAACAGCAAATCTCCGCTTATTTGTCTAAAATCCAAAGAGGCGGACACATCCAGCCATTTGGGTGCATGATTGCAGTTGACGAACCCAGTTTACTTGTCATCGCGTACAGCGAAAACGCGCATGACATGCTCGGAATAACACTTCAATCTGTTCCCAATTTAGAGATAAACGAAGTTCTCACTATTGGGACTGATGTACGCACCCTTTTCACTGCTTCCAGCGCAGTTCTGTTAGAAAAAGCCTTCGCGGCTCGCGAAATCACCTTGGTGAATCCTGTTTGGATTCACTCTAAAAATTCTGGAAAACCCTTTTACGCTATTTTACATAGGATTGATGTTGGAATTGTGATTGATTTAGAACCTGCTAGAACAGAGGACCCTGCCCTGTCTATTGCAGGGGCTGTCCAGTCACAGAAATTAGCTGTCCGTGCAATTTCTCGGTTACAATCCCTCCCTGGTGGCGATATTAAGCTTTTGTGTGATACCGTTGTGGAGAATGTGAGACAGCTTACTGGATACGATAGGGTAATGGTTTATAAATTTCATGAGGATGAGCATGGGGAGGTTGTAGCTGAGAGTAAAAGGCCTGACTTGGAGCGTTACATTGGTTTACATTATCCTGCTACCGATATTCCTCAGGCATCGAGGTTTTTGTTTAAACAGAATAGAGTTAGGATGATAGTGGATTGCCATGCCATGCCTGTGCGTGTGATTCAGGATGATGGGTTAATGCAACCTCTGTGCTTGGTTGGTTCCACTCTTCGTGCTCTTCATGGTTGCCATGCTCAGTATATGGCTCATATGGGGTCAATTGCTTCTTTGGCAATGGCAGTTGTTATCAATGGAAATGATGAGGAAGCTATTGGTGGAAGAAATACAATGAAGCTATGGGGTCTGGTTGTTTGTCATCATACTTCTGCTCGTTGCATTCCATTTCCTCTCCGATATGCTTGTGAATTCCTAATGCAAGCATTTGCGCTTCAATTGAATATGGAATTGCAATTGGCATCACAGTTGTCGGAGAAGCATGTTTTAAGGACTCAAACTCTTTTGTGTGATATGCTTCTTCGTGATTCTCCAACTGGGATTGTTACTCAAAGTCCCAGCATTATGGATCTTGTGAAATGTGACGGGGCTGCTCTTTATTACCAAGGTAAATATTACCCATTAGGTGTGACCCCGACTGAGGCCCAGATAGAAGATATTGTCAAATGGTTGTTGGCATTCCATGGAGACTCAACTGGTTTAAGCACAGACAATCTGTCTGATGCTGGCTACCCGGGGGCAGCCTCACTTGGGAGTGCAGTTTGTGGGATGGCTGTTGCTTTTATCACTAAAAAAGATTTTCTATTCTGGTTCCGTTCCCACACAGCAAAAGAGATCAAATGGGGTGGGGCAAAGCATCATCCAGAGGACAAGGATGATGGACAGAGAATGCACCCACGATCTTCGTTCAAGGCATTTCTGGAAGTGGTCAAGAGTCGGAGTTTGCCGTGGGAGCATGCTGAAATGGATGCAGTTCACTCACTACAGCTTATTCTGCGTGACTCATTCAGGGATGCCGAAGCAAGTAATTCTAAAGCTGTTGTACATGCTCAACTTGGGGAACTACAGCTTCAAGGAGTGGATGAGCTCAGCTCATTTGCAAGGGAAATGGTGAGGTTAATAGAGACTGCATCTGCTCCCATATTCGCCGTAGATGTTGAAGGCTGCATTAATGGGTGGAATGCCAAGGTTGCAGAACTGACAGGGCTATCAGTTGAGGATGCCATGGGTAAGTCTTTGGTTTATGATCTTGTTTACACGGAATATCAAGAAACTGTTGACGGGCTTCTTAGCCGTGCTTTGCAAGGTAATCCTCTTACACATATAATAATTTTCCCTACCTCTTTAAAAGTCTTGTAAACACAACATGATATCTTTTTAAATTTATTTCTTTTGAAAATGAAAATATACCAATCAGCATGAAACCAAGTGAATGAAGGGGAAGTACTTCATGCACATTGAAAATTACATCAAATTGTAGAAAATATAAGCACTGGATTGAGTTCATAATAATGGTATCATTTCCACGTGTGTCAGTACCTGGGAATAGAAACTCCCTCCTCCTACACCATTCTTCAAAGTGATGATTGATATTTCCAAAAAGCTTATTGTTTGCTTTGATGGTGTGTTTATGTTGCCTTGATCTATGCAGGCAAAGAAGATAAAAATGTAGAGATAAAATTGAGGACTTTTGGCTCAGAAGATCATAAAAAGGCTATATATGTGGTGGTCAACGCTTGCTCTAGTAAGGATTATACAAATGATATAGTTGGAGTTTGCTTTGTCGGTCAGGATGTTACTGGTCAAAAGGTGGTGATGGATAAATTCATCCACATACAAGGTGATTACAAGGCCATTGTTCATAGTCCCAATCCTTTGATCCCACCGATTTTTGCTTCAGATGAAAACACATATTGCTTGGAGTGGAATACTGCCATGGAAAAGCTCACTGGGTGGCCTCGAGGGGAGATAATAGGAAAAATGTTGGTTGGTGATGTTTTTGGCAGTTGTTGTCGCCTCAAGGGTCCAGATGCTTTGACAAAATTCACAATTATTTTACACAGTGCCATTGGAGGGCAGGAGGCAGATAAGTTCCCTTTTTCCTTCTTTGACCGCAAAGGGAAATTTGTGCAGGCGCTCTTGACAGCAAACGAAAGGGTCAATAAGGAAGGCCAGGCTGTAGGAGCCTTTTGCTTCCTGCAGATTGTGAGTCCAGAGTTGCAGCAAGCACTGAGAGTCCAGAGGCAACAGGAAAATAAATGCTTTGCTAAGATGAAAGAGTTGGCATACATTTGCCAGGAAATAAATAGTCCTTTGAGTGGGATCCGCTTGACTAACTCACTTTTGGAAGATACAGAGCTGACTGAAGATCAAAAGCAGTTTCTTGAGACTAGTGTCGCTTGCCAGAAGCAAATGTTGAAGATTATAAAAGATGTTGATCTGGAGAGCATTGAAGATGGGTAGGTCTTCTAACCAAATTACTTCTAAATCGAAATACAAAATTCTGTGGATTACATGCATACTTGTCAGGAAGTATATTGGCCTCGATTGTTTGATTTCTAGCACTTTGAGGGAACATACATCTGGTGCTAGACTATTGAATGGCAATTACATCTGTTAGATTTATTTCTTGATTAGGGATGCAATTGCGTTGAGGGAGGAATAGCAAATAATGCATCATCGTTGCCTTGACTCTAACTATGTCTGAGATATTCTTTTTATGGATGAACAATAACCTTAAATGTGTGGAGAAAGTTTTTCCTTTAATGCTGTATTTATCATAGTTGTAAGATGCATGATTCTCTTTCTTCATCATTGTATTAGGAAACTGAAGGCAATCACAAGGTTTCATGGCTGAATCTTTGGACCAAAATTTTTTTTTCCTTTTTTAACTTATCTTTTTGTGATTTCTACTTTATTCAAGCTCAGGCATGTATTAATATTTTTATCGAAATCCCTCTGGCATAATTTTACTAATGAGGAAGACATGATCTAATTCTTCTCTTGTTTTTGTTGGAATTAGTTCTATGGAGCTTGAAAAGGCTGAATTTTATCTTGGGAGTGTCATAAATGCTGTTGTTAGCCAAGTAATGCTACTGCTGAGGGAAAGAAATCTGCAGTTAATTCGGGATATTCCAGAGGAGATCAAAACTCTGGCTGTATATGGTGATCAGGCAAGAATTCAACAGGTTTTGGCTGATTTTTTGTTGAATATGGTGCGATATGCACCATCTGGCAAAGGTTGGGTACGGATTCAAGTTCGTCCAACTTTGAATCAAATTTCTGATGGACTCACTATTGTTCGTAGTGAATTCAGGTATTTTACTTTCTCTCTTTTATGCATTGTGCAAGATAAATGTCAATGGTTATGCTAATATAACGAAAAAAAAGAGAGGAGAAACTACAGCATAATTTTATTGGAATCAATATGTTACAATCATCACATTAAAACTACAGACTTAATATGTTACGGAAAAATTGGTTCTGCTAATGAGCGTAAATTGATATTGAGTTCAAACCTGTAGAAGAAGTCAAGGGACAATGTATTTCATAAAATCTTAGTTGTGGCTTTTTTTTGTAGTTTCTTTAATAAGTATAAATATGTGAGGGAAAGAGCAGCATTTGTTCTTTTTTCTTAAATTATTGATGTCATGAATTCTATTTATGTTATGGTGCTAATTTAACAAATAATGGTGTATTTGTGAAGGATGGTATGCCCTGGTGAAGGTCTTCCTCCTGAATTGGTTCAAGACATGTTCCATAGCAGCCAATGGATGACACAAGAGGGCTTAGGGTTGAGCATGTGCCGAAAAATCTTAAAGCTCATGAATGGTGAGGTCCAATATATCAGAGAGTCAGAAAGATCTTATTTCTTAATTATCTTTGAACTTCCAGTACCTTGGAGAGGCTCAAAGAGTGTTGACTAGGTTATCTGCCCTTGAGATCCCTGATATTTCAGACTTCAACAAATTTAACCTGAGTTATTTTCTCTCATATACCCTAACCTGTGCTTATCCCAGTTGCAAGGCTTGTACATGAGCTAGAGCCACTTGATTCAGCCAATGGTACTCAACAGATCGAAGAATTCTGGTCTACTCTCATGTTCATATGTTATTAGTGCTTGCTATTTCCTGGTATGTTTCAGATTAAATAACCTTATCATATGAGCCAGCTGATCGAATCCTTGTCCTTAGTGTAGTTGTGAAAAATCATAATGATGACATTTTACAGCATTTTATGGACTGTCGTGTTATTCAAGAAACAGAACCAAATGAGGGTCAATGTAGAATGTTGTAAATCCATTCCACAACAAAAAGCCGTTGTGGTAGTGAGCTTGCAGTCGTATTGAGAAGCTGTCTCCCGCCACAAAATGTATTCTACATGTATCATACGAGTTAGATTAGATCTTCTCATAATCCTAAGATCCTTGTAACATATTCACCTACCTTAGGTTATCCCTCTAAAGTTTTTCCTTTCCCCTCTCCATATAATAAGTCAGTTCTTCTCTGGTTGTTGAAATTTATGTAACCTCCATACTCTGACAATCGGATATGAATCTGCTTCTACTTGTAATTTGTGAGGATTTATTTTTGGAGAGGATAAGTTGGGAATATTTTACTGGTTTGATACTTTTGTCGTTCTTGGCATGGATTATGAAACAGATATGGTCGTCTATACAGTGTTTATTCAGACAGGTGCTGCTGCAATTAGCAGATGAATGATTGATCAAATTTATCCTTAACGAAAAGTTGTACTCGAGTGCAAGAAACTAAAGTTAGCATTCCAAGTTCTGAAGTTACCGGTTTCTGCCTTCTGCCAATCGCAATATGAGTTTTGTTCTTTACCCACCACCTTTTCCCCATCTTTCTTCTTTCTGCCTTTTTCTCCATTTCTTTTTTCTAATGGTGTAAGGTGCTACCGGGTATCGCTTTCGTGCTTTTTTCGTATAATTTTTGAGTGGCGCACTCATGTTTTGTTTAAAATTTGCCTAGATATTATGCTATCATTATTTGTGTTAAATAGCATAGGATTTAAGCATGCATCTTACTTGGTCAATGAACATGCTTAACGGTATATGAATGATGTAATCAAGCAGTTGCAAACAAGTCCTCACTGAAAATATTACGTATGGAATTGAGATGGGATGAGGTTTTCCAAGTACTGTTTTGCCAATTCAATCAAAATTATCTCCAGGGCATGTGGTTTTAAGATAAGGATGGCATGACAGCCCAAAGCTTTGGGACTTAACCTTTTTCAGGTAACCCTTTGTAACCAATGATGGAAAATCACTTACAAAATCACCTCGGATGTTCATATTGAATGAAAGAAAATGCTGGAAGTTAAAACATACATGTAAAAATATATGATAAAAATAAAACATATATAAATGGGAAAACAATATGCATAGCTGCCATCACCATTAAAACTGAGTTAAGTGACTCTGAAACGTTTACAGTGATGATGACTGCAGTGTAGCAATTCATGTTAACATTTCAATGATCACCATCTTACAAATGGTTTTGGCAGAAACTTGAGAAATATCAATTTATGTCACCAACTCGGTTTAGTGAAGTAAGGATCGAATAGCAGCAACAGCATCACCCTTGTGCTCTCGGAGTGTTCTCTCAGCCACCTTTTTGTCCAACTTTTTCCAGTGCAAAAGATGAAAGGTAATTAGAATCTATGGAATTATTACATTGATACAAGTTAAAAAATGTAAAATGAACAACAAAAGGAACCAAACCTCTAGTTCGTTTGCAATGATGTCGACATCAGCCGAATTGATCTTAACAGAAGCTAATTCTTTCTCTCTGTATGGAACAAAAATGTAACATTTGCTTTAGATATGCATTGAGAAGAAATTCAAAAATTCTGTAAGTGAACCAAGAAACAGAAGTACTTGAGGATATGTATTCACCAATAAGTTCATGATGCATTCCACATTAGCATAACCATGGATAACCAAGTTTAGTAAATTTCAGAGAAGTGAGAATTTAGAAAATTGAAAAATGACAGCATTGAATCTTTCACTTCAAAAGGCCTAAAACTTATGATACTGCAATAGGATTCAGGGCATCCCCAATAACATGGCCGAGGAAGAATAGAAGGATCATAAACGTTGAAAAGACAAAAAAGAAGAAGAAGAAGAAGAAGAAGAAGAAGGAGAAGAAGGAGAAACCTTATATTGCAAAATTGAAATCAAATATGATTATCCAGTTAACAGTGATTAAAATTGCAGGATATCATTCTCATCAGCATTCAATCTGTTTTCACCATAAGCATAGTAGATGACAAGCTTTCAGCAGGCTCACAGTCCTGTTTATCGCATAATGCATACTAAAGCCTCAACCATAATGATATGGCCCCTTCTGTGTTTTAATAGCAGTAGTAAAATTCTTTAAGCTATCCTCTTACCTCAATTTACCATATGCAAAAAGCTGTTGACAATTTTAAGGAAACTAACATTTCTTGTCCAAAATATCAATAAAAGGAAATATCAGTACAACAACCTTTGCTAACTAAAACTCATAGCACGTCCAGGACATGAGTGTGCGACAACATTCGATTGATTTTAATGTTCCAATCAATCTAAAGGCCTAAACAATTATAAAACATAATGACACAACACAAAGCAAAGTAAATTCTACAGATTCCAATCCAACCAAGATGACTTTTTCAAGCAAAGCAATCCTCTTCCCTGCCTTTAAAAAATCTCAAAATTAAACAAAAGTCACCTAATTGGACTAAAATTCAATTTAAATAGTAAGAATTCAAGCCAATTCAATAAAAAAATCAATTATTCTCTTACCGGAAAGCTACAGAAATGAAATTAATAAAAGAAAAATAAATCAAACCTCAATATCATAGCATTCTTTTCTGCTTCAGCTGACGCAGCAATCGAAGCCATGGCCTACCACGTCAAAACCAAACCAATGAGCAAAAAAAAGCATTAAAAATTCTCTTTTTTTGAACAAAAAAAGAACCCAGCAAAGTTTGTTTGAAAGTTATGTTTTTAATAAAAATTACACAAATAAAGAATGTAAATTTAGATAGATAGAGGACCGATTGGGCACGAGAAGAATCAAGCTGGCGATCTTCGACACGGTCGGTGAGCTTGTCAAAGGCTTTGCTCTGTTGCTGTAAATCCTTAGAGTCAACGATTCTGTCAACGCCGCCATCTCCAGATTCCATTGTCAGCTTTTGCTCAGTGGCAAGGTAAGGGAGACCAGACAGAAGAAGCTTCCGAAGCTAAAACCCTAACGTCGTTAGCCCCGAGTTTGAGTTCCCCACTTGTAGAGTCAAAGAGAAAAGACGTTGAGATAGATCAAATCCTTCATCCATTGGATTCTATGTCGTGGGTTTCTTAAGGCCCACACTTAACACGACAAATTAGGCCAACTTAGCCCAAGATTGCTCCAAATTTGCAACCCATTTTGAATTCAAACTGGTCTGGATTTTAGAAAAACTCGCAGCCCCTCATTGGACTGAATTTCACAAACTCATTAGAAAGTTCGCAGCTCATTTATTTTACTCATTAATAAAGTATATGATTAATAATGTATAATATCAGCACAACAAAAATTAGTTTAGTTTTTAATACAAAAATTGAATTGATGCAATACTAAAATCCTAGTGATATTGTCCCACAATAAAATAAAATAAAAATTATTTTGAAGGTGTATTTTTGGACTTTTTTCTTTTATCGTTGATTTTTTGACCCATTTGTTTTAAATGTTCTTTTTTATAAAATGACAGTGAAATTATTTAATTTTACTGTCAGATTAAAAAAAATTATATATTTTTTATTTTTTTAATTAATTTTTTTTATTTTTTAATATATTCTAAGAAATATTTGTTTATTGATTACGGTGAATGAAACAATTTCCCATATATTAATTGTCGTGTCACGTTGGACTGATAGATTTTTTCTGTAATATCAACATTAATTGCCCTGGATGAAAAAAGTAAGAAATGCGCTTGATACCAGTCTACCATTCAAGCTATAGTTCAAACCAGCAACAGATTTATTTGGCTAATGAATAGAATTGAAATACAGAAATTACAAAATCCGTGTGCACTTGCAGTGCTGTAGAAAAATTAGCTTCTACAAAAAAGGTTTTCATCTGAGCTCAAGGCCTTCAGGCCAGACTATGCATGAAACCAGCCAACTTCAAGTAGGAAGCCTGGAGGCCGTTAAAATGCCACACGGGAAAAGTTCATAGCCATACAGGCAGCCAATCCTTGCCATTGATAAAATCAATGGAAGTCAAATATTCAGCTTCCTTTTCTGTCAGTTGTTTTGCCCAAGGAGCTCGCTCATTTGTTTCAGATCCTGGCCCATAGCACTGGTATTCCGCATGGAATAGATTACTGTTTTTCATTCATATAAACAGGCTACATCAGATAATAGAAAATGGAGAATGTGGACCATAAATTTAAAAGAACAAGGGCAGAATTTCTTACTCTGGACCTCCGTGGTAGCTCCAATCTGTCCAGCCTTGGGGTACTATTGTCCTAGACAGGTATGTATTTGCAAAAATCACAGTTGAATAGGCCCCTTTAGCCCTTCCCAAGTATACACCTCCAATGCCATAAACCTTTCCTTTGACAAACACAAAACCGCTGTTGTCATTTGGACTTCCCCTGTTTTGAGCTGTAATAGACCCATGAATCTGAATCCTCTTGTCTTGCAGCACAAAGATCTCACAGTTCTGCATCCATGGTCATAAAATCAAAACTTCTTCTCTCAAAAACTCGGGATTCTGATGAAGAAATCAAATTTGATTTCTAACTTACATGAAAAATTGATCTTCCACGGCCAAAAATGAAATCAATTGAGCCCTGGATGTAGCAGTTGTCATAGTAATGCCTTCCTTTATAGTCAAAGAGAGTGTTGTGGGTACTAAAGAAAGCACAATGGTAAAATGAAACCATATCTGCACCCACAAAAGCTGCAACTGACTGATTCTGAGAGGTATAAGCAATGCCGGTGGGTGCCTCATTCTGCGTTGAAGGAGAAAACAAAATTGAAGCTTTTTTTTTTCTTTTTCTGATATTAATGTTTTATCATACATTGCCAATGATGAAAACATTTTGGTGATAAACAAATTTCTAAAAGAAGAGGTTCTCACCTTGAAGCTAATGCCAAAGGCAATGAAATGTTTGGCTTCAACCGTAAATGTGGCGGAGGCCTTGTTGACAGTAGAGCTCAAGGACCAGACAATAGCAGTCCTTCCTCTCCCATTACCTCTCATGAAGATGTAGGGTTTATCTTCTGGTATGTGCACCCTTTCTCTGCCAGTCAGAATGTTGAAAACAAAATAATAAAATATCAGGCTTAACAAGTTCCTTAGAAATGAATCTGGCAAGAAATCATTACCGGTAAACCCCTTTCCTGAGATGGATAATAACCCATCCAGAATTTCCCTTTGGAACAGAATTAATGGCTTCTTGAACAGATGTAAAGTCTCCATTGCCACTGAGATCAACCTTGATTGTCCTATTGGTGCCAATCTTCTCTGTCAATAGAGGAGAGTCGATGACTGTTTCCGCGGATAGGCCATTAGCAAAACCTGGGAAACAGATTGCAGCAGCAAAAGTGGCTGCAAATGCAAGATGCATCGGTCCAATGGAAACTGCCCAAGCCATGTTATGAAGGGTTGAAGCTGGTTTGAGGCTTCTGGCAGGAGATTGCAGAAGCTCTTTAGAGAGGTTGCTGAAGATTTTTTTGGCATGCAGTTTGTTTGGAAGGTAAAATTGGATGTTCATAAATTGACGCGAAAAGTTGGTTGGGAACGGAATCTCTATTTTAGAGGTCCTCCAACAAATTCTTTTGTGGCTCACATGCATTGCTTTGTTTAAGAACTTTCCTTTATTTTTTAACTTCGATTGGAATAATAATAGCATTACAGTAAAGATTTGTGGGGATAAAAATTTGGTTTTAATTGATGGATCATTTAGTAATTGTGGTAATATTTTTTAAGTGGGCTTGAGCTCAATACATAGAATTGATTGGCCGATATAAATGACAAATTCTGAGCCGTTGTTTAGTTGGAAACCAAAAAAAAGAAAGTGTCAAAAAGCCAAGAATACAAAGCAAAACAGAAATTTGCACGGCCTATTTGGCTGATGGGATGCTTATTTGAAGGAAAATATATAGCATGGGTTTGCTTATAGACATTTCCACACAAATAACCATTTGATTACTGTTTAATCATTAGTAATTGCCAATTGTGGGTCAAGCTTTTTCACTTGAAGAAAATTCTGATGGCAGGGAGCAATAAGTCTTCAATCCAAATGGAGAACTACAAGTAAATGATGAAATGAAGTTGGTCTGGCAGCAAATGAAACTATGAAAGGGTTATTAAATATTTGAAATTGACAGTTTGTGAATATTAAGAAAACTGTGGGAATTCTGCTGGCATTCCCTGGTATACAACATAGGAGAGAGTGAGGGAAAGAGATTCTGTCTTCAGAGCTACTTTTAATGGTGATTGAATTGTCTATATTCATTTCACTTTGAGCTGCCAATTATTATTTCTTAATGTTGATTTCACGGGGAAAGTCAAGATGCAAATCAGAATCATTTGGCCTACCTCACTGAAATCACCTTTGGCCCCAAAAGGTCACGGGCACTTGAAGTTCCGAGATGAATGTTAGTTCTATTTCTAATAGAAACCTCATAATGCGGATTGTGGTAATTGGCAGCTTTTGATGAAATTTACTGCCAATCACATCAAGGAAAGATTATAAGTAACTGTCAAAGTACTATTTATTTACTTCTTCATCTTATAACAATCATTAATCAAATGGCAAAGTGATATAAATATATGTTCCCGGCTGGTATAAGATATGCAAAAGCAATTCACTTTTTCACCAGGCCAAACAACCATAGTCCTTATCTGTCTTTAATAGCCATATCTGCAATTAAGTTCTTTTATTGTTTACAAAAAGACCAATGGTTATGATCAAAACCATAGTTGCAGTATTCTTTCTGTTTCACTTTAGATTTGGGGTTAGAGGTTGCAGCCTCTCTTATCATTTCTATGAGAAATCGTGCCCGCAAGTTGAGGACATTGTGAAAAATGGCCTTCAGGCCATATTTCTGATCGATCCCACTTCACCGGCTGCTTTGTTAAGGCTTATGTTCCATGACTGCCAAGTTCAGGTACCTAGCTAGTTCATAGTTTATTCATATACTAGCATTTTATAGTCAAGGCCTCAAGGTGTTTTGCACCAATACCTTCTGCTTTGTCCCTCAGTCTATATCATTCGACATTTAAATTTTATTTCAGGGTTGTGATGCTTCCATTCTAGTTGACCCAGGAGAAGGAAGTGTTCCAACAGAGATGGCCTCGACTAAGAATTTTGGAATTAGAAAGAGGAAGTTAATAAGCATCGTAAAATCAATGGTAGAAGCGCAATGCCCCCAACAAGTTTCTTGTGCTGACATTCTCATATTGGCTGCTCGAGAGGCAGTGGCTCTGACTGGAGGTCCAAGGATAAATATTCCCTTGGGACGAAGGGATTCTCCTCAGACTCCTAGCTATGAACTTGCAGATGCATTGCTCCCTCCTGCAACTGCTGGAGTTGCTGACATGCTTAATATTTTCGCCAAGAAAGGAATGACTCCTGCAGAATCTGTTGCCATTTTGGGTAATCGCATGAATTTGTTGAACATGCATAGTTAATTAATGTATATATGCATTTCTGTTATATAGAAATACCACTTGCTATCTTTACTTACCTTTGCAGGTGCCCACACGCTAGGGATTACGCATTGTTCAAACATTCAGAACCGTCTATACAGTCCTAACAATGGTGAGCTTAGAGTAATGGAACCTGATTTTGCAGCATTTTTGAGGTTAACATGTCCCCGGGGACCTTTAACCTCAAACTTAAGCTTTGTTCTCAACGATCCTACCTCATTTGCGTTTGACAACGAATACTATGTTAATGCAATGCGAGGCAGGGGAGTACTGAAAATTGATGCTGAAATGGCATTAGACCCGCAAACAGCTCATTTTATGCAACATTTCTCTGTTAATCAGGATGATTTCTTCCAGGCATTCTCTTCTGCCTTTGTGAAGCTATCTTGTTCCGGGGTCCTAACTGGGAAACAAGGTGTCATTAGAAAGAATTGTAATGCAATAAATTGATCAGATCGAATTGCTGGTTCCGGATAGTACGGAACCTACTATCATTATCTGTTCTAAGTTCTACCTTGATTATTGATAATAATTAAGCTTGTTGACAATGGTTTTCCTCTTTCTACTTGGCCAATTATCAATAAGACTGACAAGTGACGACATTTTCACGCTTTTTCAGGGTTCTTGAGAGCCCAAACATAATCCAAGCTCGACAAAGGTCCATTTGACTAAGCCTTTTTAATTGATTTTTCTCTTCCAAACCAACAATTCTGATAAGGCAATGAAGAAATAAATCAAAGCGTACCAAAAAGAAATTACTAGTACAATCTCAGTTTGTTGGTACATGTATTTTTTACAGCACAATTGTTGATTTACTTTATTCTTATCCCCTCTCAGTTCACTTCTATTTTTAATAATTACCTTGCCCCTTTTATGTATCAGAGACTGTTGGTGTGAGCACGAGCTTAGCCAAACTACTACTACTACTACAGGATATTAACATGGCTTCACAATTATATTATAAGTACATATCATCATTTACAATTAATCATATGGAAAATTTTGTTGTAGTGAAGTCATGTAAATATTTAGTGATTGTTCTTACAAGACCATGTAGCTTGTTTAACGCTGACCTCGTCAGAAATGGGGCTTTAGTTCAGGGATTTCTCTTGTTTTTTCATTCTTTGTCTAGTTTTCCTGTACTATATATCAGCTACAAGACCATGTAGCTTGTTTAACGCTGACCTCGTCAGAACTGGGGCTTTAGTTCAGGGGTTTCTCTTGTTTTTTCATTTTTTGTCTAGTTTTCCTGTACTATCTATCAGCTTGTACTCTTTGTAGCAGGAAATTTCTGGCTTCTTTGGATGATATCATGTAGATAGCAGGCAAGTTTTCATGAAAATGATGGAGAAAATTTTAAATATTCACCAATACTGAAATGAAATGGTAGCTATATATAAGTCAATTATTGGTTGGAGGTAACATAAAAAGGGCTTCCCAACTACCTAGAGACAGAAATAAAGGGCAAAAACAAAGAGAAGAGAGAGAAAACAAAAGACAATTTCACCCAAAATTGCCGTTGCAAGTATGCGCAAGAAACATTCAGCTGAGTTAGGTTCAGCTACAAAAGCTGGTTGGTCAATCATGCAGCGAATCCTTTCAAAAGGCTGCGTTTATTTTTTTCTGGGGCGCTGTTTATTAACGTTAAGGAATTCTAAGGAAATTAATTATCTAATGTCTTATCACAACACCTTGAGCCACCATTAAATTTCAATGAAATGCATCAGACTGATACGAGGAATTGTGCCTTTAAAATCATCAGGAAGAGGATTAGATTCCGATGGTATGATTGCCCCCTTAACCGCATTATCAAAAACAAATCAATTAAGAGCCTCAAAGGATGAAACATTGCCTCTTCAAGTCTCATAACATTCTCAAGTCGGATCTTATTGTGTGTCATATACTAAACGCGCTCTCAATCTCTGAAGTTATGTTTCACATTTCAGCATTAATATTCCTCTTTTTTTTTTATATCTCATCGGCCAAGAACATTCCTGCCATCTTCATTTTTGGAGATTCCATTGTTGATGTAGGAAACAATAATTACATCAACACAATTGCAAAGGCAGCATTTCCAAACGGAATTGACTTTTGCAGGAGATGTTCCTCTGGGAGATTTACTAATGGTAGAACAGTTATTGATATTTTAGGCAAGTATTGCTTCCTTTGTTACCTTGTGCCTCAAGTTACTTTACCTGTAGTATTAGCCAACATTACAAGGACAACAACCCCAGATTGAGAGTTTGTTGTTTGAACTTTGTTTGTGGCAGAACAGGATTTGGGTGCCAAAAATTTCACTCCTCCATACTTGGCTCCAACTACCACCGGCGACATGGTTCTAAGAGGCGTCAATTATGCTTCTTCTGGTTCTGGTATTTTAAGCAACACTGGAATAGTCTGGGTAAGATTTCTTCTCACAAACTTAACCGTTAAAATCTTTTTTAAATGATGTGTTACTGAGGAAATTAATGCAAAATCAGCTAATAAATATAAAAAGCAACTGTTAATCCCTTCATAATTCACAGGGTGATCATATTGGCTTTTATGAACAAATCAGTAACTTTGAGAAAACCAAGAAAACAATTGTCTCAAGAATCGGCAGGCGGGAAGCTAAAAGACTGCTGAAGCATCGGGCATTGTTTGTGGTTGTTATTGGTGCAAATGATTTGTTCTTTGGGCAGCAAATAACTTTTTTGCAGAATCGATCATCTCAAGGTCAACGAGCATACTTAAACATTCTGACTTCAACATTGAAGTCCCAACTTACGGTAAAGATTTTCTTGAGTTCTTGTTATATCAGAAGCTCACTTCAACTTATTTGGTATGACTGAAATATTATTACAAATGTAATGCTGTATATATTATATTTTGTTGATTCTGCAGAGACTTTATTATTTGGAAGCTAGAAAAATTGTTGTGACAAATGTTCCAAGAATTGGGTGTAGCCCTTATGAGAGAGACAATTATCCGAATGGAAAAGGTTGTGTTGGTTCTTTAAATAAGCCCATCCACTCATACAACAGAAGATTGAAGCGCCTGCTCATGGATCTTACAGCAAATCAGACAGGTTCAACCTATGTTTATGCAGATATTCATGCAATCCTGGAAGATATCCTTCACAATTACAAATCATATGGTGTGTATAATGTTAATTTTCAGGATACTTAATTTTATGCATCAGAACTTTGAGTACAAAACTTTTCACAAGTGGTTTATACTTTCGCCATATGTTCACATAACAAAATATGTAACTTCAGAATTTACTTGATGTTAATTTCCTTATTATGATGAAATCTGTTTTATTTTATTTCCACAGGATTTCGAAATGCAGATTCTGCATGCTGTCACAGTGGTGGAGCTCATGGGGGTCTAGTCCCCTGCTTTCCATTATCTAAATTTTGTTCCGACAGAACCAAATATGTCTTCTGGGATGCATTCCATTTGACAGAAACTAGCAATCTAATTGCTGCAAGACATATGATGGATGGTGGCTTAAAGTACATGTCTCCTATGAACATCCCGCAATTAGTGCATTCTTGACCTCTTCATCGCGATGGAGTGAATGAACCACAATGGATTAGCTAATTGCAATCCCTAAATCCAAATTCTCTATTTTATTTTGCACAATTCCATCATAGACCAAAAGAAGGAAGAGGTACACATGAGACTTTGTGTAGTAAAAGGATATATCCTAGGTCCTGGAAAGTCCTAGAAATGCTTTTTTCAAGCATTAACAAGTTTAAACTTATGCCATTAGTTAGCTTTTTATTTATCAAATTGCAAATGCCATTGGTTTCCGGTTGTAAAATATAAATGCAAGCCCGATTATCATATCTATATTTGGCATCCAGTGAGTTAGATTTCTAATATCGTTAGTTTGTCTATCATTATGCAAGCCAACTGGGGTTTTTTTTTTTTTCATTTTCTCACTTCCACTCTGTACATATTCCACCGCCTAATAAATACTTTATGGAAAATTTTCCATTTCAAAAGTGTCAATTAGGTTACAGTAGGCGAATTGCGGTTGAACCAAAAACTTATTATTGAATCCGGACTTTTTTTTCAGAAAGAAGGGCTGGGAAAGGGTTGGCTGCATTATAAACGCCTGCCATTCTTAATTTCTTGCTCTTGGAATACAGCTATGTTTTCATGGGCAACGCAACCAAATCTGTCCAACAATATAGATATTTTGTCGGCAAAATCATTATTGCGATATTGGAGTAGCACTGAAATTAGTGACTGACCACCTTTTCCATAGAAGAAAATAAAGTAAAAGAATTAGTATGTCGTATAACGTGACTCATTCATTGTATTGACAGAATATAAAATCAGGATGTTATGGGAAACGAAAATTGAAGAATCACGAGCAATAATCAATATGCTACTTTGATTAAAGCTGGAGAGTGGAGACAACTAGTACATAATATCTTGTATGTTTTGAAGCTGTTAGAAAAACCTAGGCAATCTTTTAATAAAATGGGTAGGGAGTGCTGAGTGATAACCCCATAGTTTCTGACAAAAGAAAACCTCAAGCCAAGTTAGACCCATAATTTGAGTATAGTTTCCCAGGCTTGCTAACAAAAACTGGAAACACCCACAAAAGACTTCATGCATAGCAGATGTGGTCCAGACAGATCTGGTCAGGAGAGTTAGCAGCCTGTGGTATAGGGTGGATGAGTCTACGCCAGGGCCAACCTCTTAGCCAACTGGGGGAGATTCCTTGTTTGGGAACCATTATCCCTTAAATGACATAAAATTAAGCAAGCAGCCAACAGGAAATTGGGATTTACATGCAATACCTTATTTTTGGTGATTAGTGAACAATTTCTATCATGTAATTGCAACTTTTGGAGCTTTAAATAAATTTAAGTGCCTCAACAGAGGAACATGCATACGACCGACCCCCTAAAAACGGATGGGGAAATAGGCTTTGGCATCAGTTCTGTGATCAACAATTCAATTTAGCAATCAATGTACCCATTACTATTTGTTGCATTCTTCATTCAATGTTGTTCATTAATTATAAGGGAAAGAAATGCTATAGCAGGTTTATATATGTTGGAATATATCTCAAATCATCTAATAGATTATAATTAATACATAAAACATAAGAAAAAAAAAAAAACATAAATCGGCCCTTTGTTTTATATGAATTGTCATAGGTTTTGTCTATGGTCAATCCCTTTTGCGGATGATTTTAAAGATGCATAAATCGGCCCACTGATATTTCCTCTAGAAAAATTATATTATTTTCTAATTTTTCTCATAAATTTTGTGGCCCAACCATAGAACTATTATTAATCTAGGATAAACTTCTGAAATCACAATAAATGACTAAATATATTTTGGCCAAAAATAAAGAAACACTGACTACGTTGAATCACAGGCCTGTGATAAAAATTGATAATAACATATAAATTGATTTGAAATTTGGACAGTTGGGTTGCTGGAGAGTAATTAATATTCTTCCACTATTAAGCAAAGCACAGTAGCACACAATCCGTTGTATCCGGATCAGCTCTTTCACTTTTTCATACTTGTATTATTAACAAATATTGATAGCTTTTTTTCTCGAGTGTTTTGGTACTGAGATGTTGCAGATCATTTAATGTTGCACTTACCACCCTGTTGCTTGTAGCAGACTATGCTCATCTATAAAACCAGTGTAATTTTCCTTTTAAATTTGAGGTCTGATCGATCTTAGATTGTCTTGTGGTCCTAAGAAAATGAAGCGTTTTGATTTGATCTTCATTAGGTCACTGACCTTCATGTGAACACCATTTTATTTTCTGTTTCATACTCAGATTGATTCTGGATATAAACTATACAAGGATCATTTCAGTTCCATTGCAATATCTTCTCTCCATTTTTTTTAAAAATTTTTGGGGTAGTTTCTCTTGATTTTTCTTTTAGTTGTAACTTGTAAGTTTGATTACTACATTTAGCAAGGGGCCTACAGAATCAATGTTCAGTGTTTTTGCATTCTTTTACTTGACTTCATTATGAGTGACTTCTCAAATAGACAAATTATTATTAGGATTGTGTTCCAAATCGTGACAGTCAAGCTGTTATTGAAAATCTGCTTTGCTAAGGATGTTCCTGCTAACTTTGTTTTCGGGGACTCCTTGGTTGATGTAGGAAACAACAATTACATTGCATCATTGTCCAAGGCTAATTTTGTTCCGAATGGGATTGATTTCGGAGGGCCAACAGGGCGATTCACCAATGGAAGAACAATCGTTGACATTATAGGCAAGTTGAAGTTTTTGTTGCTTCCTGCATGATTCCAAATCTGAACAAGAGGGGACCAATTATAACTTACAAGTTCAATGCAAATTTTATTTTTCCAATTGCAGGGCAGGAATTGGGTCTTCCAGGTTTTACTCCTCCTTACTTAGCTCCTACAACTAGGGGACCAGTTGTTCTTCAGGGTGTCAATTATGCATCAGGTGGAGGTGGAATTCTCAATCACACAGGAAAAATTTTTGTAAGGTTTCTTCCAAGGTGTTTGTGCCATTTGAACATTTCAATTTCTAATTACAGTAAAGACACAGTCAGTTGATTAAAAGTATAGTTCTGGGGTTTTACAACACAGGAACTGATTGAACCCCTTGTTTGAGATTACATTATCTTATGGTTTCTATGTTCAAGAATCCACCATCGCAGCCCTCAAAATTAGTAGTAAGTAAATATGCATGTAATGACAGGGTGGTCGAATCAACTTTGACGCACAGCTAGACAATTTTGAAAATACAAGGCAAGATATAATCTCGAGCATAGGTGCTCCTGCAGCTCTAGAGATGCTTCAAAGTGCTCTTTTCTCAGTTACAATGGGATCCAATGATTTTATCAATAACTACTTTACACCCGTTGTCTCAGCTGAGGAGCAGAAGTTAGTTTCTCCAGAAGTGTTTGTGGCTTCCATGATTGGAAGATTCAGGCTACAGCTTACTGTAATTTTCAACTCATCTCTATTATTTCAATCAAAGCCTCATTTCAAATACCATTATAGTTCCATGGGAATTTTACTTAGACACATTTGATACTTTTTGCAGAGACTTTACTCTTTGGGTGCTAGAAAGATTATTGTAGTAAATGTGGGCCCTATTGGTTGTATACCATATGAGAGAGACCTAAATCCAACAGAAGGAGATAGCTGTGCTAGTCGTCCAAATCAGCTGGCTCAGCGATTTAACACTGAGTTGAGGAGTCTTATTGAAGCGCTCAGCACAAGCCTGAAAGGATCAAATTTCGTCTATGCCGATGTTTACCGCATTGTAGACAATATCATACAAAATTACAGATCTTATGGTACCAATGCTTTAAATTTTTTAGACTTTTCATGTAACAATCTCAGGACTAGATTAAATTTGCCTAACCTGTTCTGAAATGGTTTAACAATTTTCCATTTACAGGTTTTGAGAGTGGAAGCTTTGCCTGTTGCTATATTGCAGGCAGCTTTGGAGGCCTGATCCCATGTGGCCCGTCATCAAAAGTTTGTCCGGACAGATCTAAGTATGTTTTCTGGGATCCATACCATCCTTCTGATGCTGCCAATGTCATCATAGCAAAACATCTCTTGGATGGTGACTCTAATGATATTTCACCAATGAACATTCGGCAACTTGCTAATATTTGATTTGATTATAAAAAAATTCTGGCAAGAAAATGTTCTGCTCGGAATTGATAGTACATTTAGACAGAAAAGTACAAGTGATACTATCATACTAGTTGCCACTGAAGAAAAGGACATTGTGTTAAAGTGTGCCAAAGTAACAGAAGGGAACTTTGCCCAACTAATTTGTCCATTGTTCAGCTAATCAGCTGTAATAAACTTCAATCTTGTGTTGTTTCAATTAGAAAATGCAAAGTGATTGGTTCTGGAAGACAATAAGGCTATAACTAATGATGGATGATGAACTAAATACGACGATGAGAAGACAAAATTCTTCTACCGTCGACATACGCTCTCTTTCTCCTGTGTGTCATCATTAAAGGCTTCCACCGGCTGAGTTAAGCAATAGGTATGGATCGATCTTGAACTACTTTATTTTATTTGCAATGAAACCTGAGCGATTTAGAACCAGTTCTCCCTGTTTTATGTTCAATTTATCCAATAAGAAAGCCGAAATATCTTGCTTTCAGTACAACAAAGCTGCAAAAAAAAAGCACCAAGAGACAGTAAATCAGGAAACAGGGGAGGGAAAACAGGTATGCAAAAAACTTGGTACAAAAATGTTAAAAAGTAGACTTATTGACGCCCCAATTCTGATTTCCGACTCAGTGCCTAGTAAAATTTGGCTTATTAGAAGATGAGTGATTGATCGGCCATTAAGTCTCCACCACAAATACCGACTTCATCTAATTGAATAAAACCACGGCAGATTGAGAAATGAAGCAAAGGAATTGCGCCACAGACTATTAAGAGTCAAGTACGCAGGTTGCGGTGAATTAGCAGGCTTTTTCAGAATTTAGGGTGCATTCAATAACAAAGAATCATCAGTTGCCTGCCTGATATATTCTGGCAGCTGAGGATTGAATCGATCAGAATCAGCATGTTAGGATAATGAAAACACATCAGCAGGTGCAACAATCCTAACAGAATCATTATTCTTCTACAGGTCAGGTTAATGAAATCTTACAGTCTACAAGCTTGGAAGTTCACACTGCACAATGTACACATCCCAAGAAAGAAAAGATTTAGATTTAGCAAGCATCAAATAGAACATGTTATCTCCAGCATGTTTTAAAATTCCAAGGATATCATACTCACTTCTTTTTCGAATGATTAGTTTACCTGTAGTTGATCATTTTCTGTATATATTCTGCTCTTGCTTTCTCTATGTTCCTCTTGAAAGCTTTGAACACTGCTTCAAATGGACCCACTTCCGAATCATAACTAAGAGTAAGGGCCCACACAGTTGCTTTAGAGTCGCATACCGTCTGATCAAAGTGTTTGTGATAAAAATCACCGTCCATCTCGGATCTTATTGACAGGACCAAGTCACTCTGTAGAATTAGAAAAAAACCATAATATAAACTATTTAAAGTACTCCTGTCTTCCACTTTCCTAAGTCGCAACAAAAAAGAAATATCCCATGAATTAAACCACAAAATCATGGCGTTTTCAGTTCACTTTGAGTCCCAAAATGGCAACTTTCAAGTCGAAGAAACGGACATTCTCAACCAATTTGACGTCGTATCAGATGACTCCGACCATTTCTTCCTCAACCCCCATCCCAAAACCAAATCCGCCCCACCGGAGCACTTCGCCAACGCATCAAGCACGGTCCACAGGGCGATCATGCAAGAATGGAGGATCCTGCAAAAAAACCTTCCAGAATCCATCTTCGTACGCGTCTACGAGAAACGCATCGATCTCTTAAGGGCTGCAATCATCGGAGCCGCAGGTACACCTTACCATGATGGACTCTTTTTTTTCGACTTGGCATTTCCACCTGATTACCCAGTAGGACCTCCACTTGTTCATTACCGATCTTTTGGGCTCTCGATCAACCCGAACTTGTATCCAGACGGGAAGGTATGTTTGAGTTTAATTAACACGTGGATTGGAGAAAAGTTTCAGAAATGGAACCCAAAGGCGACGACCGTGCTTCAGCTCTTGGTTTCGATCCAAGCTTTGGTTCTTAATGAAAAACCGTTTTATAATGAGCCTATCATTAATGGAATTTTGCCTGGAAAGACCATCAAGGAACAATTGTCTGTTGCTTATAACAGGGATGTTTTTGTCATGTCTTGTAAGACGATGCTGTTTCTAATGAGGAAACCGCCTACGAATTTTGAAGGGTTGGTTTTTGGGCATTTCAGGGAGCGTGGGAGCTCCATATTATTAGCCTGTATGAATTATGTCAATGGGAGAGTTCAAGTTGGGTGCTTCAAGAATGATGGATCTGGAACATCTGGGACAGGGAATTTTAAGGTACCTAAGAAATTTAAAGGGTCATTGAAACGGTTATATCCAGAGCTGGCAGCAGAGTTTTCTAAGGCTGGAGCTTCTTTGGGGAATTCCATCGAAGAACTGAATGTGGAGGAGGAAGAGCAGGAGAAGAAGAAGCTGGCGTGGTTTAAAATCAAGCAGGTGACTGAGGTGAAAGTGAGAAAGGCACGTGGAGTTACTAGGAGGCTGTTTGGTAAACTAAACAAGGCTTTTGGAATGAAACTTGGCAGAAATGGTAGAAGCAATCAAGTAAAAGGGAATTAATTAAGAAGGCATTAGCTTGATTTTATGCTAAATTATTAAATTTATTCAATCATATGCCGGCTTTAATCTACTAAATAATTTTATGGGTTTTCATTATTTTCTTGTTTTGCATATTTGGATTGGTCTTATGGGTTCAGAACAAAGTTGGTCGAGGTATAGTTTTTTTTTTCAACAAGGTCCAGTCATTGTTTTTGTGGCTGCCTTTTAGCTTTTAACACAAATATGTGGGTGAAGTTGCCCATTTTTTTACCCTTCTCGATTTTAACACCATTTAGCCAGTTTAGGCCTTGAGGTGATATCGACTATGGAGTACCAATGTCAAAAGTTGAATCATAGCTTGATTCAGCAAATGCAAACCCAGCTAATCAGTGAGAACCCAAACCAAATTCAGTGGTTGGTGACTTACAAATAAGACTTGAATTGTTAGGCCTATATTGACCAATTCAAGTTGGTTATGGTTGGGACCATGGCAAGTTAGAGTCGCTCAAGTCCTAGCCACTAGCCAGTGACCACCGCAGCTCAACTAGGCTTCAACATCAAGAAAACTACCTTACTTTATAGTAGAAAAACAAGAAACTATAAATGTTGGGGATGTATCACCTACATCTGATATCCATATTTTGATACCCAGAATAGAATGTCATCAAATTGGCCCCATTTTCGCCTTTGCCATGTTATCGCTTCTTGAATGATGTTTGGATAAGGAATATATCACTTACAATTACTAATTAATGTGTATGTAGGCAAATGCAGTATTCAAAATGTTTCAACCATCCACTTGTTCAAGAGTGTGAAAGCTCTTAAGCAAAAAGAAATGCCAAGAACAGAGAAATATTCATGTATTTTTATTAATCCACGTTCGATTTTAATTGAAAGCATTAGGCCATTTTTTTTAATTTCTTTTGAAAAAAAATTATGTATAAATCTTCAAACTAAATGCTCAAATGCTTAAATTTAATTTTGTTAGTGTGTGAGAAACTTGTGTTTTGAACATTTAAACTCAACAAATTCTTGAAACACAGGCACCTCGAACAAATTTTTGTTGTTTGATTTAAATTTAGAAATGAAAATAATACATCAGTATTCATAAATTATTTAAATTTAATTTGAATAAAATTCAAATTTGATTTGATCATTATTGAATCAAATTTGAGTTTGAATAACTTGATTTATTGGATAAATCAAGTTTGAATATTTTAATATTTGACTCAAATAACTCACGAATATAATCAAGTTTTTTATTTTAATAAATATTTTTATTATTTTAATTTAAAAATTATTATTTTATCTTTATATATATGAATTCAAATTTGAATATAAATAATCGAACTTGAAATCAAATATGAGAATCAAGTTTTTTTTTATTCGATAAATAAGTTTAATCATATAAATTTAAATAATTCAATTTTTATCTTGAATCAAAATCAAATTTATAATTAAAATTCAATTAAATTTAAATTAAATTTTAAATAATAAATTTTGAGTCTAATACTTCTCATTATAATCAGTGGACTCAATTACAATTCTAATAAGATCATCAATCTGTACGAAAAAAAAATGAAAAGCTGAAAATCTATCAAGAATTTGAAGCAAAGCTTAAATCTCCAAATTCAATTATGCTGATCTCTCATTCATGATTTTCCTTCCCCATTAACTAAGTAAAATCAATTTAACTTATCAAAATGAGAAACTTTTACTTAATGATCAAGTTTTTCATTTATTTTTAAAAATAAAACATGTTTAAGGCTCAAGCCTTTCTTTGCATAATCTTTATTGTTCAATTATCATAATAGAAACATAGAAATGAAATTAATTACAAAAGAAAAAAGAAACAGGGAAGAAGGGAAAGAAGAGGAAGAAACAAAACAACAAAAACAAAATCGAAATTGAAATAGACACAAGAAAACAAGCTGTTTCCGGATAAAAGTGTGGCATAAGGGACATAGGAACAAGCCTACGATACACAAGAAAAGACATTTGAAAATAGCACCCATCTCCTCAAAGAGAAACCACCCATAACAACCGACCCTCTCGTGTTCCTTTACCACCGAAAACCTAACATTCCCCCCTTTTCACCTCCCTCTAACATACGCCTCTCTCCTTATCATCCGCCCCCAACCTCTTATCCTGCGCACCCGCACCCCTTTTACCCTCATCTCATATAATCCCAATCAATCATCACATCATTCTTTGATTCCTCGGTTTAGGACTTGGGAGTTTTAGGGTCTTTAAAAAAGTGTTTGTTTCTAAGGAAAACAAAGGAAAGCGATCACCTTTTTTCTTAAAGCTAATATGACTTCATCAGGTTGTAAATTTGGGATTTTACGGTGGCGTAAGATTTTGGGTTTTGTTATGACGAGAGATGTCTAATGCTTTAGGGATTGATGAATCTGCTTTCGGCCTGCTGGAAGCCATTTGGGCATGAAGGGGAAAATCACGAGACAAACGGCTTTCTAGGCGGCGGCAATGGTGGTGGCTCAAGGGAAGGTAAAGACGGCTTGCTTTGGATTCGGGATATAGGGAAATATGGTTCGGGAGATTTTTCCATGGCCGTGGTCCAAGCAAACCAGGTGCTTGAGGATCAGAGCCAGATCGAGTCCGGCCAATTTGGCACTTTTGTTGGGATCTATGATGGACACGGCGGGCCCGAGGCGGCTCGTTACGTCTGCGATCACTTGTTTAGGCACTTTAAAGGTTCGTGATTTCTTTTTGGGTGCTTTTAATAAATTCTAAAGCCTGCCCAACTCGACAAAAAAAATGTTAATTTTGATTTGTTGTTATTCTGGGTTGATATTTGAATTGGTAAATGGGAACTGAATTGTTGTAATTTTCTGTCGTTTTTGCGCTCTTCCTCTCTCTGTTTTTATGTTTCAAAAAAGTTCAGCTTTTGATTGGGTACTTAATTTTGAGTTTGGAGAGTTGAGCATCTAGTACAGTTGCAATTGCAAGCAGGTAGCCGAATACTATTTAGAAACTATTTTGGTACTTTGGTTAGTGTTTAGTAACTAGTAAGCTTTTTCTTGGTTCTTTGTGGCTATATTTAGAGTGATTTCTGGCTTCAAAAGCAGCCAGATGTAGGGTAAACTTTGGATATTTTTAGAACTAACAATGAATGAATTATCTCATCAGGATGATAGGGACTGATTCTTTTGAAGCTTTTACCAAATAAATTTCTTTAAGAAAGTTTGTCTGTCTGAAAAATTAGAAATTAGTTGAGTGTAATAGTTTTGAGTTTTTGAGATCATGGATTTTAGTGGGGCATTATGTTTCACCTGCAAGTTGCCTTTAATACAAAAGAAATCCCCTTTATTGCCTTATTTCTTCTTTGGGTTATGCTGTTAACATCTCGATTCTTCTTTTGGTACGGTTAATTTCTAGAAAAGGAGCTGTTCTTATGTTGGCATTCTTAGGCTTTGTGTTTATGCAGCAACAACAGCCAAGTCACTGGGAGTTGTGAGTGCTGAGACCATTCAAAGAGCTTTTCGTCAAACAGAAGAAGGGTTTACTGCCCTTGTGTCAGAGTTATGGAATACACAACCAAATATGGCAACAGTTGGTACATGCTGTCTGGTTGGAGTAATATATCAGAAAACACTTTTTATTGCAAATCTTGGTGATTCACGTGCTGTGCTGGGCAAGAAAGATGGAAACACTGGAGGAATGGCTGCTATGCAGTTGTCAATAGAACACAATGCAAATATTGAGGCTATCAGGGATGAACTTAAGGAATTGCACCCAAATGATCCGCAAATCGTTGTCCTCAAGCATGGAGTTTGGAGGGTAAAGGGCATTATTCAGGTTATATAAACACCCACATCCTGTATAACTTTCAAAAAATTCAGCATATTCAGGCATGCATAAATTCTTCAACTTTAATATTCTCCGTCTTTTTAAAGCTTCATGTTACTGCTTAGCTTATAGCTCTATCCATGAAAACCAGCACAACTGGTCCTAGTTGTCATGGCATGAGGTGTTTTATCATTTATGGCCATGGTTCACATTCTAAGAAGTTACTCTATCCATCTGTGGTCAAAGCATTTATGCAAATATACCTCTGCTTGTCGACATCTTTATACATGTTTCTTGAAAAGTAGTATTAGGAAAACTACGATTATTATGTAAATACTATGGACTCAGATACTTACACCTGATTAATTAATAGAATTCTTAGTATCTCTTAAATTCAAACAAAAGTGGGCGTTCACTATCCTTTTCCTACAATAAGGCATTTTGGTTTCTGAATCACCTAAAATCAATGAATTTTTATTCTTGGCTGTTTTCATTTTCGTGGAAGTCTTTCAGAACTGATTAGATGTATTAGCATTGTGCCTTATTTCTCAATTTCATAACCATATTCCTTCATATATCAGCATGCCATGTCATGTCATCATTTTCATAATTGTATTTGATGCAGGTTTCTAGATCTATGGGCGATGTTTATATGAAACATGCATGGTATAACAGGGAACCAATTAACGAAAAATTCAGACTTCCTGAACCAATGAACATGCCTATATTGAGTGCCGATCCAACCATTATTTCCCATGCTCTCCAACCAAGTGATTCTTTCCTTATATTTGCATCTGATGGTCTATGGGAACACTTGAGTAATGAAAAAGCTGTGGATATTGTCCACAGTCATCCACGTGCAGTAAGATTTTGTCCTTATTCCAATGTTTATTGAAGGCATAGTTACTTGCATTAAAACCTTTCTGTTTTCATGCCATCTGCTGTAGACACTAGATAACCAGCAAATTTACAAACTTGATTAGGACTCTTCTTGATGTCATTGCATTTCATGGTTGGTATTGATACAGAATTTCTGTTTTCTGATAAATTTGTGACCAACTTCATTTCAGATTCTTTTGTTATTGCTACTTTTCTCGGTCCTTGATTGACAATTCGTTGTTATCTCCTTCCTTGCCTGTGTGTTAGAACTTCCCCCTTCTTTCTATCCTCTATTTCAGACTGAACAGAATACGCATTTTTAGCTGGCTTTGTAATTTACTAATTTTGTATTTGCATGTGATTATATTGATACTAAAGTTCTCTTTATCTTCAATTATAATAAGTTCCTTCTTTTCCAAACTACTCTTTCTCGCTTACCACCATTCACAAACCTAATTGCTTGTTATTGAGTTTTGTTAGGATATGAGAGGTAATCAATGGTTTTTAAGATGTTACTCATGAGCCTCTACAAATGCAGGGGAGTGCCAAAAGGCTGGTCAAGGCTGCCCTACAAGAAGCAGCCAGAAAACGAGAAATGAGATATTCAGATCTATGGAAGATTGACAAGAAGGTTCGACGCCATTTTCACGACGATATAACTGTTATTGTGTTATTCTTTAATCATGATCTTATTTCCAGAGATGCTGTCCAAGACCCTCCAGTATCCATTCGAAGTGCACTGGAACACACATAATTCAAAAAAACCAAAGAGATTTTCTTCTGGTTTTTGCCCAACACCCATACAAAACTGCACCAACAACACTAGACATTTCATGATGCACCGCTGTAGCAGATGCACTGCTTTGATACTGATATAGACAGCACTTGTTTCGAGCGGATTCAAATTTGTAAAATTTTAACCTCCATTTACTATAAATTCTGTGCAATTCCTCAGTATAATCTAATTAAATGCAAGTGATCTTTGCCTTAGATGGCATTCTGTGATCGATTCTGTCTCAGTATTTTACTGGGTTAAACAGGCCAACTATCTGCAATTCAACATGATGATTGATGAAACACGTTTGGATTTATTGCAAGGATTAGGGTTTAGCGGCATAACAAAACTGCTGGCCAAACTGAAATTTCATCAAATTAAGTATCAGACAAGCTTTCTAGGCTGCAATTTCCATCAAATTAAGCAGTTCATTGAACAGCTCAGAGCGCAGTGCATATTTCATCATCTATATCAGCATATAGTGGGGTTAATCAATTTTTCAAAAAAAAAAAAATCTAAAACCAAAATCTAATTGGCTCTTTTCTAAAACAAATAGAAATTTATTTCCAAAAGGGTCCTCGGTGATTTTGCTTATGGTTGTTGTGAAACAAAGCAAATGATTAGGTCTCAAAGATTTCGTGCCTTCATTGGAGCCAAAATGGGCCTAGTAAAAATGGATTTGGCAGGATCTTATTCACTGCGCCTGGTATGATCTATGCCTCTGGTTTGAAAACATTTTGATGGGTAAAATGCCCTGAAACTATGATTATAAGTTTAAGGGGACCAAATGAAGAGGCACCTTCTTGAATTCAACTTTCATAAAATTTTGAAAAGAGTATGCTATAGAGAAAGGAAAAAAAAAATTGGCTGATTATGATAACAGGAAGGAGAGCGGAGAATGATATACAGTGGGAAACTGGAATTAGGGTTTTTGAAGACTTGATTTTCCCAAAAACACATGAGCATGTACCCAAACCAAAAGCCCTTTTGGAAGACTAGCTCAGGCTCAGCCCCAACGATTCTGCACCATGGAAGAAAACAAATGGCCCAAAACTCAATCTGCCCAACTATATATAGATACAGCTTAATAGGAATCTCAATAGGAATCCTCTTTTCAAAGATCACTTGAATTGAGTTGAGCGAAGGATATAAGTTATTCGACAGAATTAAGTTAAAAGCATTTAAGAATCATATTCCTTATTCCAAGCCTTATGTTACTATTTGGATCAATTTTTAATTCCCCAATTGAGTGGAAACAATGGATAACCAAATTATTGTATGATGGTTGGACTATGGTGATTAACCTTTTCAATTGCTCCATATCCCATCTGTAGGTTCAAACCCTAAATCATCAAATTCTTTTGATGGATTGGCGGACCTAATTGCCAAAATCACCTCTCTCCTTTTCTTGCTATTGCTATCAATGATTGTCTCATTAAACAAACAAATAAGCTAACTATGAACATTTTCTTCATGCCCTCCCTTTTCTATAAAAAAAATATGACTAATAGCTTAGGAAAGAACTTTTCTTTTTTTAATCAACCGAGGTTTGGTTTATGTAAAAAAAAAATCAATAGTAAAATCTTGAATATATTAAAATCTGATTTAAAAATAAAATTTTAAAATTATTTTAATTAAATAAAAGATTAAGTACAAGCAAAAGTTCAAAACTCAAAAACACCCTTACAGTCATATTACTAAAAATACACTCCTAAAGTTCTAATAACTTCCTTGATTGCCAAGCTTTCAACAATAAAAAAGGGAAAAATGTAAAATGTTTGTCAAAGAGACTAGAATCTTCCTGACTCTTTAAACTGTAATAATAGAGGTCTTCTTCCATTTCAATAAGACAATAATCCCATGTAAGCTACGACTATTGCATTAAAAAAAAAAAAAAAGGAAAAACCCTAACAGCCACTGTTCATCTCCGCATGACATCACTCCATACGTATCATCGAATACCAACATCCCACGTGCCCTAATCACTCAACCCGTGTTTTTTACCCTTCAAGCCTCCAATTTTATAGGGTCCCACTCTCTCCAACTTTCGCCTCTCTCTCTCTCTCTCTCTCCCTATTATATAAACCAACGCTTCTCTTATAACCAAATCTTGTGTTTTATTTTTATTCGAGCGGATTCGTTTACCATGTGTCCGACCGAGAGAAACTTAAGTCGGCCGGAGAAGACCAGTTCCGGGCCAAATTTCAGGTCGGCATTTGAAGTTCTGGACGCAGATCGTGACGGGAAGATCAGTAGAGAAGATTTGCGGAGATTTTACGCTGGGTTTTCTAATGGTAATACCGGTTTCGATGATGACGAAATCATTGGGACAATGATTTCTTTGGCGGATTCGAACAGGGATGGGTTCGTCGATTACGAGGAGTTCGAGCGAGTTCTGGGAGGGTCGAAAAAGATGGCTTCGGGTTTTGGGGTGGTGGAAGATGTTTTCAAGGTTATGGACAAGGATGGAGATGGGAGATTGAGCCATGATGATTTGAAAAGTTACATGAATTGGGCTGGGTTTTCTGCTTCCGATGAAGATATTAAGGCTATGATCAGACTAGCTGGTGATGATGAAAAAGGTGTTTCTTTTGATGGTTTGCTTAAGATTTTGGCTGTTTGATTTTGCTGGGTAATTAATTAATTAAGCTTATATTTTAGTCCTTTTTGGGCAATTTTTTTGTTGTGTTTTGATTGAAAATGATGGATCAAATCAATAATTGTTGAAAAAACTATGGAACTTTCTTGTCTCATTCCTCTCTTCTGCAACAAGGAAATCATTTTTATAACGCAAATTTTGGGCTTTAACTTGTCTTTTCCTGGTAATTTTGTCACATGCGTTTTTTAGTTTTGCTGCAAGAATCGAGTAAGAATAAACGAATAATAAGTAGTTCTGTAGATGTAAGCCTAAGGCCTACACCAGGTAGAATGACTGGATTTTCAACTCCCTCAGGCCCTGTGGCCCATTTATGTAGATGCTAGACAGTTTTTCTGTAGTACTAGTAACTGCTAAGCAAAGAGCTTGTCTAGTAGTATTTTCGCTTGAACCATCCCACAGACATTACAACCAGGGGCAAGGACAAGGGACTAGGAGACTCCACAAACAAGATATAGTACAAGAAGCATACTAATATACGAGCCTCATGATGTCTAAATGCATGGAGATAATGAAACAAAAGTCCTTACAGCTACGTAAATTTTCTAATATTCCTGATCACTATACATGTTCCAAGCTTCAACCACTATGTTTAGTTTTACTAGTTGCTCACAGAACAGTGGGGCCAAGCTACCACATGACCAGGATTCAGGAATCTATTTCAGGATGCTGAAAAAATTTGTATTTACAGTTGTGCAAAAGTTAGATAGTCAGTGCCTGGTGAGAACAGCAGCTTGATATTTCATACCATCAAACTAAACTAATATTTCCACTCACGAGTTCCTCTTGAGATAGCTTATAACGCAAAATGCATAGATCTCCCGGCACCATTTGAAAGTGATCATCTCTGTTAGATGAATGGTACGGATTGCTAATTAGTAACCCAAAGGAGTAGTTTTACTTTTTCTAAGAGCAAAAGCTACAAAAAAAGAGCGAAGGTAAATTGCCTGTTGTCAAAAGCTAGCAGATTGCCTAGTGCCATCAAGGTACAAAAGTCTCGTAGATCTCTCACATTTTGCAACAACAAATGTATCTAGTTGTGGCTCCGGAACTAAAAATCATAGACGAAAATAAATCAATCATCAATAAGCAAAGTGTACATGAAATTGCAGTCAAAGAGTTACCTCTACGTGGATCAAATCACCTACAAAAATCAAATACTATTGAATCTATAACATTTTTAACAAAAACAAAAAACTTAGACAATCAACTGTCAGTCCTGCAAATACAGCTTGTAAACATCAAAATGAACAAGTTGCAACACCATGAACGTGAACAAAATACAGCTTATATATATATATATATATATATATATATATCAATCACTTTCTGGACATGACCAACTTGAATGTTTCTTTGTTCTTCTTATTGCACAGTCACGTGCTACTAACATGAAAACATATGCACAAGCACGGAAAAGTGATGCATTAACGTGAAAATGTAAAAGTTGGAGAAAAAGAATATTTGAATTACCCGTATCATCCTCTTCACTCATAATAGATTGCTTTAATACAGACTGATAATTATCAGGCAATTTTTACAGAACAGTTTCTTCAAGTTGTTTCCCAATATGAAGAATACACCTGCAATCATGAAATCAAAATTTAAAAATAACTGTGGGATATCAAGGATTCTTTCGGGTGGTTTAAACAAAATTTGCCAAATAAACCTTATATGCATATCTTCACAATAAAAAAGGATCACTTCTGAGAATCCTTACCTTTCAGTAAACTTATCCTCTTCTGCGGAAAGCTGGTTGCGCTGAACTTCACTTTTCCAGATATGAAACATGAATTTCTCTATCTGCATGATAACATTACCCAGAAAACCAATGAGAAAATGATAGTCATACAGGAAATCAGGAAACGATGCTCTCGGCAAACCAGAATGATTTTTTGTTATAAGCTAAGATTTTGTTATTCAAAAGAAGCAGGGTATAGCCCACTACAAAGAGAATCAGAATAATTCAATTTGATTTTCCTCAGCATCATTCAATGAATATAATCATTTTCAGCTTTCTCAGAACAACACATTTTGAAGAGACAAAGAAAAGGAAACAGATCAACAAACACACAGCAAATTAGAAGACCACCTTCTGAAGCTGAACCCGAAGATATGATCTCAGCAAAAATTGAGCCCTGTCCAGGTCCATCTGATAGAGTGATGCAATGAGAGGATCATGTCCACTTTCTGCAAAGTCATCTACCGTTTCTTCCTGCAAATTTTGCACCAATTCAGTCCTTTTCATCTGTGAATTAACTAACTATGGGGAAAATTTTAATAATAATTAACAGGTTATAATTGGTTTATTTTCAAAATCAGCTCAAACAACTATTAAATTAAGATCAAGTCCTCTTTCAACAATTTGGATTCTAAATATGTTTTTAAAAATTCAATTCCTGAATAATTTAAAGAGAAGCAAACAATTAAATGTATATCCAAATGGAAGCCTAAAATGGAGGGAAATTACATTTTATTCTTTATTGACTAGACTAAATGTTCTCGGGAAACAAACAGAGAGTGAGGGTTTTGAGATTGATAAATGGTACCATCAAGTGGGTCTGCTCGTTAGTCTCTTAACTAAAGCCTCATAGAAAGGAAGGATTTCAGGAGCCGTTTTCTCGTTACGCCACGCTGTCTTCAATAGCTCCACATCCGTTGTCGAAATCAACATCTCATAATCATCGATCTGCACCGTTGACAACTCTCCTGCACCCGACGTCATCAGATCTCTCTCTCTTTCTTTGCGTGTGCCGACTTTCTCTCTCTTCGTCTCTGAATCAAATCAAAAGGGAATACTTAAAGAGGCAAAATTTGGCGAAAAAATGCATTTGTAATTGGCGCCAAAAGCAAATAAGAAAAAATGGAAAAGAAAAGGATCGGGTGTTTCCAGGACGAGACAGATCACAAGATTGTGCGTGAATCTAACACTCTGATGGATTTGTCATTTGTTGAAATTGGACGGTTTTGATGGCGTCTGATTCAAGCATGAACGGCAAAAAGGAAAAAGAAAAAAATTGTTTTGTTTTTTTTTTAATTTTTAAAAAATAAAATTTAAAATTTTTGGAAAAAAAGAACAATAAAATTTTTATTTTTATTTTTAAATTTTTCAAAATTAAATATTTTATTTTATTATATAATTTTTAAAATATAATATTACAATTCTTAACTAATGAGATTATTTGACATGTTTGTCACGCATATATTTTAAACAAAATATTCGAATAAGTGATGTGATTTATTTTGATCAAATGACATGTTTTGATTGGATTATTGATGTCATAAAATTTTTTTAACGATGTTAAAGGTTAGAATAATTTAATAAATATTGCAACTTTATATTTGATTAAACTTTTTTTATATACAAGTACTATACTAGACATTTTTTTAATACTAAAATTAAAGCGATCTTTTTAAAATTAAAATTTTTGAAATTTTAAACTTTGGTCAAACACAACTTGATCTAATTTTTTCATGCATAGGATGGATTAAAACTGAGAAAAAAAAAAAGATTTAGGCCTTGCCATACATAACAAATCATCTTGTGCAAGCCTAAATAAAGCATTAAGAGAATTACGCAAATTCATCAAGTCAAAAAACTACTATTATGTGCCACTCTTCTCCATATTTGTAGACAACCTGACAATGCCGATGGCTAGCCAATAGCTACAAATAAACAACTCCCTATAGAAAAAAATTTTCATTCGAAATAATAAGATTCAGGATATAAAACACGTACACATATACTTAGACACAAAAATTACGAGTATGAACAATCTTCTAGATCAACACGAACTAATACTAGAAGGGACATAATCCATAAATGGCGCTTAGGGGTTGAATTGTCGGATGCTTTCTATAATTACTTATAGACTTGTGCACTTACTAGGTGATGGTTAATCCACTTCATATATGGATAGATATCACCTCAATGGGATGTATATTAAGCTATATATAGCTAGCTTTGAGAGTATGAGTTGAAATTTGAATGGGAAGATCAAAGTTTTGTGGCAAACAACCAGCTAGAAATTCGTATTTTCAACGAACCACGAACATGTATGCTTGCTCATATTCAAAGTCTTTTTATGCTTTTGTTTGGTATAATTGTTTGAGATAGTGAATTAATTATTAAAATTTTATTTCTTTTAATAACAAATTGTGAAAAAAATCAGTTAATATATAAATATATGATAATATGAAAAATAATAATTATACATACATATATAAAATTGAAAAACACTGTTTAAAAAAAAAAAAAAGAAGAACGCATGTGGATCGATGCATTTCAAATTCACCGTTCTATAAATCAAAATATTTCAAATTTACTACTCGTATTGTATGTGTGTTTGTGTGCACGAATATTTTCAAAGAGCCACAATTAAACACACGCTTCCTGAAATATTCAAAGCCTTTTTATGCTATCTTTTTGTTTGGAGACAAGTGTTCGAGAGAGTGATCAATTATAATTTGCAATTGATTTCTTTTAATTACAAATTGGGGGGAAAAGTCTAGTTTTTACAGAAAAAATATAGTTTATATAATAATAAAATAATAATAATAATAAATTTGAAAAGCAAACGAGAATTGATGTCAACCATTTTTAAAAAAATTAAAATTCACTACTAGTACTAGACAATAAAAAATCATATAAATTAATATATATTTATGAGTATTGCCAGACACAATTCTTATACTAAATATTTAAAATTTTACGTCCCTAGCTGGTCTCAAAATTTCAAAATTCCAAAACATAATATTAAGATTTAATTAATCTTACCAATTAAAGAAAGATTTAATTAATTAATTAATTATGAAACTTTTTTATTTTGATACAAAGTCATGAATTTGTATTGTTTTTACTCATGATCATGAGTACATAATTCAATTCATGATAACTACACTTCTTGTAAGTTAGAAAAAAAAAAAAAAAAAGCTGTAAAATCAAGCTTCCGCAATAACCAAAAGACTTGGCAAAAAACTATTACCAATAGAGAATATGGCGAAAAAAGCCTATTTACCAATGAAGGGAGAAATGAAAGATAACAATAATTTTCTTGTACTTAATTAGAATAACAAGTAATTTCAAATTTGATCACCCAAAATTAATCCTTTCACTTCCTTAATTAAGTTGATATAT